CTGTACATAAAGAGAAATGAAGAATATAAAGTGAGATGGACATGAAGAGAAGAGATAAGAGCTGTGTTTCAGCCATTGATTTAGTAATTTTAGATGCAAATTACGTAGTAGAGCTGTTAAAGTGGCAACAGTGTCATGATAATAAGTCCCTCAATATTCAAGTAGTACATCAAATAGCTTTTGATGTGATGGCAGTCAACATTTATTGAGTAACACACACCCCTGGGAGGCAGCGTCACCTAACTCAGTTCCTCTTGTAATGGAGTAACTGAATCCAAGGTAAAGAACTAATGATATTTTGTATCTGTCCATAATGCAACTTAGATATGTTATAAAGCAATATACAGGCAACTTAATAAAGTGGTACAGAAGGACAAACGATAAATAACAAAAAAATTTACCCACAACTCCAGCTAGAGAAGACATCTTTTACAGTAGTAATAATGAATGAATGATGATGAATACAGGAAATTTGTGCGTGTGTGTGTGTGTGTGTATTTCCTGTTTCCAGCCACCCTGTACAATATTTAGTGTGAGAGAAAAATGTGAGCCTTTATTGTAAATGAAGATTAGGCAATACTGTACAGACAAAACATTGTAATACTGTACTGACCTTGCATGAGAGGTCAACAAATATGAAACTTAGAAACTTGTTGTCTCAGTCCTACTGTGTCTGACCACAACAAAGACCTGACACTAAGTGATATGTCAAGCAAGATAAATACAGCTTTATAGACGTGAATAAAAGGTTGAAGGCAGAGTCAGATTTTTTGTTTTTAAGACCTGCAATCTCTAGTGTGTTTATACAAATAAAGTGAGAGTATTCAGGTTAATGGAAGAATAAAGCTATTTAGAGAATTATCTACATCCAAGACTAAATACAAAAAATAAAGACAATACTTAATGTGGCCTGTTAGTTTCTACATTTGTCCATAATACAAATGTTAGATGTATATCTTGTATCAACTAAGATGTAGAGCATTTATCTGTCAACTTGTGAAAAGATTTCAAAGGAGTTCACATACTAAAGACCCTCTCACATAGAAGCAGGGTTCTCAAACATATCTGAAGTAGAAGGCTCTCACATAAACTAGCAGGCACCATGTCATGCCGCAAACACAACGCGAGGGCATCACAGTGAGACGTTGAACGGAGTAAGACCATTAAAACATTGCAATCTATAGTACAGGTTTATTATGGACACACGACTTATTAACACAGCTGCAAAATAGTTGTAATGTTCGTAGCAGATGTACAGTAAATTTTGATTTTATTATGCAAAGCAAACATTAGCTAAGACTTATGTAGATGGTGCCCATTTGAGAGTAGACGGCGATATCGCCGGTCGTCGGTGCATTTTGAGAACCTGAAGCTTGTCAGACTGCCAACTTTGAGTAATATCTGTCAAGGAATTCTTCAGTTATTGGAACGAAGTGGTAAAAATCCCTAAAACAGAAAATTAATTCCCCCAAAAAACGAAATCATGGGGCAACATAAGCTTAATACAGTCTAGTACAATGCAATGATACTAAGGCAAGTTTAACAAACATGTGTTTCAAAAGTATTTATCAAGTTTCAAACACGGCAGTGAGAGACAACATCACCCAAAATAACATAATAGCTACACCCTGTGATGCCATCACATGTATAACTCAAATTTCAATCAAAATTCATTGAGACAATTTCAAACTCTCATTCAAAATGAAAAACAAATGAATAAATACATATGATTTACAAGTGCACAGAGCTAAACCATGATGTATCCCCAAAAGGTGATATCTAACATAAAAATACAGATGAATAATCATATGTATACCTAAACAATTATAAAAAGGATATTGAAATGTATCCATATTGTCAGGTAATGATAGTGTAACAGTTATGAGACAATTTCACACTATTGTACTGTACTGTACTTGACTGCTTCACATCTACTCAGATTTCACAAAAGCTTGATTTTTGGTCTTTATGACTTCTTACACCTTTATGTCTCTTTCTTCCCAAGTCTACTGACACATACACGTCATCTGCACCGCATGTCTTACGTCGAGCACCATCAACCGATGAACTAAAATATACAAACAAATCGTTCCCCCGAGTCTTAAATTTTGTGTAAATTCCCTCGCCTGATCTTACTATCGACTACAGATATATATAGATAAACCGTACTGTATATAAAAAAAAGAGTTTTAATGATCCAACAATTACATACTACCCAAAATGATCCCCTCAGCGTACCTTATCAATAAATGTTTCTGTTGCTTCTGGAGTACAAATGGCTGTTGACAGATATATTTTCTTGGGAGATGTTTAGCAAGCAGCCAATCCTCAAGCCCCATCAAGAAGAGGGATCATGGGATAATCAGTCTATGTCTGATCTCACCATCTACTTACAGTTATGGCATCCTATTCTACAAGAAGCCATCTACAAGTATGGCACTCTACAAGAAGCCATCTACAAGTATGGCACTCTACAAGAAGCCATCTACAAGTATGGCACTCTACAAGAAGCCACCTACAAGTATGGCACTCTACAAGAAGCCATCTACAAGAATGGCACTCTACAAGAAGCCATCTACAAGTATGGCACATTACAAGAAGCCATCTACAAGAATGGCATTGTACAAGAAGCCATCTACATGTATGGCACTCTACAAAAAGCCATCTGCAAGTATGGCACACTACAAGAAGCCACCTACAAGTATGGCACACTACAAGAAGCCATTTACAAGTATGGCACTCTACAAGAAGTCATCTACAAGTATGGCACTGTACAAGAAGCCATCTACATGTATGGCACTCTACAAGAAGCCATCTACAAGAATGGCACTGTACAAGAAGCCATCTACATGTATGGCACTCTGGCCAACTTCAAACCCACTTATTATTAGACATTAGCCCTTGTATGGCAGCCAAGATCAATGATTGCTCCATGTTTTTGTGTGGATGAAGGAATCCTTACCCACCATAACTGATATACTGTACAGCATTAGAGGAAGACCTTTAGTGTATACATTAATATAATTGACTTTAAGACAGAGGAGTGAAGGTATAATCCTCAAACATTATCAGCGAAGAACAATGAATGAGACTTGAAAATCACCAAACATAAATTATGTTAAAATTCCACTTAAACAATAACAAAAGTAATCTACCTTGGCTAACAATGATACACAAGTTTATCTATAATTACAGATACCTTAGACTTGAATGACAAAGGAGACAGTGGAAATAAAGTAATAGATGATGTAATTACAGTACAGTTGACATGATGACCAAATAAATGGTTTACAAAAGTATCAGGTCAATGAGTAACACGAGTAACTGACATGAGTATAAGATGAGAGCGGTTGACCTTAACACCAAATAAGAGATTAACATGAGAAGATGTTAACATGAGTACAGTACCAGGTGGTTAGGTCACCCTGCTAACTGGGCATAAAAACACCTGTCAGCACCATCATCATCTTTTACAGCCATTTTCTACACTTGCGTGGGTTAGCCGTGATTTACCTGATGGCATCTCTCCATGCAATTTAAAAAACTCAAAAGGAATCCTGGTGTATATTTAAATCCAAACTACCATCCAGGGCAACTTAAACATACCAGTATCTTAAGTCTCGTTTCTATAGATAAACACTAGCAAATCAGAAGTCCCCTCCTCAAACAACCAGAGCATGAATCACATCACAGGTTCCTGGTGTTCAGCTGGCCGTCACTCCAACAGGCATGATCAGAATTAGCAACAACTTGATATCCTTCCGAGGACTTCAGGACATAGTACTTCATTGGAAAAGTTCAAAGAAGCCTTGAGGATGAAGGCCAAGATGTAAAAAGACCCTTTCTGTATTTCCCATAATGCCAACGATAGGAAAATAAAAACAAGTCGACATTCCTGGTAACAGCCGTGTATCTGTCAGTCACCATATTTCAATCACACTTCATTCAACTGAGTACAGCAGTATTCATGTGATGTCTGTGTATTTCAGTACATAATGGAAACATGTAAAGAAACATTGCGAATATCACAAAGTCATTTCCTCGAAACTTTTATACTTATTAAGAGGAAGCGCTCATGAACACATCTGAACACGTCCTAGAAATAGTGAACAGACGTACTCCCGTGGGGAAAAAACTACGTTGACCATAATAAAATATCAAATGTATCAAACTTTAGCTCTTTTTGTATCATGTGCCTTTCCCTTCAATCAGAGCTGGTAACTGTTTCCACACCTCCAGTCCTCAAAGATCAAATTTAAATGTCCTTTACCTTGGCCGGGAAATTCTGTCATATACTCCCCATTCAGTCTCTATCTTTACTATCTTATAAATTTTCACAATATTTGAACAAAAAAAAAACTCCTGATATGTAAAACATCTAATTCCCTGACCCCAAGACAACGTGAGTGTGGTAATGATATGACTCCTCAGGAGATTAATTACACTCTCTTTCGGTTAACTTTACGGTAAACCAATCACTCGGTACATTGGGATAATGTACAGAAAAGACTTAAAGAGGAACATCTCACTCGTGTGCCAGCCGATACAACACTTAAAAGGTTCCGTCGCTTTCAGACTCAATACCAAAATAAGATAAAAGAGAGATGTACTGTATGTGCCAATGTTGCTAAAATATTGAGTGCCATCTATTTCAAGCTTAGTGAACTCCAAGAGAAAGTGAGATACTAGATTATAATAAAGAAAACGAGGAAATATATATATATTTTTTTTTACAGGTGATCCAATGACTGTAGTACCTGTTTATTGTTAAAAAAAAGTCTTCATGGATGTACCAGTATCTTGTTTCTTGTTCCTAATATGTTAACAAGGTCTTAGCTGCTAACTAAAGAGATGTTTATTTATTTTTTATAATTTACACTATTTACATGAAAACTTAAAAACCTGCAAACACAACAAAAATCAGTGTTAGCATAAGTGATAATATTTGTGAGGAGTAGAAGGGTGGCCAGTAGGAAGTACAATGATCCGACAATACTCACCCTTTTCCGTGGGTGAGGCCAAGGTGAGGGAGGACATGGAGGAAGAGAGGTTCACTGAGGCTACAGACAGCATGGAAGGGTACTGTGCAAGTTCCATCTCCGAACTGTCGTCTCCGTCAGCTGGCAGTGCGGTCTCCACCATTGCTTCTAGGCAGTTGACGAAAAGCTCTGCATTTTCTGCTGTACAATTACTCTGAAATTTTAAAATAACACTTCAACGTCTGGAGCGCCATCATAGCTGAACCTTACAAGTACTAGTAATGTGAAAAAACAATGTTCTCAGAAGGTTGTCAAGGAACTGTGGGTTGTAAAGAAAGTGACTGAAGCTATCGTGAAAGAAAACTGGATGTCTTGGTTTTGGGCAACGTAATCAATCAATCATGGCGCCAGCCTCTGAGGGTTGGTGAATACAGCCAACCTCTTCATATATTTTAGACTGTCTTTACCAATCTTAAGATACTGTGCCTCTCTGGGGACCCAATTTTTTTTATTTCATTCCTCTATCCATCTCTGCTTTCCCTTGGCCCTCCTACCTTCAATTTCACTTAATAATATCTCTACCATCATTGACTCCTCTGTAATGATATAAACAAAGTATCTAATTTCCCTTAACCTATATATTTCTCCTGTTGCTTTGTTCACTTTTCCATCTATATTAATATTTTCCTGTACTAAAAGCCTGGAGGCTCTTCTGTCATGGCCACCCTGACCCCCAAATCCTTCAACGCAGACTTGATTAATAAAGAGGACTGGTTAACATAACAAAACCTATGATTAGTTTCTGCATAAGAATTAACACTGATGCTGTAAAGACTTGAGTGAGTGGCAGGGGAAAAAATTAAGAATATAGACTTGAGTTCATAAAGCAGCGAAATAAACCTAAAAAGAGTGTGGAGAGTTCTGTTCTACCTTAGTAAATGGTCCAGCAAATCTCCAGAGGCCCCCAAAGCCCCAACTCTGAAGGTGGTGTAACTGCTGGTGTCCTTGGTCCTCACACGCCACCATGTTTTGGATGATGGACTGAACTGCACTCAGGATCACTCCATCATGACATAGAGACAGTACTGACGTTATCTTGGCATCTAGTAGAGAATGGCTGTTGAACGGGAAATACTAAAATATCAAAAAACCTTAACAGACATCTTTCTAAAGTTAATAGCAATCAATAGTAAAAAAGTCAGATTTATCCTAAAAATATCCCATTATATAATGTTAGAATACCTACCAAGATACTCAAGGTCTGGTAGTAGCGTACAGGAGTGCACTAAGTGTTACTCACATGACAGGGAAGACCTTGGGGAAGACGTCTGAAGCCTCAGCCAAGTATTCATATAAAACTCTCATCTCGTTCTCATCTGTAGTATATTTTACAAGTGTAGCCAAAACTGTCAGAACAAGGGCTTGGGTAGAAAACTCAGTCAGTACTTCGGGGTCTAAGAGGATGTTGTTTTCGTTGCTGACTGAAACTCGGGCACCACGCTCCTTAGGTGGGGGAGACATGTCACCCTGCATGATGTGAACATTATTATAACGTGCCATCCTCACTCCCCAGACAAACCTCTTGACACATTTAAAAGAAAAATAAACACGAAAGTGCATGTAAATATCCCTAACATCAATGCCCTGATCAGAATTCTTGGTAAATAAAAGGAAAATCTGCCTTACCGAATACTTCACATTTTGAAAGATCACGTTCAATCATTCCACTCCTAAATACAGGAAAAACAATTGCTAAAATAACTCAGGATAATTCATACCTTAGCTATCAGTTTATTAAGTCAAGTGCTTGGGTGATATTTAACGGGCGGGACATGTCAGCAGGCAGAGGAGAGGTGAGAATGACGAAGACTGATGATGTGATTCAACAAGACACTCTCAAAGATGGTGTAGTGCAGTCACATACATAGCTGCTGCTGCTGCTGCTGCTGCCCCTGTTGCTGCTCTCTGTTCTTCCACACACTACACTACACTACATTGAGAGGAGCACTCTACACTATGGTATGCAAAGATCACTCACTAATCACTGTGCTACCACCCTCAACTAAGCTAAACTTTCTCTCTACAATGGGTGTAACTTAATAAAATGGGAAAACACATGACAGAAAAGGTTGTCAATTTTCTAAAGAATTAAAACTTACCTTGAGGAATAAAAGATGCACAATATCTTTATGAAGATTTAGAAACTACATCACAAACTTCATCAGAGGCATAGAACAAGCATTAACATACTCAACTAAGTTAAAAATTCCCATATAATAATAACAACACTCATAAATTTGATTCTACAATTACATCACTCAATAATTATACACACATAACATTGGCTAACCCACGCAAGCAAAGAAAACGGCCTAAAAACACTGATGACGATGATGATGACCGCAAAATTCAACCAAACATCTCCACTGTATGAATAAAGTAAGAGTTTGTGTTTTACTATACTAGACAGGTTTTAATATGACAAAAGAAATTAAACTTCAAACTGTTTTCCCCATTCTTCATTCAACAGTGTCATATGTCAACCAAAACAGGAAACTATAACTCTTATGCAATGACATTATGACAGCAATACACACTCTTAACTCTCCCTATAAACTGACAGCCATAATCAACAAAGTATCCAACCCCTTGTGTGTGTAGCTGAGAAATACACTAACACATAAAACTTTTTCTTTATCTCACCTAACCTAAATATTCACCATGTTCTTTAATATATAGTTATCTCACTTTCTCAATACAGTATTCTACAACTATACATTTTGTTCTTGGATATATAATACACACACACACACTCTCTCACTGTACATGACCTCCAACCATATCCAACAGCTTTTCTCCATAACTTACAGAATTAAAAACTGAATCCTAACATCCTATTCTAAGCAGGAGAGGTCAGTGGGTGACTCGTGTTGAAGCAGTGCACTCCACCTACAGTGTCAGAGAGTTCAGTTGATACCTTAACGGAGTAGCTCAAGAGTAGTTAAATAGTGGTTCCTCCTAGCCATAACAGGAGCTCCAAAGGGTCTTCCAAAGAGAACACTCAACCCAGCAGCCTTCACATGAATATAAACAACAGTGAACTGGTTAACTCTCTCCTGCCACTGTGCTAATAAAATAAACACTAGCATTATAATCATGAAATAAGTTCCATCCTCAAACAAATATAAAAATAGACTAAAGAAAAAACAACATAATAAATAAAGATAAAATGATAAAAGGTACAATAGTTTAGATTAACATTTGGCCTTTAAGCTGTGACCTAACTCCTGACCACAGCTAGAAAGAATAATCTCCTCAGTGATCGCCATCTACACCATCTGGCCTACATCTTGACACGTCACTCTTAAGATCCCCCCCAAAATATATTCCCAATCAAGTTTTATGTAGATTTATCTCTGATGTAACTCACTCACACACACAATGAACAAAAGTCACTCACGCACGATGAACAAAGTCACTCGCATACGATGAACAAAGTCACTCGCATACGATGAACAAAGTCACTCACGCAAGATGAACAAAGTCACTCGCATACGATGAACAAACTCACTCACACTCGATGAACAAAGTCACTCACATACGATGAACAAACTCACTCACACACAAATAAATGAGCAGCATCTTTGCTCTTCTGGGTTGGGTGTGGGTAAGAGAGACAGCCATACCAAACAATATAAAACTCATGAACTCAACTAGAAAATAATGTTACATATAAATGATGTATTATAAATTCATGCTATCTATAATGACACTACCTGCCAATATAAAATGAGTGACTAAATACATTATAAAAACTTGTAACACTCATACAGGTATTAGGCACAAGTGACTGATTCAATGGTGATTCTTACATATCCCACACACTAATAGTTATCATATGTACCCTAAAAATAACAAGCAAAGTTTATTATATTTCTAGAGAAAATAGTAAGAAATCATAGTGGTATTATGAATAACACACAAACAATTCAAGATCAGTTTACAAGGATATTGTTTATAACCGGGGCTGGTCAGGCATCTAAGACAGGCAAGGGTGCAAAGGTTGTGTGGGAGAAACCATAAATGTCAGGAGGGGAGGCGGTGGTTAAATACACCATGCATCAAAGAATACATTCAGTTCTTACAAATACCAGAAGAGACAAGTCAATATATGGCATCCAATTCCTTTTAAAACATACTCTCCTTACAGTTTATGTTTACTGTACATAATATTGTCCTCAGTCAACCATGGATACACTACTCTTGGATGCACTTCTGATGGTTTATTTCTCTGTTCATTTCCATAATAATTGTTTGGTGGTAGTGACTCTTTCTTTTGAATGCTTTGAGGCAACAGAATATAAATGAACTTTTGGCACCATGATACAGTACAGTATATAGTACATGAAACACTATAATATAAATATAATAATTTTTTTCATATTCGTCACTTATCAGCTTACTAGCCGTTTGGGTGGTTTATCCATGATATAAATATCGGAGTTGACATCTAATCCATGGGGTTAGGTTGAGACAGACCCTGCAATGTTATGAATCACTGGTAGCAATGGTTAAATTGAGGTTACTTTACTTTCTAGTTCCCAAAATAATACCTTGTACAGTATTTCACTTAAAGCCCAAAAAATAACTGTTACTGTATTTTCGCTTAATGTGTTACATCATCATTCCTGTAAGAGTAATTATGATTTGTAACAGAGAAATGTGACGAATTGATAGTTAGGAAATAAGTGAGAAAAAAAATTACCATTTTACTTAAGTTATTTGATCATCAGTTTCAACTTTAAAGACAAGCACTGCCTAATGCATTACTCTCCCAGACCACTTGACTACTGTACTATTATGGTCAGCCATCCATACAACCAATAACTTTTCCCATACTCAATTCCTCAAAAATTACTGATACAATTTTGCCAACACTTCCCACAGATCTCACCTAACTGCCCTCCCTTATTTCAAACTTGTGTCATCCAAACAGGAACCCAATTACTAAAAACGTAAAGCAATTGAAAGTTTTAAAATTCAATTGTGCATGTTCTCCCTCCTATGGCCACAGACCAACTGACGCATCTCTGACAACCCAACACCACCTCAGAACTCGCCACCATCACCACCTACATCCAATTTTTTTCTTCTTGAACCCACTTATCACCATACTAGTCATTTGGGTGGTTGGTGCAGTCTTTGTTACTTGTTACGACACCCTCCCCCTGTTTGTTGAGTCAGTAGAGGTTCAGGAACACACCCTTATTAAACACATGTAAGAGAAATTCCTTTACGTGAAGGATTTTTTTCCCAGGACACAACACCCACCTACAGTTCAGACCACCTGTACTACCTTCCCCTCAAGGAGACTTTTTATTCCCAAGCAAAACAAGTCAAAATATCCTTTGTATTTTTACACTATTGGGGTAACTTGAAATACTTGTAGGTTATCTTACTAACATCCATTATTCACAGTCTTCACATTATTCACTTTTAATTCTATTACAAACATTCTTAGTGTACTGTATTGTGATAAGCATGTAGTAAATGTTTCAATAGATTTATTACCAACAAAGCAAGTATCCTTTTATATTTATCACAAGTTATGTTCTAGTTCTCCACATCTGAGAACTTGCCACTCGTCAAAAGCTGAAAGATTTTGTCACGTTTCTGTACATACTGTATCGTCTAAATATGGAGAAACAAAAATTATTTAGTCAATTATTTCCAACCAAGAGTAAATGCAAATCACGGTGAGTATGACTGTTTCAGAAATAAAGGTTCATGCAAACATTTACACAAATAATCAAAACACTGAAAATAAATAACTATTCACTTCAGCCTAGAACACAATTTCCTGCACAATAAGCAAAACAGCACAAGCAGGATCTTACAACACTTAGCTAAGTGTACATCTTTGCACACTTAAGGCAGGAACCCAACATGAACACTTAAAGCACTTACCAACATACATGTGCATTTTGCCATACTTGAGAGAGACATTTGTTCTAAATTTTGATAATAATGAATGAGCCAGTACAGTAGCGGGTTTTATCAACACTTTCCGGTGGTGTTCACAAGTGATAAAATGTTTAGTGTCTTGATCTGTTCCTTGTGCTTCACTGACAGGGTAAAACATCAGTTCTTCACAGCTGACAGTCATTCATGTAAATAATGATGTTTCACAGTTCTGACCACAAGAAAGACATGATCCAGTTCTCAGTCTATCTATAATACTTCAAAGTTCTTCCTTTAGCACCTTGGCACCTTGTTTGGCATCAACAACCATCAGCCGACTCACACTCTCAACAGTCTGAAGACAACATGGCAATCTTCCATGTTAATACAGTAATTAAAAGCTTACATTTTAAACTGTGTCCTTTCTACCATAAAATTAATCATAAATGCTTAAATAATGAGAGTGACCTGAATATGTTAAATAATATAATAAATAATTCCATACAGCTGATAGCATGAGATCCTAACTCGAAAGCCAGTGCAGGGTCGAAGAGGGTGTACTTGGTAATATGCTTAGATGCTTTGGAGATGTGCATAAAATGGCTGAAGGGTAATTCATAAACAGAATGCAAAACAGGAGACTGTGGGGAGGAAGCCATACGAAAGGTCCAATTGTAAGACAGAGGGATCGAGTGCAAGATCATGGTGGTTACAGGTGCGGGTCTGAGCGTTCGTATGGAGATATGTGATAACCGAAAGAGTTCAAAAAGATTCTCAAAGGGATCATCCAACTCAAGGCGGGGCGAAAAAACGGCATGAAGAAGAAGAGAGAGAATCTTCGATAAAAGAAAACTTTAATAAGAACCACTCATGTCTAGGGCAAATAATTCCTCCCCCCATAACAACACACACCAGACTTGAGTTACCTTAGGTGTGGGCATCGAGGAAGACCTTTGAGTTTTAAATGGTGGTGGTCGCATGTTATGGGGGTCAAGGTCAAGGGAGTGCCATGTCTTGGGGTCTGCTCTGCTCACCAGGTGTTGGGCACTCCCCTGCTTCTGCATCGTGCCCTGCGGTCCTAGCATACCCATCGTACCCTAAGTTACAAGGTATCAACACATTAGATTATGCTAACCAGATTTTCAAAGAGCAACGCCCATAACAGCAATGCTTTTGAGAAGTCGAACGTGGAAGAGATTAAGAATGGCATCTCAGATCAGATGTTATTGTCTGTATATTTACTGCTCCTCTAAATCGACCTCATATAAAAGGGAACAATACAGTACCACAAGAAATCCTCAGCTCAATCTCATTTAAGCAAGTCTGATTAATTACAAACAACAACAACACTAAAGCTCGTTAGAGATAAACTTCTAGTACAGTACAGTATCATAATAAATTGGTAGCCCCTAATTCTGTACCTGAAAAGTCAACAGACAAAAGCATACAGTTACATGAGTTCCTTTGAGTTATTCAAAATATAAAAAAAGACAGACCATAATTTCTAATTAATTTTCTACGAAAAATGTTAAAGGTATCGTGACGTGATAATATTGTTATGGTTTATATGTTAATACTGTTCCAAGATGTAAAAAAAAAAAAAAAATGTAAAAAGCTATACAACAAAAATATAAAAAATCTTAGTAAGCCGTAGAAACTAAAATTACCGGTAGCAGTACAAAAAATGGAACTAAATATTTGGATAGAATTATGTACCGTCTCACAAAAAAAATATTTAAGAAAAGATAAACAATATCAAGAAAAACCTATATTCTCAAAAAAAAATAACTATCACAAATCGAGTCAACAAAGAATAATACGTAGTACTGTATTAAAACAAAACAAAACAGCAAACAATAAGAAAATTAAAAGTAGATGAGATAAAATGCCTCAGGATGTTTGAAAATAAAATCCTTTGGGGCAAAAATATGACATTTGTACAAGTTTCTGATATGTGATGAGGTTTTAAGAATCATTCATTTCCAAATCTGTAAAATGGATTGTACTCTTACACCACAAATTAGCCTAAGGCCCAATATCGTTTGTCATTAAATGTTAATATTGTCCACAGGGTTCTCAAAATATTCCAACAACTCCTAATACCATTGTTTAATCTATTTCTACTGTATATGGGAATAGCAGCTGGTATTGTATTTGTAATGCATAATAAATTCAAATCAATGCATTCACCTATGAGCATTTTAATTATTCAGTCCTCTATTGTATTTATAACTTTTCTGGTACAGTAATATACCGGTAATTCTTCTTTTTTTATTTTTTTATTCTCTAGTTTTTGAAAATCCTCAAAAGTTGGCATCAGTGTAATGTTGGTGCATCCTAATCTTATAATGAATCTTTCTCATGTTTTTCTTTTTGAGAAGCCTGTGTCCAAACCCTGTGTGCACCAGCTGTGAGTACAAATTCCTCTTGCATGTGAGTACAAATTCCTCCTGCAACTTTATAAACATACGTACACTATACAGTACAGTACATGTTATCCTGGTGGGACTGACAAAAAATAAATAAATAAATAAATAAAAAATGTACACACCTTTAACTGGTATGGCTACATGGAGAGGATGGGATAAAATTCTAGATGAACTACAATGACTCAATTTCATATGAATAAAAAAAAATAATAATACGCACAAATAAAGGCTTAAACCTCTTTACCAAAAACCTTAAAATGGCGAACAAATTGACAGAAGTATAACCATATTCTCCCAATCTGCAAGGGAATAAAAGATGTTCACCATATCAAAATTAATGCCAAGAGCTCAATGTGTTTTTTCCTGACAAGACTACCGCATTCACCACTGAATTAATCCCGAGTCATATCAGTCTACTGTAACGGCGAGTCATATCAGTCTACTGTAACGGTATACCAAATGAAGAGGAGAAACATGTATCCCCCCCCCCCACCCCACACACACAACCACTGAAGCAGGGAGAGAGAGGGGGTGAGGGGGGGGAGGCAAAAACTATCAACGGGTATAACTGGCTTCACCTATACCTAATAAGATCTTTGTGTTCACTGCCCTGACCTATTAAGACTTCACTAAAACCAGATTTCTCTTAGGATACAGAGAGTTGCAGTGTACAGTAGAGTGCTATTTATTATTCTTCATCTCCATACTACCACTTACTAAGCCTCCCCCAATTTGTATCCAGTATTTGCTAAAATTATCACTGTCCTCTAAAAAAAGAAAGGATGCTGAAAAAATGAGAGAGAAAAAGAAAGAGACAGACAGACAGACAGCAAAAGAGAGACTGCTATCCCACAATATGCCTGCAAATTTATGGACATACAAAAACAAAACATCTGAGGTACTGGAGTAAGTCTCATTAATCGGTGACTGCCTGATCCTGCACTTACCAAGATGGTTTTAGTCAAACCTTAGGTGTGTACTGTTCAACACTTCACTGCACATATAAAGTAAATCTACTTAACATAACAATAGTTTTTAGTATTCTTCACTTTATTTTTCAACATGTAGTATTCAAGAAACGGTACTTCTAATTCTAATGCATAGGACATAATTCAATACAAAAACAAGCAAACGAAAAAAAAAATCAGGATACCCCACCACGCCATCATTAACGACACAGCCCCAAACCCAGCAAGGACCTACAGAAGAAATGGGTGCCAGTTGACCAAATTGCATGAGGGCGTAAAACAAAATTACATGCATTTGGAGGCGAGGAAGTTTGACCTGAAAACCAAGCCTGAATGCAATCCTTTCATGCACGTCCGAAAAACGACTGCTGACAAAAAAAACAAAACAGTGAGTTGATGGATGCAGCTTATAGAGAACGGGTACCATATGGCCACATCCCCTCACATCACGAGACAGTGTGGTGTATATATGTTAGATAAGATGTCTCACCTACATGAAAACTTGGAATTAAATCCATCCAAGCCTGTGTGAGGTATAACTGTGGACAAATAAATGGGTCCCAGCAGCCATCTTGCATCAGGATAGAATGTTTGACCCAAGTCCCAAATTTGAGTGAAACCCCTTTATGTTTGTCTCAGATATGAATGCTAAGAAACAAATGAGCAATGTTTTTGTTACCCAGACATTAGCCTCTGACCTGGTCTATCATTCAACTGGAGACTAAAGATTATTTATTGAAATGACTCAAATTAATATCCACAATGAGGATGTCTGCCACTTCTGAGTTCTAACCAGTGTCTATCATTAAGTTACTGCCAACGTATTTCTCTCGATGATCAGCCCTTCCTCCGTGCACCATAAAATGAAGTTCACGTGGTGCGACACAGGAGATGTAGGTTATCAGTTATATGACCAGCTGGGCACAAGGAATGGGTGAGACCTAAAATACTGAAACTACAAGGTACGGTATCTGAACATCACATGACTATGGAAACAAAATCACTAGGAGTTACTGTATCAGAGTATTACTTAGAGTCACACTTGATGCAACAGGTACAGTAGCTAAAGAAAATATCTGACAGGGTGGGTCCGATGGCTTCCGAAATTATACGTACAACTTGTGATGTCTCGGGAGGGTTGGTATGCTCGTCATCACCCACTGCTATTCAGTATCCAACACAGAGAGTGAGTTGAGATATAGGAATAAAATAATCGGTCAAGTGATGACACTCATATAGTATAAGGAGAAAACACGCATATCCCAATACCTCTCGTCCGTGGTCTCATATTGTTTCACACACAGTATGCACAGATACTTTTTTTAGCTACTGTACATCAAAGTGGTGAAGGAGTCGGGAAAATGTCAAGCTCTGCGACACAATTTTCATTCTAGACAGGGTCATGGTAATCTGATTCAACAAATTCCCTAAATGTTCTCCCAAGAATTTTCTTTACAAATTTGGGTGACAAATATCTGTGGAAAAAGTGAGTAGATGCTAAGTGCAAAAGGAAAACTGATCAAATGAGAAAGTTGAAGACAAAAGTTGGTGAAAAAGATATAAGAGATAAGATATACATGCAAAAAAAAAAAAAAATAGAGAATATGCAAGTAAGGTTAACACTCTAAGTAGGAAGAAGAATGAGAAATATGAAAGTGAGCAGAGAGAAAGAAGAGGTAGAAATGTCCACTGAATACTATGGAGTTCAGCACTGGGAGTATGATTTAAGCTGGTTATAAGGAGGGAGAAAGCATAAGAAGAAATACCATGCATCTAACCATTCTCTATTATATATGAACAAGGTTATGTGTGACTATCATGCAGTGCACAGCAGAGTGGGGCTGTCCTCAATATGGCCCAAGGGAAGAAGCAAAACATTGGGGCAATAATCTTGACCACTCTCAGTGGCTGAAGTGGAATCCAAGGCCAACACTTTATTGTCATCTTGTTGACTAAACACTGAATGTAGACTCCTGATAAGCCTGACCAACAATATCGTTAGATTAAACCTGAGGAACATAGACATGAACCTCAAGTTCTGTCCACCTTTGTCAAGCCTAAAATTTCCAAAGAATTTCATGACTGGAATGCAACAGTACATAGCCTTCAGATAATCACTGAAATGAGTAAGGAATTATAATTTTAAAACACTCAAACACAACAAGTTCATTCAACCAAATAATTCTCTTTTTATCAAGTCTTTCTTGGTGACACTAAACACAGGGAGTTGAAGAATATATGGTTCATGGAAACTATAGTATCTGTGATGCTCATTAAAAAAAAACCTGATCTTTAAACAGAGTTCTTGATTAACAATTAAATTTGCAAACTTCAGCAGTCATAAACCATGTTCACCCCAAACTATTTCTGAACAGATTGTGAATTAACAAATAATTTCACCATATTTGAGCAGAGGTTAAGTCTGCCCCTTAACAGCAGGAGTCATGATATGTTGAAAGAAAAAAAGAAGAGGTTGTCAAGGGAAATGAGAGGAACAAGTCACCCTTAAAGAGCAAAACAAAGTCTTCAGGTGAAGGAGTGTCTCTATCTGGAGAAGTCTTCTGGTGGGATGGAAAGACAAGTCTCTTACAAGGAACAAATAAAATAAGAGGAAATGGGTAAAATGGATGAAATGGACAAGACGAACAAGTCTTTTTGGAAGTTCACACAAGTTTCCTGAGTGTCGGGTATATCCTCCATTCAACAAAGCCTAAAACTCCTGCTGAAGACATTCTACAAAACTTATGTGTCCCGAGAAACACTGGGAAGAAGAGCTTACATCTCCCTGAACAAAAATCTTAGCATAGAGACCGAGTAATTCCATAACTTACTTAATCACAAATCCAAAACCTTTATAGACACCAGAACATGATCCTAAATTCAAACAAGACCAACTCATACAGACCCAGGGCAGAAAAGTACGAACTAGCGGAGTCGTTACACCACAAATCGTTAAATCAAAAGACAATCCTCACATTTTTTACCTCTCCACACACTCAATTTTAATCTAATTCACCCATTCCAGTCCCTTCCTTCCTATGGCCTCTCTGCCTTCACTATCAATCATTAACACCTCCACCAATAACCCTACATCTCTAATTACCGTGGCTTCCAAATACCAGTAAAGATCTATAAATTTTATATCATTAATGTTTATGAGAGCTTCCATTACAATTGCAAATTAACTATAAAAAACTTAAATATTCTGCTTTGGATTTATCTTCAGTAAAAGAGTCTAAAGTTTCTGAAATTTAACAGTAGATAATATTTGTTTTTGGATGTGACAAAGCTGGGTAGACCTTGCTCACTATTTCTTGTACACAGCAGATAATGAATTCTATTTTCGACCTTGTATCCTCTTGCATCAGTAGCCAGTGTGAAACCTAATACACCAACTCTTATGGGACTATTTACCAGCACTCAGAAGGCTTTGACAACCAACTAGGTCAGTCTATATCTTTTACAGGTACGACACAGAAAGGTTCTCTAGTTTTGCAAAATACATCTTGGCTAGTGGATCTTATTTAACATAAACAATTATGAGAAAAGATTCTAGACTTAGATAAAATGGGTCAAATATAAGAATGTAATTAATTTATGAACAATGTTGATTACTTATACCAATAAAGCCAAGAAAATCAACAAAACTAAAATTCAGTATAAAAAGGGAGACTTAATCTTTTCCGTATCTCAGAGTTGCAAAATTCACCCTGATTCACAGTCTGGATCACGGATATTTACCAGTACCAGTCCACCAGCACCATAATAACATGAGAATTACCCCAAAAACAGAGGCAGCCGGGTAAGATATAAGTAGGACTATGGTTAGCAGTCGTCATTCATCAATTTACCAATGTGCTAAGTTCCTGGGCAGTAAAACACACAAGGAAGCGAGTAATGTCTCAAAACCTTAAGAATTATCTGAAAATTCATCTTGTGAGCATTATCAAAACAATCACTTCAGTTTGTACCAATTTGTCATAGAAAATAGCCAATTAATACTGAAATCCCCTTCTATAACCAAGCCAGGATCAAGGAACAACATCCAATACAGCCAGGAAGAACATGGACTCATATCCCAGGTTCGTAGAAGATAACCACTTGAGAAATAGGAACAATACCCTAAAATGGAAGTACTGTAGGCTTGTGATTGTTGCTGCCATGCCTAACATCCTTTCATTCATTTGTTGACATTGGTAATAAATCATTATGTATGGAACAACACTCCAGATTCAGCTCATCTTGACATCCTGAAGGGAAGAGGATGGGATAAATATTTGTTTGACCTGAGGACTTGAGGAGATTAGTGGAAGACCTTGTCCTCTTATATTCTCTGATTTAGGTAAAAATAGTCAATGTTCTGGACCAGGTTGACATTACCCATTACAGTAACATTGTTTCCTGAGTACAGTACAGCCGCCGTCTAATATTGTGATGGTAAGTCTTTTAACCTCTTAACTGGCGGCTAAGGATTTCCTACTCCTTCCCCATACTGTAAGCACAAGATGAAACATATAACTTCCTTTGATGATGGCCACCGTCCCTACAGCTAACTTCCACTCATGACGGCCACTGTCCCTACAGCTAACTTCCACTCATGATGGCCACTGTTCCTACAGCTAACTTCCACTCATGACGGCCACTGTCCCTACAGCTAACTTCCACTCATGACGGCCACTGTTCCTACAGCTAACTTCCACTCATGATGGCCACTGTCCCTAAGCTAACTTCCACTCAAAATGGCCACTGTCCATACAGCTAACTTCCACTGATGATGGCCGCCACTTAAGGATTAAGTCACATCTAAAATTCCATACTAGTTATAAATGGACATAAAGGAGGAGTAGGAAGAATTGAAGAGGAAAGAGAAATGGAGGACAGAAGAAGAAGACAAAGAAGGAGAAGGTGTAGAAGGTGGAATAAGAAGTAGGAAGAAGAATAAAAGGCAAAAATGCTCAATATTTCAATAATAAAGTTTAACAAGAGCTGACAACTATCTGAGTGTGGAGATGGTTGCCACAGAACAGTACTATAACACCTCTCTCTGCATTGTTGCTGTAATAGATTAAGTACTGTGTGACTGGAACTCCCATAGGCTTCAATTCTCTCTCTTTAGCCTCACTGGACACTTTAACAAAAAATTTCATTATGGATATAAGCACGAGTGAACCGGGGACATTAAACTCTGCAACACAATGCGGAAGCTAACATCACTATCACTACCTTGGTTTATGGGACAACACACAGTGAGCCAAGCAAGACAAACTACTGAAGAAGTGTGGCACACAGAATACTTGCTAAAAGCTTTAGTTCCAAGATCATAATTTATAGAAAATTACACTTTCAAAAAGCACAGACTGAACTTCTTAATGAAATATGTTTACATTCTTAGTCGTGCCAAAACACGTAACAACTATGTTACTCACACAGGAGATGAAATGCTGAAGGAAGAGACATACTACAATAACAAGTAAAATACATCTAACTTCCTGAAAGATTTTCTCTAGTTAAGGAGAAACTTTACAAGTTATTGTTTTCAAAAAAAGCAACTTCTTCAGTATAAACTGGTGATGGGAGACATCGCCACCATAATACTTTACTGTAGCAGTATCTCTAAAACTACTGACTGTTTCTCTCACCACCAATATTATTACATTAACTTCAACATTCTGCAAATAAATGAATTTCAACAGATGATACAATGTCAATATGAATTAAATAGTTTTAAAAGAGGAGTTTTATTATTCTAAACCATTACCACAGTACATCTACTGATTGGTCTTTTGATAATTCAAATTCAACATTTTTTTACCAAACCTACAGTAGATATATAAACTTCTTTTATGGGGTCAAAACTCCAATTTTCCTTTTAAGGAAGATCCATTATATTAATTAATTTTGCAGACTAGGGCTTTTCTTATAACTTTTGGCTTGTGGGGCCACATGCAGCCCCGTAAACTTAGCCTCATTTAACACTTGAGGTCTTTAGCCCTTGGAAAACCTATACTGTACAGTTGTTCATCCCTTAAACAAAAGTCTTTAATACCTAGACTGCATTAATTGGTGTGCTGCCAGTCTGGTTAACACAGACAACCGGTGACTCAAATATTTCCAAAACCTGAGAATATCTCCTTTCCTGTTATATAATTGTTTAGTAGGTTATGTTTCAGGCATTGTTGTTAACAGATGGATGTCACAATGTGTAGTGCCTCAAGAAAACTGTACAATAAACATAATGTCTTATTTTGAAAAAGGTTTCTACAGGTATAGACAGAACAGCATTGTTTTAGTACAACAAATACTTCCACTACAAACCTGCAACACAAACACTTACTTGTGCAAGCGTGAGGAAGTGAGTAAATGAACTAATTATATGGTCCATTGAACTGCACCCTCATATAATGCATCACTGCCTGCCACACTTCCACAAGGAAGACATATTAAAGGCTTATATAAGTACTGACCTGTGATAGACAAATTTGGTCCACTGAGTCCCAAGGTTTCTGTCTTCTGTTTGCAGGAACTGAGGCAGAGGATAGTGGAGGAGGGTCTTTAATAATGGTAGGAGGAAGTCTCATCTCAGCCGGGGTCCCCACTGATACAGGAGTTCCACTGCCACTGACGATGCCACTGCTTATACTTGTGACGGTAGATGAAGCAGCAGCATTGCCAGCAATGCTCATGCCATTACTGCCACCACTATTGCCTCCAGTACCTGCTCCAGTGGTTGCTGTACTGCCCACTGATGCCAGAGTAACTGTGCTGGCATTAGAGGAAGTGGCCTGGGGGCACGACAGACAAGTTGTATACACACTACCTTCCATTCTACTATCAGAACCTATCACTACTATATTAATATGTTTTAGTCCATTTATCTTTCTATGGATCTATTTACTCTCAAAACAGATCTCATAATTTCATTCTCTACCTTATCAACTCTCTTAATTCCTAAGCCACAGTTTATGCCATTCATTTCTACTACTGTCCTGCACTTTCATTCTTGACTTATCTGTAGTCCTTAGGCTTATGACCTCAAATCCTTACATTAGTGTTGGAGGCAATCCAAGAAGATTTATAGTGCAGTGTATCCTTAAATATCAACGTGTATTGGGCACCTCCAATTTTTTTTAACTGCAACACTTGCATTCCTCTAATCTGCTTTCATATGGTGAATTTTCTCAACCTCTGGTCCTCTTTCTTCCAATCAAACTAACATTACACTGAGGTTGCCCATCTCCTTCAAAGGTGAAACTTACACTTGCACCTGCTTCTCAACATCCTCCTGCCTTTACTCATTGCCTGAGAGCCAATACGATAGAATAATCCACAAAATACTGTACACCATATATACTAACTATGTTAGTGAAGCTGCCATTGGTTGGAAAGGATGACCCAGGAGAAGGTATGTGATTACTGGGAGAAGAAGCTCCACCAGAGGGCTGCTGTGGTCCACTTTGTGGGTTACTCGTCATCCCACTGACTTGTGTTGTGGTCGGGGGAAGGTTTAAGTGAAGACCCACAGCAAACGTGTCTGATGATGCAGATTTGGAGAGATTGTGCGCCACCGAGTATCTCAAGTGACATCTAGATCTAACCTCTTCTGACACTGACACAAGGGCAGCTAAATAAGCCACATTCTCTGGTGTTACCTGTGGAATACAAAACATATCACATGCTTGCTTATGTATAGCATAAAAATGAAAATGGGTCCCATAGGCCAGACATACCATTATTGGGGAATACTTATCCTTTAATTCATAGCAATTTGTTTTTTCGGAATCAAAATTGTAAAATAAAAGTAGAATTACGAGACCCCTGAGATGTTTGCACAGTACAAATATCATAAAAATCTTGGGAAAAGGAAAATTATAAGAATATATTGGTCTTGGGTACTGTACTATACTGTACATACTGAAAACTTTTATATAACATACAAACATTCCAGACATAATTTACAGCAGGAGAGGAAGACAGTGTATGTTTAAGCCTCCATAAGAGGTATTAAGTCCTTGGGTTATCTATATATCCATTTGTTACCTAAGCAGTTTATGTTCATTGCCTGTACACTCATCCCACACTTCCTCAAACTTAATTTAGGTCTGATTGTAATCCATAATTTTTTTCCAGTCATCTGATTGATCAATTGTCTTCTGATCATTATATTCAAACCTGATGCTCAGACACCTTTATGTAACCAATACAGACTCATCCAATGATTCCTCAGGCTTGACATGTATTTATTCAAGGTTTAATATTGTACTATAATCAATACTTATCATTCTACAAATTCCCACCAGCTCATCAGTCAGGAGGATTCTATTTCTTACTGGCAAATCCTAAAGGACAAATGTCAAGACAGATTTAACTCACTCACTCTGTCCATACTGAAATGCCACCTAACCATCTACAACTCATCCAACTCACTCCGCACCTAACGATGATGTGCTACGGTAGTTGAAAAATAACAAATCATTAAAAGAATTACAAAACAAACCAATGAAACATACCTCTCCATAAGGTAGCTTCATAAATGGCATCATCAGTAAAAAAATTAAATAAATAAATAAAAAATATCACCATACACACCTCAAATTTGTCTCTCTTGTGGGGTTTAGCAACAATGGAGAGGAGTGTGATGAGGACTCTTGAAGTGCGGGAGACAGTTGTCGGTGCAGGGTGTCGGAGTCCTTTTAACAAGTGACCCACCAATGCAAAATGGAAGTTGCCTGTAGAGAGAAATGTGAAACGTCTGTCCAATTGGTCAGTCAAGCTCAAGAACATCTTTTATCAAAATTATACCACTTTTGCTTATTTGTTTCACTCGACTTGACAAGATTTTACTTAAGACAAATTCTAGAAAGACACAATACAGTACTAGTAGAACATAATAAGTTATTTCAGAGTACTAGATACTCCAAACCTGCCTGTCAGCACTCGGTTTTTATTCCAATTCTTAACACTTCAATATTGTAGTTAACATATGATCTGTCTCCCATCACTTACCCTTAAAACTGAGTCCCACAGAATGATCCAACTGCTTAAAAAACCATTCAAGAGACTCTCGTGTTGACATCATGACCTGCTCCAGAGTCTGAAGGGCGAGAAAAACTTTGCTTATAAATTATGGATTATATGTCTACATAAAAAAAAATGAATTCATATTTTATCTATGACTCATTCAATAGTCCAAAAACACAAGATGGCACCAACAACTTCAGCAGATAACAAGACAAGTACTACATGAATAACTTGCTGAGCATCTAAAATTACTTGAAGTAGAGAAGTGCAATATATGCTGCTGGATACAGACCACATACTGTACAGCACTCAATATCATTATGAGTACAATATCAGATGCCAAGGATCGTGGTAATCTGAGTTTAAGTCCGGGTAGGCAAAAGTCCTACACTGAAGGAGATTTTTTTAGTGACAGATCAAGTAAACAAAGCAATGATAAGTAATAAGAAACAGCCAATACATGGCTTGAGGTGAGAGTATAGGCAGGCTTGAGAGAAGTAGGGAGGGAGAGGTGTTTCTCGTGCTTGCCTTCATAATTGAGAGATTGGAAATGAACTTCTGGCAAGAAATTTGTTCAATGATACCAATATCAATTTGATTTTCTATAAATCTTTTATAAAACACACTTTGTGAAAGTCAGTTCCCATAAAATCTCACTGATAAAAAAACTAAAATTCGTTTATGGGGTTTGATAGAAATTCACATCCTCATTCTCCATAACTGCCTCCCATTTCCTATAAGCAGTAAGTTTTTATCCATCACAAATTATCTCAACTCCTTATTGGTATCTAACATCAGGGTTGTTCAGGGGTCAACTACAGTATTTTCAAATGTTTCGGGTTAAGGCTTCCAAACTTTGAGAATTATAAAAGAGAAACATGGACATGATGACCACAAGTGCAGTAACAGGGGAAGGCCACCTACATTATTATCGAAGCTTCCCTGAGAATCGAGCGTGTGGAGGTTCTGTTCCAGCAGAGCCAGGCCAGAGGCATATAGGGCCACCTCGTCCAGCTGCAGCACCGACACCCCCACCCAAAACAAAGCCTGATGGATTGCAGACTCCTGTACAGAAACAATAATTCATATTTAATTTGTTTTTGTTTTTTACTTTCATGTTTTATTGCTCAATACTATAACACACTTCTGATAAACTCAAGTTATCAATCTTCCTTTGGTTACAATAATTTCAAGTTTGCTTCATGCACACAAGTTATCTTCATAATGTCTCAAAAATTATGGTAACCAAAAAACTACATCAGCTAGCTAGTTCACATTTACATCCTCTATACACAATAGTATTCTGGTGTATTTCCATGTAAGTAATGGCCTCTAATGCTTTTTACTACTTTTCAACTATGCATGTACAGTCAACCATAACTTTTCCTGGACAACTCAGCATTCATTTGTGTGAGTACTGTACCTCTATTGAGTATATCCCACATCATGTCTTACCACCTAGTCTCTGCTCTCACTTTACATCTCCTTAATTACATCATATACAAACCATCTTTTCATCATCTTTAAGGATTTATTTATATATAAAATTATAATAAATAAAACTACAAGACTTACCATAAAAAAAATAATAAATAAACCGGGCAAGATACCACCTAAAAAATATTCATCAAAGGACATACAAAATACATTTCACACATTTTAATTCTTAAATTTAAAAGTAAATTACCAAACTATGAAATTCTGGTTTGTACAGTGACAGAATTGTTAACTTTTAGCTCAGGCAACAGTTATTAGAGGCACATGATGATAACAAAGAACTTACTGGTCTGAGCAAAGGCTGTAGCCGCGTGAGGCACATAATGATAGAATCTATAAGCGTTATATCTGAAAAGCTCTCCAGTGCCTTGACCAAGATACGCAGGAGCTGCTTGATGTCCTGGTCAACAATACTTTTGCCTGCAAAGAAACAAACAAGTTATAGGTAAAAATCATCAGAGAGGATAATTAGAATAACAGGATGGGTCTGCGTAAGCCGTGGATGAACCACCCGGCTACTTAGGGCTGAGTAATGGTTCTAATGAGAGGGACCTCGTACTATTTCACTCTTGAGACACTTCTAGGGGTCACGGGGACTCAGAAAGTGTTGTGGTTCCCTAGAGTTACTCATCTATATTTGGAAGGAATTGAGAAGAAGAAAAAAAAAATTTAAAAGACAAAAAAATAAATAAATGTAAATTACGTATTTAAATTAGGGGCACATGCAGTACTAGGATCAAGAAAATTCTGAAAACATATGTTTTCCTGGGGTTAGTTATCTTAGTTCAGGAGGAATCAAGCAGACAACCTGTAGCAAACCAAGTGTTTATGTAGAGATAACAAATTATGAATTTAGGAACACCCCATACCGGTACAGTACTCAAGTCACTGTTCAAAGCTCATCTAGGGATCCAACGTGGAGAATTAAATATAGGATTTTTTTAATTATGTATCTTCATTTAAGAGAAAGAGACAGACCTGAAAGTAAACAAGAGGCGGCCAGACACCAAAAGTTGGAAAACTTGTACACTATGTGAATTTGGGGAAACCACAACTGGATTCACCTTCAGAAAATATGTGGTTTTCTTGGGTTATAAATCACTTCATGGAAGGAATGAGGGGGACAAAAATGGGGGAACAATTCTGAAATCTTTCCTTCTGGTGGAACATACGGCAGGAGAGTCAGCTGTGTCTAAAAATGATACTACTGGTGGGTGATTCAGGGGAAAAGTTTGCAAATGCTTATTACTGAGTGTGCACTAGAAGGGAGTTAAGTAAAAAAGGGAGATAGACATAACTGTTAGTTTGAAAAGAAACAGAATAGAGGAAGAGTAGTGTTTCATATACCTGGGAGTGGATGTGTCAGTGAGTGCAGGAATGAGTGATACAAAGCACAATACAGCAAAGGGAGAGAAAGTTACAGGTGCATCACCACCATCATCAACGTTTTACGGCTGTTTTCCACGCTTGCGTGGGTTAGCTGTGATTACCTGATGGCAGCCCTCCATGCTGTGCAGTCTCTTGAAGCCTCTCTCGTCAGGCTCTTTACTCTGATGTCATTTCTTACATGGAGAGAGAAAACAGTTACGATGCTGGCAAAAACAGGGATGAATTGAAGAATCTTTGAGCCGCCATAATTATGTGAGTGTGAAGCACAGAGTCTGGATGCAAGAGGAAGCAACAGAAATGGTGTGATTGAAAATATTCGGGGTGAATAGGATGCACTGAATAAAAATTACATTAATTAAAAGGAGACTGAGAGTTGGCCAGAAATAGAAAAAATTTATAAGAGAGAGTATAACTGAGAGGCGAATAGTTGGAATATAAGAACACCTAGAGGAAGATAGAAGGATGCAGAAGGAAGTACTAACAGCAAGAAGGGTGGGCAGAACAGCGAAATCGCATTAATTGAAGTTGCATAAAGCGAAGGCCACCTGAATCCCACAAAAAGCATCCTAATCTAAACAAAGGAAATACTAATGATGATAAAAGAGAAGAAAGGTACAACTCATGGACTTACTTATACAACCAAACACAATGAGGGCCCTGGGCTGGAGAGCTGGATTATATTGGAATGCAAAGCTCTTGGCAAGGCCTGTCCATGCTTGTAACCAATCACATTCTGGAATATCACGCATACAAGCTTCCATCATCTCAAGCAGCGCATCTGTGATGGTCTCTAATGAGGTAAGTGACAATCTCTCACGGTCACCCATGTTACATGAGAGACTGCGGTCCGTGCCAAATCTGCAGAGAAAACTAATTTTCATTAAAATCTGTCTTTGGTGGACAAAATAAAATTATTAACTGAAAATTTATTCACTCATATATTGGGACCAAATCTATTCTCAGATTAGCTCTTTATAATTTTACAATCTTCTGAATGATAGAGAGAGAAGCAATGAATATATGATAAAGGGAAATATTATATTTGGTGTAACATCAAATATCAAGTGATGGAGACAGGTATACGACCCCATTAAAAATTTCTGCATCCGCTTCCACTTACATATCTGAAACACATTCTTCCCATTCATTCATTTAGTTATAAAATCTAATTCAATAAACAACTAAAGAAACCTGCAGAATTTAATTGCTCTATACAATATAAATTTAAGTGGGATGGACAAACAGATGTCCATCCCACACACACACAGAGGACATAATGTGTAAAGAGGGGAGATGGAAGGTAAGACAGAAGTGGACAAAAGATCCATTATCAAGGACAAGATAATGACAACCAAACATCATTAATAACTTACCTAAGTCCTCGTTCGCCTGTGTGTCTGTAGGAGGATCTAAAGGCTGTGACTGCAGCAGACTTCACCTTACTTATCCCAAAGAGAAGGTAAAATTTGGGAAGGGAAAACTCATCTAAGGAGAGCCGCAACACACGCTGAGTTTCCTCTGTATAAAACAAACACAAGAGACGGCACATTAAAATAGAACACGGAGAAATAAATAAGAAAACAACGTCAGTTATCAATAATGTTTGAGGTTTTAGGATTCATAATCAGTCACATGTTTTGAGAGATACACAAAGCAATGAGCACTAATGCATCAAAGACTTACCTAAAAATGAAGGTTTGGTACAGGTACATAGTGAATGGATGATATTGATGACAAGACCATGTGTGGATGCTCTCATGGAGACTGGCCCAGTGCACACCAAGAATGTTATAATGTGAAACAGGTACGGTAGGTGGCGTGCTACATCCAGGCAGTTATTGAAGGAAAGCATGAGTAAATATCTCGCCAAAATGGCTATGTCATCCCACATTAAATGTTGCTCCAGTGTAGGCGTTGGAGATGTACACGTCTTATCTATTACCTGTGAATTAAAAAGACAATTGAATCACTCCCTGTACATTATAATATACCTACTCACATCCAACTACCTTACTGTACTTTATTGGAAATAACTTTCATAAACAATTAGCTAAAGGAAAACTCTAGAGGAAAATTTTTTTAATTGATGTCCACAAGTTTCACGTCTAATATTAAAAACACAAGGCAAAGTGAGTTCAATAGCTCTGGTAGTTCATTAGGGGAAGTAAGCACACTAAAAGGTAACTCCAAGATACCTGAAACACCTCAGTTCTTACATTCAAGTTAACACACCTATCTCCTAATCTCCCATCACCAATTCACAAACATACGAGAATTCTGCGTGACTTACCCTACAGAGGCGGCCGATGACTTTTCTGGCTACTGAAGCTACATTAGCTGATGCTAAGGCCACAGCCGTATCAGCCATGATCTCTGCCTGACCAGATCCCAGGCCACCCGTTACTGATCTCTTTATGAATGAGTCTAGCACCATGTCAATCAACTCTGACACCTGTCAACACAACATACAGTACAGTTAACATTAAGTCCTTATCTCAAGTGAAACAAAACTATTTACTCTACAGTAATCAATCCATAATTTGGTACCGTATGACTAAATTTGAAACTCCACATAATTCAGATAATTTTAATTATTTTGAAATCTAGTAATAAAATGTGTTAATTTGTAATATTCCAAATTGGGAAAAATATTCTTAAAAATAACCATTCTGAACATGTATTCTGCAATTTATGATCTATACTGTAATTGCTTTTAACAGCATAGTTATAATATAACGGAATCATAATAAAACATGTACTGTACAAAGTATATGGTCTGGGTATTTGACCATACAGTACAGTACAGCTGCTCCTCGACTTACGACGGGGTTGGGGACCCAAATCCAGGTCGTAAGTCGGATTGGTCGTAAGTCGAAAATGCTTAAATAATAACATAGAAAATCTAAAATGGGTGTCTCTTTTTCTTCTCAGCACCACAAAACTCTCACTTTTAAGCTTGCCAGTCATTTTAAAGTGAATTACAAACGAAAATTTTGTCAGTACACAGCGCAATCACTAACGTTGGGACTCGAAAATAAGTAATTTGACAAAATTTTGGTACGACTGAGGCGGTCGTATGTCCGGGTGGTCATAAGTCGAGGAGTAGCTGTACTTGCAACATATTCCTGATTCTTGTAACTCAATATAATTTCAATATATGATTAGATTTAGATTCAAGAATTGGTGCCTTCATTTATGGGTGAATACTTTAACATGTATGTATGTATGTATGTATGTTTGTATGTATGTATGTAGTATGTATGTATGTATGTATGTATGTATGTATATATGTTTGTATGCATGTAAGTATGTACAGTATGTGTGTGTGTGCATGCATGTGTATGTGTGTGATTGCCACTCCCAACTACTGTACTGTACACTGAATAACAAATGACATTCATAGATTGTTTTGCTACTGAAGATCAATCTATTTCATGAAGCAGAAAATGGTGCTGTATCCTGCATGGCTCAGACTGCAATTTGCTGAAGACAACTGTATGGTGAGTGTCATGCAGTTTACTATGTACTTTGTTTTATAGTTTTAATTTTTATTCGTTTATTCAAATACAGGTGCCGGGTGTGTGTTAAATTTGTTCAGAATAATGTATCTAATTTCAAGTGTTTCTTACCTGGCCAATGTTGCCCCAGATCTTGGCTTGGATGGAAGGGTACATTTCAACTTCCTCAATGGTTAATGTGATTAGTTTATCAAGAATCATGGCAACCTTGGCTCGCTTCTTGTCATCTGGATGGCTGCAAAACCTAAAAAAATGCAGAAAAATATGTGATAAACCATTACTGTACCATCAGCAGGTAGCCAATACACAATATAAAAAGAGATCATTTTACGAGGACCAAATACACCCCAAGATTATTAACAAAAACATATAGTATACAGTATATATAACACATTTAAGGGGTTACACACCTTGTGAGGTTGGGGAGCCACGGAGTCATGTACTCAAGACACAAATGCTTGAGCTCTATACTAGAGGCTCGGAAGCCCTGAATGCACTCTTCCAGGAACTCAAGTGTTAAGTGAGGTTCATTCACAGCAAGTTTCTCACTAACACTCTTAATGAAGATTGTGTTGTTGGATGGGATACAGAGGCCTGGAGGAAGATACACCAGTACCACATTACTATACTGTATAAGGTGTGGTTCTGGGCCCAACAAAAACAATTTCATGTTCAAGAAGCACAATGTCCTATAAACTGCCTGATAATACTTCAATAAAACAAAAGGAATGTAGATTTTCATATATAAAGACATGACTGTAAGCACTGGAAAGTGATATACAGTACTACAGCAATGGAAAAATAAGCTGATGAAGCCTCCACAGGTGTCCTTTAAATAATAATGAAAGTATAAGAGAAAAAACTTCTATTGGTCATTGGTCACGTAAGGTGCTACAAGGGAACAAAACAAAAACTGTTGCAAGTAATATTTAATGAGGATTGCAACATAAAGGTTTTCATCACCATCACTCTCACCAGTGCTGTCATCACAGGTGGACAGTGCTATATTATAATAGTGTGCCATCAACATAATCCAGTTACTTTAATAAAAATATGAAAGTAATATTATACCACAACAGGGATATAAAATGGTGTGTAAAGCTTGCAACAATTGACAGTGTTGATATAAAAGTAAATAATGGAAAACTTCTCAACTATATCAAATAATAAAAAATATTAAGTCAGAGTCAGAGAGATACTTATAGTCTTGTTGCTTACCCGATGTTTCCAATAGTTGGCCTTCAATTTTGAGGTCAAAGGTGGCAGTAAGGGCACAGAGGAGGTTGTACGCTGCTGTTCTGAGGTTAGGGTCGAGGGAACCCAAATTCAAGAGAGCCATATTTAATAGAGTTCCTGGAACATCTTTTGGCCGGATCTTCTGGTGCACCGTTACTGAATCCTTTGGAGAAGGCGAGAAAATCCACAAAATACAGATCAAGATGGGAAATTATAATGCTACATAAAGATACACTTATTTCATCAGTCACCAAGTATGGCACTCAAACACCCTTAAAAATATTATGCACATACACTATAAATTTCTTAGCTGAGGGTGAATACTTACAGGTTGGGACAGTTCCCATCTGGCTCTGATATGGATGATGGCCTGAACAATGTTGTCACAGTCATTGTGGATAAATGACAAAGGACCAGATTCGTTGGCAATAGTCAGAGTAAACTGATTATCGTCAACTAAGCACACCTGAAAAATTTTTATTGGTTCACTTTAGAATTATCAGTACACAGATGAAGTCATGTCATACATATATAAAGTAAACAATGCCTGATATAAGCAGTTTAGAGAGGAGAAGAAATCAAGAAAGAAGAATTAAAAAAACATAACAGAGAAGTTTTACTGCCATCATTAAATGTATGTTTATGTCTACAGCCTTTTGTTTTGGACAGCAGCCCAGTGTCCTAACCCCCCCCCCCAACCCCCAGAAGTCCCGCTGCTAACATGAAAGGTTCGTAGAGAGTAAAATACAGCTTCAAATTGTTCAATGTCTTAAGTAGGACAGTACAGCAGCACCACCTACACGAGACAGCAGTATTCTATCAAAAGGTGGCCATAGCTGTTGAAAACTGTGCAGAAGTAAAACATATATCTTGCATAGTTGTGGGGAAACTTTTGAGGTCAGAGGGACAAATTGAAAGTATGAGTGTTCTTCAGGGGCCACCTACTCTTTTTAATGTTAATAATAATCTACAAGATACATGAGTTTATGACATTCAATAAAAAAAACACAATACAGACATAGCTACACTGAGTAAAAAACCCAACTAACCTCTTCTATTTCTGAAGCATAATAGACATCATTGAGCAGCACAGAGTGGGAGAGCACCTTAGTCTTTTCAGCAGATGTTACCTGGATAGCTGATGGTCCAACCTGAATAAGCATTTAATCATAGTTTAATTAACAGTAAATCCAAATCTTTGGAACAAATTTGACACAAATATCATTGTTTGTTTTAATACCACAACTTTAATTTACTCTTGAACACACTTCTTACCTTGATAGCAACTTTTGTGTCTTTGTGTGATAATTTAAGAGCATTATTGAAGACTTTAAGGTCCTCATCTAAGGAGGTGGTTGCCCCGGGTAATTTTTGCTGGTCAGGTTCAATATAATCGTTCAGTCGTGCAGGAGCATCCAGGAAGATCAGTTTCTTATGACCCTTTGTAAGATAAAAAAAAAAAAAATATTCCAAACATTAACTTCACACAAATATAAGCAGTCTCACTTACTGCTAACCAAATTGTCATTTTTCAAACAATAAATTATTGTCATAAATAACTTGTCAAAATAAACCAAATATGAACATCTCCCCAACACATAATGTACAGTACAGTATTTCTCTTAGGCAATTCCTAGTCAATGCATACCACAAACTTTATACCATGTGACTGCTGATTAATAACAGTTCTACACACATAAAGTCAGAGCAACAGTTGTGGCAATAGGGAATAAATTTGCTATACCTACATGTGTTCAATTCACTCACAAACAATCTAAATAAAAATTAAAATCACCTTTCTTTTTTCTTCAAATAAAGGTGACAATACCTTGGTACCCTAAAAGCTACAAAAGTCACTAGTGAACATGACTGTATTTTTCTATTGGTAACATTCTTCAAAAAATATAATTCAAATGAAACTTAACTGCAGGAAAACCAAAAAGTTAACAGACAAAAACGCACAATGTCAAACCATAACATGACTGCAAAAATTTACCGATATATAAAAAATAAAGACGAGGCACAAACATATAATCGCTGAAGGGTCAACCAAGCCCAAGTTTTTTGGGTTTTTTTCAAAAGTTGATTGAGTCACCCCGGCTCTAAGAACACTGTGATCAGCAGGGTGACTTATGGAATTGATTCTGATTTTAATACTGTACAGCCAACCTTAACTAGCCTGAACATTAGGGGCCCAGTTCTAAAGAGCCTTATCCCAGTACAGTATTGTAGTCTTAAATACCTCTTTCCATCAACAAGGGTCTTCATGTTGAGAGCTAGAGATTTAAAAAATAAAATAATAATCGCAATGGACACCACACTACAGTGCTCAATGGGAGGCGTAGCGGTAGAATGTACTTACAATATTGGAATTAGTTCATTTTATTGCCACAACTCCTCGCCAAGCACTGTAATGCAGTGTCCTCTGAGACTTAATTTTTTATAAACTCTGGTTGTCAACACAAATTCCCTGTTGACTTTTAGGGTAAAAAAAAATGGTCACTACCCTCATTACAATTTATAGTTGACTTTTAACGTTATAGAGCTGCATCTGTCAAATACTATACTGTATAGTCCAGAAACACTTACCTTTCAATCTAACTTTCTTTACATCTTAATTATTTAAGTTACTGATCATCACATGCATACTTATGATTAATATTATAGAACAATAATACATACTGGTATATTATTAAGTAAAAGCAGCAAAACAAACTCCCTGTACATATATCACCTATAATCAACTAACACAGACACCCTTAGTCCCTGTCACTAGTAAGAGACTCATTTTTCATCAATTGTGAGATTAAACATTTGGTTACCCTTCACAGAACCAACTAAAAATACCTGTGTGTATCAATTAATATTGTGAACCCAGAAAAAGCTATGCAGCCTTTTAATATCTAGTTGCAATGAACAAGCAATCTGTTTATAAACTGGGAGAATATGTGGACCTGTACAATACTGTATAATACATAGTACAGTAGTGACTTTGTGTCATCAAAGAATGACTAAGTTGTGTTTATTAATGATGAAAGAATCTGGCAGTGACTGTGGTGACTTTGTACTGATAGTATTAAAAACAGTGGTAACTTGAGTCACACGGGAGAGTTTAAACTGTAGCAAAAATAAAACCATGTAGATGTTGTAAGGAATGATAGTCATTCTGTAGATTCATCAATTACCTTGCACTCTCAGCATCTTTGGAATGTCAGTTGTTACACTGTAAGGACTAATGTTTTGTAGTTTATAGTATAAAACTGTTATTTGATTTATTTAGTTGCTGGTGTGGCTACAAAGGGTAAGTAAAACATAGAAACCAAAACATGCACACAGTATAGTACATTAATTCTGGGTCTGACACACACACACACACAGCTGATTAGTGATCCGTTTTAAGTAATTTGCATAAAAACATGAGAATTTGTATGTATCTGTACTAATTATTATACATCTGTGAGGTTCTACCATATTTATTGTTACACAGTTCATGCAAATGGCCCAGAAAAAAAAAATATGCAAAAATCTTGATCCCAACTCTTGTATTCTCTCCAAAAGACAGTACGTACAGTGATCAAGAGACAAGACAATGTTGGTCTTACCTTGAGTGGTGCCAAGATTCTGTCATGGTATTTTGTGTACTCTCTCACCCAGGAGTTGCCATTGTAGATATAAGCTGCATGGATGTTTTCATATGCTACTTCAGGTAATACAACAAACCATTTTTGTAGAAATTCTGTCCTGTTGAATAATGTAGGAATGTTGTACTCATTTACACAATATATTTTTACAAGATTACACCAAAACTGGAAATTGCTAATACAGGATCATACTACCATTTATTCAACAAAATTTCCTTGTTTAAGTAACTATGAAATCCACAGGAATAAGATACAGGCTACCCTACAATAGAATGCATCCTTAGTATCATTGTATGAAGCTTCATATCTATCAATATTACAGTATCCAAAAATTAGTGAAGAGGCATTTTGAATACAATAAGCTAATGGAATAAGATAAGGGCACTGTTTAACTGGCAAGTAGGTACTTCCTGCAGCTGTTAAGTTTGATCTCAGTGCTCTGATGTCTGAGTCACATTCTGCTGGGGTTTTACCCTTTCACTGGCCCTCCTTCAAAAGCTGATGAATGTGCCATATTTCTAAAAAAAGAGTTTGAAGATATTTTTTTATATACATTCATGCTTTGGTAGAGATTCTCCATCTATCATAATAAAAAATAGATAAAATTCTTCCTGGACACACGGCACATTCAAATCAGGCTTTGTGAAAGGGCCTATGAAAGGTTAACTTACTTCTACCGAGCATACGAGTACAGTGAACCATTTTCAGGTGGTATAACCACCAAAGTAAAAATTTATGATAAAGTAACTAAAGAATGGCAAATTTACATTCAGATGAGAATATTGTTCTTTCATATCCAATATTACTGAGTAATCTACAATAACTGTTTGTCTTTACATAAAATAATTTTACAGCTTCTTTCTTTCATACAAAGAACATCAATATACATATTCTTAATAATAAATTTAGTAGGATCTTACTTAAGAAATATTTATATATCTTGGGGAAGCTTAAGGGGTCCAATCAAATAATTCACCACAATCTATGTACACATGTCTAACATACAGTACTACTGGACAGCTGATCACAACACAACATATTTGAAGTAAAGATAAAAGCTATAAAATTTCAATTAGACGACAGACGAATATTTGCAATAAATTTCATAAACTTCTATGTACTCTTCCCTCAACCATACTTCATTCCTCAATGTATGAACACTGATGTTACTGTTTCATTCTACAATGTTCACATAAAAATGGTTGACTGATTGATACAGGACAGCAAAGAGTAACTGAAAGTATATTTCTATTAAATTCTGTAAAATAATTTCCATGAAGAAATAACTACATCACAATGGGACTACAGTATATTGATTCTTCATCAATTTAAAATGCTCTTAAATATGATTAAAACATTTGTTTTGTTCTGTCAAACTGAGTCAACTGCAACGTCAGTGGTCAAGAGTCATATAAGATAGAACAGGTACACTTCGCTTTACAAGAAATAAAAAAAAATTGTTTCCTTATCATCACTGTTTTACAGCCATCATTCGCTTTTGTTTGGTTTAGTCGTGATTACCTGATGATATGGTGTCCCTGTCTAAGATCAGGCAAACTAGAAGCAAGTTTTATGGCTGGATGTCATTCCTATCACCATCCCACTTTTACTAAGTGGGAATTGGGCATTATACAGTATGTAGGCCCTCCAAGCCCCATATAAGCAGATTGAGACAAAGTGAATCAATACCTCCACAAGACTTGAATGTCTCACATCTATTCACATTATGAACTCTATCAGTGAGATTTTTGTGTCCAACCATTATTCTAATTTCATAAAAGATTCACCTCCACTGCTAGCAGTTGCTTGCTCTCTCCCAGGCAAACATAACTGACGACTTAGTTTCCAACTCAAACTATGTCTTACAGAATCTATCACAAGCTTTCTTAAATTTTACTGTACTACTGTATACTGTATATCTTCTTAAACAAAATACAGTATTATATATCATACAGTGGATGTGTGGTAACCATCTTTACATCCTTACATTCAAGTATCTCTAATAACTTGTAAACTTAATTACAGTACAGTATACTGAACAATTTTATTTTTCAACCATCAGTTTGTTTAATATCCTATTATTGTATATGAACAAAGTTGCTCATGTCTATTGCTCTCATTCATGATTCATCTGAGCAGGACTCTACAAGATTAAAGCTTCACAATCATGCAGAAGGATGAGAACAAGCACATTCCAAGTACAAATTTCCCCATTCACAAGGGTTCACAAGGCATCTCAAACTAAGAAACTGTATATCATCAGCTTATGATTTCTCAGTGCCGTAATAGTTAAACACAAAGCCCTACGTCTGGATTTCTATTTCAAATTTAGTTATCCAGATACTAATTCATTTGTGTTGAATTTACTGCTAGGATTTTTCTAATTATGGACGGCACCCCTGTTCCACCTCACCTACATGGGAATGGAGTTAGGTTAAGATGTGAGACAGAAATCCTGTAATATGCAAGTTCTCACAATGCTGAATATTTACAAATCAAACAGTGAACTTTGAGGGATTTACTGTACACTTTGCAAAAAATATTAACTAGTAAATCTAGGAACTTTCATTAACATTCAATATAAAAAAACTGTGTTATGTCTCACCTTTGCTGTAAATTCCTCCTGTGAGTCTGCACACAATGATGGGAACACTCATCTAAACCTGTTGTCAGCACAAGTGTGAGTGGAGTCCCTCATAACCTTCATCATGTTACAGGTTGCACAAAAAAAAATTGACAGGAACACTCACCTGGACCTGTTGTCCCTCGAGCAGGAATGAAATCCTCCCCAATTTTAAAACATGACATGATTAAGATAAACTTGAATGGGAACACTCACCTAAACCTGTTGTCTGCACACGTATGAGTGAAGTCCACCACAAGTTCAAAAGGCTTACGGCAGATGGGTTTCAGGGTAAGGATCACATGGTATATCAACAGGTCTCCATTCGTCTCACCAATTCTGTTTGGAAAATCTCGTTTAATAATAACATTCAAATATATTATCTCAGATCAACTAATGTTTCACTATCATTACAATGCCAACCTTAATTTATCAAGAATTTATCTAGGTTTTTATCTCAACACTTTATCTATTTCAAGACCAATACAAAATACAGAAACTAATTCATAGCTCACTTATATCTTCTGGCAATGTAATAAAAAACAGGGTTGCCGGCCTTGGACGTGCCCGCTTGGTAAAAAATATTAAGCGTCTTAATGGACTTGAACTCATCCTTCTCGTGCATGTTGTGCTTAGACATGATTTCTTCAAACTTGGTGCTGGTCATGTCCATACTGCTCCATCTGTATTGTGGAAGTAAAACAAGTCAAGAGAGGAGAGATAACATTATAAGAAAAACCAAAAAGAAAAACTAGGTCAGTATACCCATAAAGTCAGTACATTTCAAGAAACAAAAGAACGCTATAAATCAACAAGAACAATACAACATTACTCTCGTCGAAACTTACTGAGAATCGATGGGTTTGTGCTCCGGTGGTCCCAGGTAAGCTAACAAGGTAGCCATTTTGTCGAAGGGTCTTCTCCCGACTGCTTTGTGGTCCCGGCTACTCGACAGATATTCCCCTGGTTGAGGAAAACATTATAAGTGTTTAGAACGTAATTACAAGGAGTAAATAGAATACAAATAAATAATTCAGGGTAAGGATTTATTCATCTTCTCCTTGTACACCTTCACCAGCATTGTGTGGAGGAGGAGAATAAATGACTCAATCCTTTGTTTATCTTCATGTTCAATTAAAAAAAAGGAATCTTGTTCTTTGGTTTATATATGGATCATAATTTCTCATTAGGACTTGGTACACTTCTTGTTCCTTTTACCTCTTGCCGTTATGTTAGATAAATATCATTGGCTGTTCTTTATAATAAATTTTGCTTTGGTCTGAACATTTTTTTCTTTTATTATTATTTTTATTCAATCTCATGGGCACTTTCCCCCAATGATGCAAGGTGGCCACAACAAAGATCAAACATAGACTCACTCTTACCTTACTAGTCCATCAACAATTTAAAATCAGGAGAGACAGAACTTTGTAATTATGCAGTAAGAAAACTTGGACATTACTTTCTTACCTATTTTCTCCTGGTGGTTCCACAGTAATCTGTGTAGGGCATGAACATTAGCATCACTGATGAAGGAGATGCTGTGGCTGGCTTGTTCCACACTCTCACAGTCACTGGCAATTTGGATAAAGAAGCGCCGCGCCCCCTCGAAGTGCTGCCGCACGAAGTCATTAAATGGAAGCATGTGCTGCTCTTTGCTGAACTCTACATGGTTTGCAATGTTCTGTAGGATCTTGGACATTAACATTAAGCCACGTTTTATCTGCTGACTTGGCTGCCTATCCAAGATGCCTGTCTCACATGGTGACACTGTTGACAAAAGTGCATTACCTTAATTCCAGTACCAAACAGCCAGTTATGGTAAATTCATACATTGTTATTTTTTATACAGTATTTATACTACACTGTTTCTCATTCCACATCATTAATTAAGAAGGCAATACGTACTGTTGATTACAATGATAGAAACATGAAAAATAATTTAATTCATCAATACACCTTCTGAAACTAAATACAGTACAGTACAGAATAGTGAATAAATTTATGCTTTGTTCCAAAATTTCCATTTGCACTGACAAAAGAAATCCTTTCATCCTTTAACTTACTCTAGTAATCAAAAAGCAATACTGTACTGTAAGACTAGCAAGTAATATACATGGACTGTCATTGGTTGGATTAGGAATCAAATTAATGATATTCAATGAAACTACAAAAGATTTTCTTACATAAAGTGGTATAATAACACAGCACTAACCAATAGCCGGATTGATGAAGCGTAGGAAAATGACCGTCCCGACGGCACCTATGTTATTTTGTGGGAACTGTGGAAATCTTTTACTTAGCACTTGGTAGAGGCAGTGACACATGCTGCGTAGCTGTGGTGGAAACCTGAAACAAATTAACAGTTCAAAAAATGGAAGGGGTAAACCACATCATATCGGTGGCCTTCATAAGGAAGGAGAGGACCAGGCCGCACATATCTGCTTCCACGGTAACGACAACCAATGATGGAAGAGTTTTGAGTTTATTCATGATGCCAACCACCTTACATAATAATAATAAAAATAATAAAAATAATAATAATAATTATAATAATAATAATAATAATAATAATAATAATAATAATAATAATAAAATGCTTGAAAAGATAAAAAAAATATTCCAGTCTATTTGTAAATAATGAAACCTTAAAATTCATGTCTTATAGATAATATTAAATGTTGTAAAGTATTGTATTTAACACCGTGTAGAAGCCTATCCTTCTGAATGACAAGGCTCACATCTCTTGAGGATCAGAGTAACTAAAAATTATACCTTGACTTTAGTTCTGATATCCATATCAAACAGAGTCATTAAAAAACATACACACTCAGTTCTCCCTAATTTCCACCAAGTCAGGGATTTAGTCTGATAAAATTCTATGCAGTAGAACCACTCTAGTTTATTAATCAGTACAGTACAGACTCCAGACTGCCCCTCTATTCACCAGGAATATTTTAAAAAGTACAGAAAATCCAGCATCAGTCCTGACGGTTTGTGAGTTTTTATATGTGGTTGAACATGTGTGTGTATGTATCGTATCAGTGTGCCGCACCTCGCTACCTACACTCAATTAGATGAACTTTTTGCAGAGTATGTACGGTATTATCTTTAACGAGGATGATTGAGGGTTTTAAGAAAATGGGTAAACTAATGTAGAGTACTATACAGTGGTCCCTCGATTAACGAGCACAATTGGTTCCACAGAGTCAATCGTTAACTGACTCTATTATTTCAATGGGATATTGGGTAATTGGTTCCAACTCACAGAAAAAGTACATACAAAGTACTGTATACCAGTAATAGAATTAACAAAATGCAATACTGTACTGTACAGTATGCTGTACAATAATAAATAAAAAACAGTAGAATACTGTATTTTAACTTACTTTCAGGAGTGTATGTCGTATTCCCTGTGGTTTTGTTTACATATCAAACAGCTGATTGTAGAGGCAGTCGATGATGACATGCCATATTCTTTACAGAGTGCATTGGTTCTAATGCCTTCTTCATATTTCTTAATAATTTCTGCACTGTGTATTATCAATATGTGAATTAAATTTCAGAATGACCAATAATTTTAATGTAAAAATGCAAAAATATTCAAGAGCCCAACAACTGGATGTTCACTACACTGTAAACAAAGTCAAACTGAGAAGCGTTGGCGGGCGATTCGATCCGCTGATGGGCGCACAAAGACTGTTCCCTGTACTGTATATATTATCAATATGTTAACTAAATTTCAGAATAACCAATAATTTTAACATAAAAAAATGCAAAAATATTCAAGAGCACAACTTTCTCGATATTTACTCAACTGAAAACAAATGTAAACATAGAACTGATTACTGTATTGACGGACTAGCCGATCAGCTGATGAGCACACCAAAGCATGTTTCTCTTAAGGCTGTCGTTAATAGAAGTTGTACTCGTTAATAGAACTGAAAATCCTTATGGGAGCTAATTCATTTACAGAAATCCTGTTAATTGAACCTCTCGTTAATGGAGGGACCACCGTAATGTATAATGTTTGACCTAAGTACAAGTGAACAAAAGTCCACTACTGTACCACTTACCTATCTGAGGAACATATGATAGCACCAAACACTCTCTGTGTGAGAGCTATGAGGTTCCGTCTGTTCTCTTCCACATCCTCAGTGGGGTCGAGCCTTGCTGGATCAACCTCATAAGAATAAGCACAATCCTCCATCAATGGCCGTATCAATGGTTCAAGAAGATTATGCAAGTAAGAAGCTCCATAGATCTGAAAAACAAAGGTAAAAAAAAAAATACTGAATTAAATGAATGTAACAAAAATACTGTATCTTTAATGTTCATTTCTACTCAACCTTTGTAGAGTGAGTGGGGGAGCATGAAAAGATACAGGAACACTAAGATGGGGAAGAAGTAGCAGACAAATGGTACAGGACAAGTGTACAGTACATGGCGACATGAAGTAGAGACACTATACACATACACACACACACCAAGCAGAAGGATACTACTACTACTACTACAACAAAGTATTTAGTCATTATCACAAACCTTAAAACAGAAAGACATAATTTTGCTCCCGAGTGAGTTGCCTCTGAAGAGTGTTTGCATACAGTCAGATACCTCCACCTCTTTGTAAAACATGTTCCACAGCAGCGGGGACAGCAGGTGTTTAGCATCAAATAAGGTGACGAACACACGGGCCAATTCATCCTGTAACACAAGGGTCAATCCCACTGTGAATTATTATTTAATGATAGAATGTATATATCAATCTACCTCTGTTTATGAAGGAATGACAGATTATATGATTACAGGAAAGTAAAATGCACAGGAAAGTGAATACCCCTGGTAATATTATATTCAGAAATAAGAGAATACACAGAGGGAGGATATTGCTATGACAGAAAATGATATATCAAAGACAATGAATGAATGAAAATACTAATGACTAGAGAATATGAAAGTGGCTAAGACATTCTGAGGGCAGACCTTACATCAGCATGAGTGTTGACATGGACAGAAGAAGCTAACATCAGCCTGGCTCATTCTTAGGATCTAAAATCTATCTAAATTTTACTCAATGGATAATATATCTGTTGTATCCTTGTTATTAATCTCCAAACGCTACATCACACTGAACCCTTATTCAGTCACACTCCCTCCATCAATTATACTCTTAGTTTCTCCTAATTTTCCATTGGATTCAACCTCAACATTTACTGGTACTTATTTATTCCCCAAATAACCACTAACTTTATAAACTAAAAAATAACTTAAAATTAACTAACTCACTCACTCTTAGTACACACACACATACACACATACAATTCCTTCTTCCTTCTATTCTACATCAACAAACACAATAAAACTCAGTCTATTACCATCTGTGGTGTAACAACAACCGAGGCAAGAGCCATTGCAATTGGTAATTCTCCCTTATCACCGATCATGGTCACCAACTGCACCAGCTGCTCGTAGCGATCAGCAAGAACAGTCTCCGCTAACGTGTCAAATTCCGTCCCTTGCTGTAAAATTTTTGTTAGCACCTGTGGAAAAAAATAAAAAATATTAAGTCAATAATATAACATAGTAATATACAGTAATTAATCTTCCAGTTAACAGTAATAACCGGCACAGAGCTCTTCCGGGAATGAGAAATTTTGGGGTAATGAACCGAATCAATTAGCCTATCTATCGGTGACTAAACAATGTTATACCACAAAAGCCCTCACCTCAATGAAGGCTGCTCTGGTCTGCAAGTCTTTATGGTATCCCAGCCCTATGGAGTGCATGAGGCCCGAGTCAATGTTTGCTGAGAGAAGGTTAGACATGGCCTGAATGGTGGCATTACGGAGAGTAGACAGCTTGCCTGGTTGAACACGTTGTCGAGTTACATCCTTTTCAACCTGTCCAGTAGAAAAACAATGTGTGTGTAATTCACTTCATACAATACAAACACTCATACAGTGTACTTGCAATAATAGGAGTCAAACTGAGACAGATAAAAGTTAAGAATACCGTACAGTATTTATATTACACTGATACACTGGACACCTGTTTACTTAATGAATTGACATGAGTGGTCAATATTAATAAACAAGAGATTCATTTTTAAAGACATTAAAAACTTATCAACCAAATATATATTACATTGCAGTGCACCAACACAGCTGCACCATTAATCAAGTTATACCCGGTAAGAGTGGTTCAATAACATAACATAAAACAAAACAAAAAGGATCATTAATAAATAACAAAGTAATATCAGATCCATTATCCATAACTAAAAAATATTACCAGTAATATTTTTAATGATAAATTAATAAAAACCTATCAACCATTTTACACACAAACACTTCACAGAGAAACTTTACCACTGTATCTTGTGTCAGCGCATGTACAGACACAGAAAAATAACACAAACATACACACATGCTAGATGACCGCTATATCCCCCAGTCTTTGAGATAGGAGGACATAATAAACAAACAAAGTACAAATGAGGTGAAACACACAATTGTTTCCACCATTTCTGAGAGAAGATAATAGCACTTACCTCTTGAGCCTCCATGCAGTCATTGAGGAGGTTCATGAAGAGTGTAAAATACTTCAGAAACAGTTGAGATTTAGCCTCCATGAGATCACCACGATCACTTTCCTCCGGCTGAAGAGGAAGTCCCCGTAGAAGAGCAGCCACTGCCTCCATACACGCTTGGTCTAGATCCCTACAGCATCCCGTTATATCATACTGCATATATATGCTGAAAGTGAAAACCCACTCATGATTCTATTCCTTATAATTATCATAATATAATTCAAGCTACCTGTATTAAGTACAATTTAGGTTAGGTTAGGCTAGGTTGGGAATTTATAAACTTGATCAGCCTCAACACTAATCCTTCCACATTAATACAACTCCTCAAGTTCTGACAATTCCTAAATATACAAATTGTGATTCTAATTTCAAAAGGGAAATATCATATATAAAAAACCTAAGGATCTTCCTCTCACTCACTTGGACACAGACGTTACATCAATGGTTCCTGGTGGAGCTATTTGGTGAGAATTGCCCATGACCCAATCAGTGAGGTAGTCGACCATTTTGTTGCGGAACTTCATCTCCTGTCGAAAAGCGAGGTCGTCCCTTCGTTGCATCATCACCTCCACCAGTTGACAGAGTTTAGTTTTAATGTGTAATGTGTGGACTGTAATATCCAAATGCCTCACATATCTGACAAAGAAAGAAAAGAAGCAGACTATTGAATTATCTCCCACAAAAACCAAGACATTTTCAAGACCCCAAAATGGGACTCTTCAGAAAAACATACATAAAAATACAAAACTCGACTGTACCACTTTAAATATGAACACTAAATACAGCAATATCTAATTTTACTACAGAAATCTATCCATATTCTATACAGATCTATATACAGGTCTGTATCAGACATAATGCATCAAACACAACCAACTTATATAACAATGTCAACCATATATGAAGCTGTATATATAAATTGCCAAACCATATTTGAAGTTACACATCACTTCATATATTTTCAAATCCTAACAAAGAGAGATGGGCAGTGCTGTGAGAGGACAGGAATATTTGGAGGAAACTTTGCATCTGCCATCTAGCTAGACAATGGGACATGGTGAGACAACTTTACACACACACACACACACACACTTACCTTACTATTGCCAACATCATAGGTTCAATAGAGGTAACACCCAAGTGCTCAGAAGGATGGTCAGTCTTGTTCTCTAATACATTTTTCATTATGAATATTATATGTTCAATAAACTGTGTGTTCAGTTCACTCACTATTACCTGCAACAGATAAAAAGGTTCAGCAGTCTAATAAAAATATATCAAGTAGACACCTATAGTCATTCTAAACATCTGTGCTAAAGTAAGAATCTTCCTTAAAATATATTTGAGCTAGTTTACAAAATTTGGTATAAAGAAGCGAGCTTGTTGCACTATGTGAATGACAATGTTCTGGTGAATCAAGCCACATAAGAGCTGCAGTGAGGGACTTTAGCATAGTGTGAAAGAAATTGTAGGGAAATTATATTAAAGATTATTTGGACATTTATGAAAGAATACACATAATGTTGTGTAAAGATAAACTTGTTTGGAAGATATACTATTAATATTAACATTATGGTCAGAATTTGGTGTAATAAGTATATAGTTCTGAAACTTTTGGTCTCTAATAATATATTTTCCAGAGTTTCCATCCCATAAAACAGGAAATGCAGAGTAATTTTTAATTCAAGAGTCCTAAATGATTACAATATTTTAGGACGGACAATAAACAGGAACCTATAATTCAGTGGGGAAAAAAGTCTTATCATTGTGAAGAACATTTAGGGTTTTCGGATAAAAATAAATAACCCTGTATAACAAGAGTGATAAAGAGAGCATAAACAACAGAGCATAAATATGATCACATGAAGGAAGACAATACACCTCACCTGTCCCTGCTGGTCGAAGAACTTATCAACAATAACCTTAGTTTGGTCAAAGAGGATAGGATACAGCAGAGGAGACATTTCGTGCCCCACCAACTCTTTTACGTGTTTCTGTATTTGGGTTCCGAATCTTTCATTGTTACACACCAGAAGCTTAAGAAGATGGCCGACAAATCTGTGAAAGAATTAATTCATGTGATTCATGTATAATTTATACAATGTTTAAGTAAAACTAAAGTGAAAATAAGAGCCATACTCATACATCAGAGCCATTTAATGAACTAGTGAATAAACTCATACACTACGTCCACTTAACACAGGAGTGAATAGTGAATAAAGTCACAAACCAACCATCTAAGAGATTCACTTACTGTGTGACAGGACAATACTGCATGTCCTGGTTAGTGTTGGGCAAGACGGCAGGTTTTCTAACATCGACGGTCAAGCTCGGGCTGACTCCCTGAGGTCGTGAGGGAGATTTACCCAACAAACAAACACCACCCAGCGCACAGAGAAACCCTGTCATGTTGGCCCACTCGTTGACTTGGTCCTGAATCTGTTGGATCAGGAAATAATTACAGTTTTAAGAAATTATAAACACCGTATAAAATCCTATGTTGACACGGAACTGTATACATAGTCAATTTGTGAAAAAAATTTAAAACTATTTATAATAAAACATAAATCAATGGAATGTTTATTTTATGTACTAATAAATACAGCTACAGGATATATTTTGTATGACTGTGAACAATACTGTACCTGGTAAATACACAATGTAAAATTAGTGAAGCTTAGTATCTGTGTCATTAGCAAAGAAAAACTGTAAAAGTCTCTGGAAAATGAAGTTACATTATTTAAAATATAATTAACCCATTATCCAGCAGTATTTTATCAATCAGGTTATTTTCAAATATGATCTGTTATGAAAGAGGATAAAAAATATCATGCTAAATAATAAAAACATCTTGTGTGTATTAAAAGCATGCATCTACTTCAAAAGTCTGGCACTTACCTCCATTTCATGTTCCGAACTTTGGTGAGACGCTCTTCTTCTACAAACAGAACGAGGAAACCCCTCAGAAATTTGCCCCTCCTCTAGCTTGGCCTTGGGGTACGACACTAACATTTTTGTGGAATTTTCCCAATTGATAAACGTGTCTTCCCATGCCTGTCGAGTAAAGTCAATAATGTATACAGTACAGTACACACAAATATAAAAATGTATTGACTACAATACAGTACATTACACTTCTAACTGATCTCTTGGTGCTGACAATATGTATGGAGGGATGGAAGTCAATAACAAATCTAACTACTGTACAGTATTTCCTCTCTCAAAATTCTTCTTGGTTACATCACAACTCTACCTGAGAACATGCCCCAATTATCTAAATTATTTCCACACCTAAGCACACACACACACACACACACACACTTTCTTTTCTGATATGAAACTCACATGAAGACAACCTGGTGTCCACTTCTCAATCTTTCTTAACAGAGCCATGATACGTTTCTGTAGGGCCGCTCTACCTGTTGTGGGGAGAAAATGAAGGGAAGTAAACAAGTTTTTCTCAAAATGTTAGCATGTAGCTGATAACTTCAAGATGTTGCAAAATACTTATTATTCATTTCAAATGCATAATATTCAACACAAAAATCATTATACCAACAATAGCATATAGTACATTAACACAACTATTACCGGTACTGGTGGACATTTTATGAGAAAAGTTGTATAATGGTAAACTGAACAAATCCATCAGTGGAAAAATGTTTGTAAAATAATGTCACTAACAAAAAAAAGGTCAAAAGCGAGGGTTTACCAGTCCTGCCAGCCATTAAGAAGTCAAACCTGCTACTACAGTTATGAATCACTCTTACATATAGAAGTTCTCGCTCTCTTTAATTCCAACTTCTTTTTAGAGGAGGATTCACTTGATGCCCCAAATGTGTATGGGCTCAGAATAAGATTTAAACACAGGTCCCCAGAACGTTTAACTATTACACAGACACTTCATCTTATGTGATTGCCTAAATATGAACTTTGAATAAAATAAAATAAAAACAAAAACACCCAAACAAATTCCTGGAAAAAGATGCTGTTTGTGACAATAAGAAAGACAAAGTAATATGACTTCAACAACATTTATGCATGAAAAAAAAAACGTAAATATGGATACAAAAATATATAGTACTATAGCGTGTTTATAAGAGAAATTATATACTGAAGACTATATATACAGTACAGTACATGATATTCTTACCCTGATGATGTTGCAGACTAAATATTCTTGATTCCAAAGATGCTGCATTAAAAAGACAGAGCAAGTTGACTAAAAGGCCTTAATATTACGTCAGGTCGCACATGTCTAGTTACTGCATATTTACTATACTGTACTATGAAAAGTAATACAGGTACAGTACAGTATAGACAAATGTCACTATCCCCAAAACCTGATGAAGAAATCACTAAGACTATTTGTGCCTCTATAATTATTTTAAACCTATAGGAACTGGAAGAAATAAAGTCACATTTAATCACACAAATATATAAGCCAAATCAAAGTTAAGAACGTCCTCAGGAACGGAGCCCATTCATAACCCGGTGACCCTCTGTATGCATGTTTGTATGTGTGTATACATGTGAACGAAAATTAGACGTTGGGGAGTGAATCAGAAGACTTTAAAACTTTTTTTTTTTTTTTATATCTGCTGATTGCCCAAGATCAGTAACTATAAAAATCACCTACAGTATTTCACAGGCAAGATGTATGAAACTGGCATAAGAAGTGTGATGTTGCGTGGCAGTGAAACATGGGCAGTTAAAGAGGATGACAATATTTTTATGCAGACTTGAGCAAGATGATGAAAATGGTAAGGTGGATATGTAAAATGACACTGAAAGATAGAAAACCCTATTCTGAGCTAATGGGGCAGCTGGGTGAAGAAGTGCACGAGACTGAATGTGGAGGGGAGGAGAGCCAGGCCGAGAATGACACAGGCAGAATGAATAACCTGATGAGAGAGGCTGCGAGACCATACAGCATGGAGAATAGCCATTAGGTAATCACAGCTAACCAAAGCAAAAAATATTCCCATAAAATAATGCTGATGATAAATATGTGTACTAGTGTATGCTGGTGCTAATGTTAAAGCTTGGAAGGGAAGATATAGCTGCCTATGACAAGGTAATGAGGTAAACTGAAAAACAAGAGACCAATTCTAAACAGTTACATACCTACATTATTTAGATTTTATTAGGATATTAGTTCCATATCATGCACAAACCCAGGTCTGATTCAAAGCACTAACAATTTACAAAACCCAACTACACCACAGTGAAGGAGATAATAATTTATAGGCAACATCTCCATTATACCGTATACTCATATCACACATTAATTCATGAACCTTATAAACAAACACAACCCCTACCTGTTGTGAGAATGGTGGAAGCAGCGGCGAGTTCCTGGTAGACATGGTAGTTCGGCAGTAGGTAAGTGACCGTTGCTGTGACTTCATCCCAGACACACCGAATGTCAGCCTCTTCACACAGCAAGGCAAAGCACGACATGGCCACCAACACAGCATCCATGTCTATGCTCCACAGGTACATTAGAAACACAACCTGCCAGTACAAGCACTCTCATTATAGCCTTGGTAAATAATGTTACAACACATCATTAAAGTATCTATCCTGGTCACATTCACCAATAAATAAACAAACAACAGAAGACCCGTATACATCACGCACATCATTTTAGAAGACAACACGATTTTTAAAATACACAAAGCAATATCAAGCACAACACAACACCCTACATAACTGTACTGTATGTTAAATGCTGTGACATACCTCAAGTTTGATATGGGCTTGTTTGCAGATAGCTATGTGAGCACCAATATTACAGTTGGCATAGTCTTTATGGCGAAGGAGAAATGCATTCCGACACACGAGGATGTCTCGTAACCACTTGAGAATTTCTGTGTAATTGACGATCTGATGTTGTATGAGCTTTTGTGATATAGAGAACAGCACTTGCGAACTGGAAGGGAAAAATAATGGAACATTAATTCAACTGAGACGATAAGAGGTCATTCTGAAGAGAAAGTTCAACAGTGGACAAAAAATTAACAGTACGTACTGTAGAGTATCTCATTAATGATGGTAAATATAACGAGGAGTTAAATCAAGTGCTGAATATCAACCTTTTTTTGGCTACAGCACAAAAAACAAGTCGAGTTTGATAACATTTGATTGATTGAGTAAAATATCTGAAGTCGTTGTTAACAGTTGATGTCAAGATATATGATAGTGGAATATGTCAACAGAATGGCAAATGACTGCACACACTGGACAAAAATTGGGAATGAATGTGATGGAGGTTGACACTTCAATGTTAGACCGAAAACGAGTTTAGGCAAGGACTCCTACCTGACATCCCAGAAGGTGTTGATAGGTGCTTCTGGGTTCCACATCTCAATCTTCTCAGGCTGGTGAAGGACAAGCAATGCCTCCATGGCTTCTGCTGCCACGTCTGGCATAGATGGATTATGAACTAGTGATACCAATCCATTGATCAGCTCCAAGGTTGAACTCTGAATCTCATGACCAGCTTTACCTTGATTCTGTTAAGGGGGCAAATTTTTCCATCATATTATAGTACAGTACTTTAAAACACAGTGATGCTAATTCAAAATTTTTTCATATTACAGAATCCTGTACTGGTACTACTGGGTGATGATAATGAACAGTCTTGCTGAACACAACTTACATTAAGCATGAGCATTGGGTCAGCATGTATGAGACGAACCATCCACAGTAGGAGGTTCCTAAACGAAGGTGCTTCCTCTGATGACTTCTCCTTAAACTTAAGCGTCCCCATTTTCTCCTTCAGTGATAAGCTCTGGCAAAATATAATTATATACATTAAATCATATGTTCATATAAATGATAAAAAGAAGTTATTAATGATCTTGTATTAAAAAACATCATTCTGAATATGTAAGATAGGCAATGACATTGATTTCTTGACTAAACTTCATTTGAAAAAGTTTCTTGCAAATAAGTTTGCATAATATGGCAATAAAAAAAATAACAGTTACACAAATATCACCGAGTCTATGGAAAATCATAAAACAGAAACTGTGTTCGTCATGATCTGTCAAAATAAATGTAAGTCAAATGCTAAAACATAAAAAATCACTTAGGCAAACTTACTAAACCCTTGACAATCCTTAAGCAAGAACCTAACAAAACAAACTTCACACTGAAAAGAAAGTAAATCAAGTCAAATTATCCAGACTTTCAGGACAACTAGATTCAAGGTCCAGCACGAGCAGATGTGAGCCAAGATGGACGACAGTATTACTGTATAACATTCTGAAATTTTGCTGATGGGCACTGGTGGTTGTGAATCCAAGCATCAAGCAAAGAAGACTCCTCCTCCCCTCCACTTCTCCACCCCATCCTTCTAAACCCCTTCTATCCTCCTCCTCCTACACCCCTTCCCTCCTTCTCCTCCTCCTCCCCATCCTTCTTCATCCACCCCTCCCCTTCTTTACCCCCAACCCTTCCCACAAGAGGAAGTATTATACGATACAGCAAGTTCACCCATAATCTAAAACTAAAATTACACTAAGGAGTCAAGCCTTTTAAGATACAATAAGATGAGGGAAATGTAAGAAACACCCAACCACCCACCCACACCCACCAGCACACACACACACATATACTCACCTGAATCATCCTTAAGGGGGTGTGAGAGATGCATCCCTGAGTGACTTTGTTGAGGGTGTCGGTGAACATGGATCTCAACTCACTGGACTTGTTGTACACTATATCAATCTGGGGCCACCAGGGTAGTCGCGGCTGTGTTATTATTCTGCGGAGAAAATTTTTAGAGAGATGTATGTAGTATAGATAATGAAAAATCCAATGAGTCACATTACAGGCTAAATAATTCTCTGACGTATACATCTAATAAACCCCTAACATAACCAATACACTTCCATAAAACCAAAATTACTTCACAGTCATTTCAGCTCAGTATAAAATAAAAAACAAACAATCTTTCCTTACCAGTATCCCAGTGTCTATTTCCCACTGTCCTGGAGGGTATCAGGGTCATGGCACATTTTTTCATACCCCATTCCTCCCGAGCTAAAACCTTTCGTACCAACACATGCCCTCCTACCTTGCCCCTTCGCTACATTTTCAGTGATTCTCTCTCTCTCTTTCTCTCCCTTCTCATTTTTTATTTTCTCATCTATCTTTTCTTTTCTCTTCCCTCTCTCTTCTCTCTCACATAATATAATTAAAACATCGATATTCTTACCTGTAGAGAGAGCTGACCAAAACGAAGTGATATGATGATGCAGAGTTTGGGTTAAGACAAACTTTGAGAGCCTCGTTGTTGTGTGGAAGGATGCGGAAGAGCGAGACAAAGCAATCTATCATAAGGTCCACATCCTGGCATATGAAGCTTTGGCCTCGAGAAAATGGTTTCACAACGTTGAAGAGCAAATTCTGGGAGGGAGGGGGGGGGGAAATAATGAGGGAAGCTGTAATACTGATAAACAGGAAGAGAGGAAGATATGTCTAGCACAATAAACTCCTGCAGACTGAGGTACATACTACTCCAAAATCTAGCTCAGGTGGACTAACCCGTTAATCCTAGTCGTTAAAGTTTGTACTTGCTATAGATGGGTACTTTTTAGGTATTTACACTGATACAGACACAAAAGCTATTCACCTAACCCATGTAATCCATTTCCCACAAGGAGAAAATATATGCTCTGCACTCTTCTCCCCCAAACAACAATGATAAAAAAGTCCAGTCCAGTTCAGACACAGACACTAACCTTTAATTCACTAATAACATTCTGGACTAAAACAAAGACCACATTATTAGAGTCGTTGATATTAATATAGGTTGCAATCTTGCACAACTTGACACAGGTTACAGCAGCTGCCTCTGTCAAATGTCTACTGATGTTGTGGGGTATCAGTGCCTTTTTTAACTGGTCAATAAATTGCTTCTTCTTAAAATGTCTTTGGGAACATGGAGCACCTGCATCTGCATTCACAATTTCTTCCAACACTTTCTGTAGAATAAGAGACAATAACAAAAGTCACTCTTTATGGATGGAGAAAAACAAATTCAAATTAATATAAACCTGAATACAAAGGTTTTTTTAAAGTGACAGGTTTTTCTATAAAATATATAACAAAAAGTACATAGAAAAAGACAAGAATAGACTCAAGAACAAAAAATCAATAATATTAAGCAAGAAAAAATTTATACACCAGAGAAATAAATACAGTACAGTATAATATAATCATAAAACAACAACTTGAGGGAAACTGAACAGAATACTAAGGAGAAAACATATAAAAGTGAAGAGCAAATTAGCAGCGATCACGAAAGTTATGTTTCTACTGGGCCCTCTGGAAAGCACCCTTAATATGGAGAACAGGAAAAAAGGCAGATGTTTGGGGGAAGTAAAGGCAATATAATAAAGCAGTATAGGCATGAGGAGAACACTCAAAACAACAACAATGATTTTGGCCTGATTGTTTAAGAAAGGGGAGAGGGAGGTGGTATATATTGCAGGAACAGAAAATAACACTGACATCACAGAGAGAATGAACACCAAATACCCTGTCTGCCAACAGTTAGTCTCTTACTGTCTCCCAACAGCTTATCTTTCCTTAGTCATCTTCCATTCCCCCTTCCACAACTTCCCCTGATGTTTGCAAATGTTGGATCCCTAAAATGACGACTAACACCATCAAAGGCACTTATTTATGTTATCAATGACCAAATGAACTTACCGGAGATAGGACTAGAAGCATAATCTGGAGGGGCCAAACTGCTGCTTTTCTCTTGTTGCTCTCTGCATAGCTGTCTAAGTGTTCAAACATTATCTCACAGCACTTTGCCAACTCTTCATTTCTTCTTTTCTGAAATTTTGAGAAACTTTGTTATCTATAAAGTCAATTTCTTTAGTAATGGGACTGTAACTAAAAGTTTCACATCAATCACTGAGGTAACAGCTCATCCAACTACCTTTACATTTCTCCATAAAATGAATGGTTCATCTCACTGATGACTGGCACCCTTCACACCTGTTTTACTACAGTATGCACTCTATTTTCCCGACTTCCTCTCCTAAACTACAAAGAAATATTTCTGCTTCATTAATATCATTAATTTTCATAAAGTCTTCAAAACACAGTACTGTGGTGTACACTTTCCTATCCTTCACCAGCTCTTCAAACTACTGGCTATGCTATCCATGTAAAAATCGAATTTTAGATGAGCTACAAACATCAGCTAGTGTGAGCCAAGTAGCTTGCATGCAACCATGACACAATTGACTGAGTAAAGACTTACCTCTTACATTTACCATTCATGCAACTGATTGAAAGTGTGAGGTTGAATAACCTTCAACCATAATTCAAGAATTTTACCTATGTTCACATCTTTTCAAAAATTAAGTTTTCTTCATAATCCCTTACATAAACTGACAACTTATTACTAATGCTCAATCTACTTAAAGGTTGAAAACTCACAACACCAGAGCTCTTATATGATAGAAAAATTCTCACCTGTAAATCTGCAAATTCATTAGGGTATGTGTCCATCCAATTCCATATTGATTTTTCCATTGAGTTCATCAACACTAATTGAGCATTTTTTCGTAAACTGCGAAATTTCTGTATAGTTTCTGAAATGAAATGGCAACAGGCGATTAAAAATGAGAGCATAGTGACAAAAATATTAATAAATTATCTTTACACCTTTCCTAAGTTTGTCTGGGATGGATCAAGGGGAACAGAAACCTAAGCCCTTTCAGTCCAATGCATGTACCTTGTACACCTAATGTCAAGAGTCCTAAGCTGTTAAGAGATGCACCACAGGCTGTTTCCCGCCCTGGTTCAATTACCTCGGAGCTGCCCTGAGCAATATACTGTAATGATGCCATGTCACCAGCAGTACTAAGTCATCCACAGAAGTTTCACAGCAGCTCAGATAACCTACAACACCATGGTGGAAGAACTTTTATCAGAAGCTCTTATACATGCAGGGAGTAACTCACTATAACCATTGTTCTGGATAATCACTCTACTGCTTGATCATGACTTCTTCAACACTAGACCTTGTAATTAATTGATCAAATATCATACCCTTGACTTCCATCACCCAGCAAATAAAAGAACACTTACCATTTAGGAGTTTGATGAGTCTGAAGACATCCACGTTAATGTGTTGTATTAATTCTATATCAGTAAGATCTTGAGTTTCATCTGTGTTGCTCGCACTGAGTTCTTGTAACCTGGAGAACAATATATATACTTCAGTAATGATAGGAGAGGAGAGAGTACAGGTAAATTCACTCAATAAGCACACCATCATTGTCTCTGCAGAATATTGATTTACTTAGCCCTTAGATAGATGGATGGATGGATGGATGGGAGCACAACCACCATGTGTTTGCATAATAATGAACACCGTCTTTGTAAACAGAGAGGTGTTGGTTACACACTGGAGGAATATGACACAACTATCCCACTACCTTGCAGGAAACTGATGAAATATTGGAGGAAAAAAAAATATGTGAAAGTGTGATTGAAGACACCTAGGGACTGATACAGTAAATCTATGACTGGGTGTACTGGTCATACTTCACCCTGCTTTTGTTCAAGCTTAAGGCATTTCACTCCCTATCCAACTGTGGCAGTAAACTTAACATTAAAAAAAAAAAGATCTTCAGGAAAGACAGATAACACTATCCCAAGGATGATACTACAGACAACTATTCTTAACGTGAGAGATATGCTGGGATAAACAACATGGTGGTACAGTACAGTACAGTATCTGCAGAGGAATATGTTTATAAATTGATAACATCAGAAGAAGAAAGTAAATAAACCTGATAATTTGACAGGATGAGACCCAGGAGGTAACAATGAAAATTTTAAGATAATTAACATGTTCTTAATTTCAACATTAAGTAAAGTGTCTCTAATGTTCATACAAATTTCTAGATACCAACAAAAAGTTTCTTAACGTTCTAAATAATACACAGAACTTTACTAGATAGCAACAAATACCAAAAGGTAAATAAGTACAGCACACATTTCAGTTACTTGCCTCACTGATATTCTGTTGAAGACGGCATTGAAGTTGTTTACACTGAGAGCGAAGAGTACTTTAGATGCTAAGTTTTTGAGCTGATTTACCATAGGATTTTCACTTTGCAGACCGGGAACTGAAAAAGAAACAATGTAATGAGCAGCTTCTTAAAGGAATGTTCAGTAAATGATTAGGAAATTGCAAACCTACTACAATAATACAGTAGTACCTTACTATACTGATAGGGGTGCAGCAGCCGAGGGGACAAACCAGTGCTTGCTTCCTCTCCTAATACCACTAATTCAATCCTGGGGGACCCCAAGTCCACCCAGCTGTTAATAGATACAGTACCTAACTTTATAATTAGGAAAGAGAAGACAGTTGGTTGCACTGTTGACCATGCTGCCTCATGTGTACCAAAGGATTTACTGCCCCAGAAAGGCATTCATGCCTATGGGACCCAGTTCTCTGCACGGGCCATCAATTCTCATTACAATGCCAGTGATTCAAATTGCCAAATACAGTATACAAAATAAATAAAGAAGTTTAGGTTTTTCAAATCTCAGAGCTTACTCTCCAGAATCTAACACAATTAACTTTCAGGATGTGCTTCACCACCTCCCAATTATCACTGATAGTGGTTGTTTTTTTTCTAAAACACACCCAGTTACTAACAACCACCACTATTAACCACTAACCTCTCCACTACCAGCCCACATACTAGTTCACCTGATTCTCCCTTCTGGGCTGTGTTGAAATTGTACTCATAACTATTTGTATGAAACAGACCTACAACTGTATTAAAGGAATAAAAAATGTTAGCATTAGAGATCCTGTTCTGGGCAATTGGATCATTTGCAAAGGTACTGTAGTGAAAACCTCAGGCACGGGCAGGATTTTCCCTCGTTCCACCCTACGTAACCAAGAAGAGAGCACGCTAATACAATAATAATAATAATGGAAGCCCCTCGAAATCGAGGATGGCCGGCCCAAGGGCCTCTTAGGCGTGAATTTGTTAAGGTGTAGAAGCTGTCGCCAACACAACAACCACACCCCAAGTTAACAAGCTGCATGACCCAGTGTCAAGGAATAGTCCGAGAAGATTGGACAACTCGCCAACTGCATTGGCTAACCATTACCCCAGAACACGATCCACAAATCGATTAACATCCAGGTTCCCAATTACTGCTGGGTAGACAGAGGCAAATGGCGTAAAGAAACTTGCCCATAGTTTCACCCTGCCCGAGGATCGAACTTGGGTCCACTCGCTTGCGAGGCGACGATGCTGACCATTACACCACAGGTCGCTAATATAGAAATACAAACACACTCACCAATAAACTGGCAGGTCTCTCTCAGTAGAAGTTTAACATTCATCGCTTCATCTCGTGTTGTATCTTTGGGTTGAGAGGATAAGCATTTCTCAAGGGTATCCAACACAATCAGTAGCGACTCATAATAGTTCTTCTCAAATTCTGGGCCATGCGATCGCTGAAATTAAAAAAAGGTAGAAATTTCCACAACCTTTCATCATATCGACTAAATACAGTGCAAGTTGGGTAATGACTCACTTGGATTGGTTCACAAGGCTGCCATAACACTGAGTGACAGATTTATGGCTATATGCTGTACTATTTTATACATGATCAAACAAGGTATCACTGGTAATAAAAAAATTAATAAGATACTTTTTCCAATTAATATCAACAAGCAAATAAAACACACATTAACAGAGTCTGACACCACTAACATACCATTTCGTTGACTTTCTGTAGGATCTTGTAAAGACCTGATATGACTAATGAGAACTTGTATCTACTAATCTGGATGAGGCACTCCTTGTTCTGCTCCACATTGAATCTTGAGTGTTGTGTCTGTGGGCCTGTCCGACACGGCAACTGAAAAGTCAACATCATTCAGAATTCATTTAATTTTTGTCAATAAATACTGTAATTAAATTCAAAACTACTTACAATGTACATATCTTTTCTTTAATCTTTGAAGTCATTATCCATCTGATGCAGTCACCATACACAAGAATACAGTACTGTATATAAACACACATATTCCCTGTACGCCTTGTAAAAGATGTGTTTTACTACGGTATGGTACTTCCCTACCCAAACCACTTCACAAGACCACTGGAGACAGCAACTGGGGGAATCAGTAGCCTATGGGAGGCCACAGAAAGACCTAAAATCCCTAGAAATAAGCAACACAGTGACGAATATGATTCCAGAAGTAAGTCATGTCGATTATCCAAGTAGATTGACAGCTTTAAGACTAACAACCCTTCAGACAAGGCACAGTAGGGCAAATCTCATTGAAACATTAAAAATCCTGAAAGGGATGGAAAACGTGAACCCGGGCCATTTCTTTGTGATGTCACGCACCACCAACACGAGAAGACATAACTACAAGCTTGCCAAGTCATCACGCAGAATGAATACTGTTTAAGGAAATAATCCTTCACAGAGAGGCTGGTAGAGCTATGGAATGGTGTACCAACCCAAGCTGTGGAATCATGAGCAGTACTGGGCTTCAAAACTATCAAGAACAATGGAGGGATCATACACAGGCCACTGGCCTCTTTACCACAGCATGGTCACCTCTAGTGGGTGGCCATTAGGTAAGAAAAGGTAAAAATAAGTTTCAGGACACAAGGTGATTTTTTAGTAATTTTTCAGAACAAAGTGCATCTTATATGCTGTTAAATACAGCAATTGTTCAAGATTAAATTTTGTGGTGAGCCAAGCAAGACAACCACCATCATAAACAACACAAACACTCTTTATACAGGATACACATTATCTGCGCTAAAAGTTACTGTACATCCTGCCTAAGTGTAAATTTGTATAATGATTTTACTGAATGAAAGAATGAATGAATAACTATGTCTACATATCAATATACCAGTATCTCTCTATCCATTTCTCTACAGTGTATCAAGTCATATGTATTACTGGTACAGTGTTCCATAGGTAATACAGTACACTCACACTGTAACAAGGTCAATTAAATTTCACTACAAATTTATTCACACACATCTGAGCAACAGATCAAGTTACTCCTACTACTACAGTACTGTACATACCTGAATGGGTTATCTTATCTCTTATCTCTCCCCTGACTGATTCCACAAGAATGAATTAGTTTAAAGTGGAGTTTCCCTTATCTGTACGAGCATCACACCTTGTCACCTCCTCGTGTGGTAACAGCTGGCCACTCATTCATTACAGATAAACTGATAAGAGCAAATATCTTTCTCACCCCCTAAGACTTTCCCCCTCTGTCTACCGTCTCTCTTATCCATCCCCAATCTCCCACGGGAGACACAGCCATGTGACTAGTGAAGCCCCTGTTACCTCTTGCTTTTAAGTCTCTTTATTGGTGGTGGAGTGTGTACAGTACATTCACCAGGAATGCTTGCAGTCATTTTGAGTTTTGTCATGAGGACTACAGTAGAAAAAGAGTAACTAATACAAGTACAGTATTGTAAATACTGTACTGGTACGATACAGGTACTTTATATGTTATCTTCAGTAACTGTTTATATACAGTATTTATGCATACAGAATCGGCTTTCCTGAAAATAGAATCCCACACTGAACATGAGTTATTTCATACTAATTTGTTTACAGAGCAAACAGCTGCTCAGCTTACCACAATTACTGTCTTCAACACTTAGTAAATTAGTACAGTACAGTTGTGTATTAATCATCACCTAATAAATACTATTGCAGTGTATTTATCATCACTTAATAAGTAATAAGGTAGTGTAAAGGATTATGCATCTGCATATACCCTGGTTTATTCATTTATCATTTGTTTAAGTGTACAAGTAGCCAAACTGAGTCATCATAAAACACTCAAAGGTAATAAATAACGTATTAAAGAAGGTATCTTCATATCAAATACTATTCAGTGTGTTATAGTGACCCGTTGTAAGCAGGTCTACTGAAAGCTCTCACGAACGCATTTTCAGTAAACAACCTTCTGATACAGCTTATCCTTTTATTTTCAAGACACAAATTACATACAGTATTGTATTTTTTCTCTATTACTGAAGATGTTATATTAATCTTGGTGAACCATAAGAGGCCAATCATTTACAGCTGGGTGAACTGGGAGTGCCTGCTGGGGATCAAACCACCGACTCGTGGAACAGAAGGTAAGCGCTGTATACACTAGACCACAAGTGTTTATTTTCCTTCCCTCCCCTTCCAGTACCCCTAACACAAACAAACCATCATGGAAGTACAGTACTCTAAGTCTGATTTTTGTAGGAGTGAACAACAGTACTCAATGGTTTACTCCCGCTACAACCAGAGTACTGAGGGTGTAGAGGTGAGGGTGTAGAGGTGAGGGTGTAGAGGTGAGGGTGTAGAGGTGAGAGTGTAGAGGTGAGAGGTGAGGTGAGGGTGAGGGTGTAGAGGTGAGGGGTGTAGAGGTGAGGGTGTAGAGGTGCGAGGGTGTAGAGGTGAGGGTAGTGAGAGGTGAGAGGTGAGTGTAGAGGTGCGAGTGTTGAGGTGAGGGTGTAAAAGGGTAAAAGAAAAATGTATTTGTACACATTTTACATGAAAATAATCTATGATAAAATACAAAAATTAAGTTGTCATCCTTAAACTAAATATTACCATAAGTTTGACCTCTTCATAACAACAAAGGTAAGAGTACAAACAACACAACTATGATATATAACCCTACTCATGCTTAATAGTGCTCTATCTAGTACTGTATGTCAATAATGTCAAGATATAAATGTGATATCAACCTTCCTACCACATACAGTACACGAGTAACAAGTAGGAACATACATACAGAGGTTAATAAAGTCACTAAGCTATATATACTTTGTTTATTTCATATTAAGTTAGTTGATCATACCTTTTGTCTACCCTCACACACCCACCCCTTACCAACACCCACAACCAGTCATGTCATCAATCAACGCCACCAATTAGTGACAAGAGGCAAGACACACATAGTAAAGTAGATGTGTTGGGTGTTTGTGGCGTGAGTGTGGTACTAGTGTGGTAGTGAGAGTAATGACAGTGGTGTAGGCCGTGTGGCTGCCTGTGTCGACCTGCTCAACACACGCGCACATTAAAAACCCACTCTCCTACCCTCCCTCTCACCCTTATCTTATCCTAACCCCGTATATTTAAACTCCCGGAGTCATTCCTCTCCTCAACACCAACGTAATGGATACGAGAAATAAGGTATTGAAAAAGGCGTTGAGTTCATTCATAGAGACAGGTCGGCGATCAATAGCTGCCTCCCGATCCCATTCATTCTATCAAAACAAAACACAAGTTGTCTTCAAGTGTCAGACAGGCGCCATACATACCCTACGCCACCTTCATCCCTTACTCACCTGTTCTTCGAATCTTATAATAAGCGCTGATACCCATTCTACAGGCTTTTGAGTTGCCATGCTGGAGAAATTTGGGTAGAACATAGAGACTGTCGGGCATACGATCACTTAGTCACCGCCATATTGAACCACTGATGACGTCGAGGGTGGGCGGGGTATGCGTCGAGGCGGGTCTTTTGAATCCCTCTAACACCTTCCCCTTCACCTTAAATAACTTCTATCACTTCATTCATGTGATTTAATCGAGGTAGATGACAAGCTCTTGGGCCGCTTGGTGATAGAAATATAGTAGGTGTAAGTGAACACACTGCAAGTCAACCATGATAAAAAAAATATTTCTGCTAATATAATAAGTAAATGTTTAGCAACACTTGTAAATAAAACGTGCAGTGCATGTATATCTTTGCTATCCATTTACATTTTTGTTTACCAAATATTTTTTGGGTTCATGCAGCATGGCCGGAAACAAGAGATACGCACACACACACACACACACACACACACACTTCCCTTCATCAGTTGTCATTCGTTCACTTTTGTTATTGTAAAAGAAGTGTTCAACTATGATGCTCCCCCTTTCACAACAATGCCCCATGTCTGGTTTATCTCTGTTGCTTCACCCAAACCACCATCACCTGTTACTCGCGTGTCCTTCCCCGAAAACAATCATCGAAGTCATGCTCTCTACTCATTCACGCGCACTACTGCATCCTTGCGTCCTTCACCACCCTAACCTGTGTGTTCCTAGTGAAGACTCCAGTCTGGTGACCCCTTGGATGTTTTCAATCAACTAGCAGACTCTTGCAAATCTCGGGGACCAGACGGGGTGGCAGTATTCAAAACGCCGCAATGTTGCTTCACTCTCTCTTTTACAGGTACTTTAACGGGCAATGTTCGGTGAATTTGGCATCCTGCGTACCGCCGGCAAGGCCGTAACACTCGTCTTGCCCGCGGTGCCCACCGTTTCTCTGTAGATGTCGGTCACACTAGAATAACCCGTTTTAGTACATCCTCCTTTCCTCACACAGCCAAACTGTGGAATGCTCTGCCTTCTTCTGTGTTTCCATACTCATACAATCTGTCTCACTTTAAAAAGCTGGTTTTCCGGCATCTTCATGGTGAAAATTAATACTGTACAGTACAGTATAGCCTTTTTCTCTTCTATTTTTAATTTAATTTTACTCTTATTTTTTGGCCCCCCTAGGCCCCGTTGTGGGTCGATGACCTGTGCCCGGGTGGGCTATTCCCCGTAAAAAAAATCTCATTTTTGAAAAGCGTTACGGGGGACGCTAAGCATCTGAACACCCTTCTTATATGGCGCACTGGCTTAGCTGCTTGATCCACCTTCTTCTCACAATGGTCCGACAACTTCAGTTCGTTGTCAACAGGCACGGTCTCCGTTAATGCTGTTGCTTCGTCCTGCTGGGACCTGTGACACGCCTCCTTACTGTTGGTATTCCTTTGACCACTCCTCAAATTGACAGAGATCTTTCTGTAGCTCTTCACAGTCCGTTTGGTTTTTAATTTCCTTGAATAACTTGGCATCGTCTGCAAACATTTGTATGGATGAGGAGTGTATAGCTTTTGAAATGTCGTTTATGAAACCAACAAATAACAACGGGCCCAGTACACTGTCTTGTGGTATCCCGCTTGTCACAGGAACACTTGACGATTTCGTGCCATTAATCACCACACACTGCTTGCGGACACGAAGAGTTTCCGATCCACGCTAGGACACTTCCCCAAATTCCGCATTCTTCCAGTTTAACTTTCAGCCTTTCATTGGGTATGCTGTCGAAAGCCTTGGCAAAGTCCAAACATATAGTGTCGATGTTGCCAACACGCTCTAGGATCTGGGTCCAAACATCCAGCACCTTAAGTAATTGTGTAAAAGAACAAACCAACGGTAGTAGGGTAACAAGTGGTGGAAATAATAATAATAATAAAAGGATACGTGCTCTTCCTGGGAGGTTATCTTTAATATTTGATTAAAAAATATATACTCACGACCAAGCCCTTTGATTAAAAAAAGAGGATTAAGGTCGTCACTAATGTCGAGCAGAAAAAAAGGGATTTACTGTATGGTGGTTGAAATACTAAACTATGTGAGGGTGTAGAAGGGCAGAAAGAGAATTCCAGAGGTTGACTGCAACTGAGGCCTAGTCAAACCCAAAATTTTTCTATTTTATTTTATTTTTCCTTTTATCTCTTCACCACTGATCGGCTCGTTAGCCGCTTGGGCGATCGGTCACGTCTCTGTTACACAGTTTATGATCAGTACTTACGAACAGTGTGTAACAGACACAAACGTGGCCGACCGCCCGAGCGGCTAACGAGCCTATCAGTGGCGGATCCAGGAATATCAAAGGAGGGGGGGGGGCCCGGGGGGGGTCCAAGAAGTTGTGAATGGGGAACATGGCGAGCACAGTGAGCCCACCCAGCTGGAGGGTTTTGGGGGGGGGGGCTGTTAGGCCACCCACCAGATTATTATTATTTTTTAAATCTGATCAATATCATGGGCATTTTGAGACCATTTTGAAGCCATATGCACTTGATATTAGGAGATATTCTGAGGCCAATAGTAATTACATTTTCCTATTAAAAAATGCCTGATTACAATACTGTATTAAAGAAAAAGAATTTTAATTTTCTGATGAATAGTGGGGTGTCCGGATCCCCCACAAAACCCCACCAGGATCCGTCCCTGTAAAAGTAAAAAGTAAAAAAGGTCTTCCAGTACTCCCAAGTCCCCCTGACAGTACCACCGTTTTCAGTGAGGGAGAGACAACGTGCTGCTGCCTGTAAATAAACTTGACAAAGGTAAACAAATGGGTGGGATGCTATGGGAGGTGTAGTTTAAGACAATACCACATCTAATACTACAGTTGACCTTTACTGAGATGGATAAAGCAAGCAAGGCAATCCGCAGGTGAGCTAACTGTTCAATTATTCGTGTAAAAGTGATTATATGTGAAGGTTTAAGGAGGAAAATAAGGGGGAAGCTCTATGAGTCACGGTCATGAGCTGTGATAAAGAACTTCAGCCATTATAAATTTTTTTACGTTAATAAATGGGTATATAGTGACTAATGGTAGAAGTCTTCTCTTTCCTCTAGCAACAGCTCCTTCTGTGTGTAATATATACTGCAGGTTGAATCTGGTCAGCATATTAATCCTACAGGGTAAACACTGATGCTTAACCATTTAAACTACTCGAAACTAATAAAAAATGGTTATGACACGTTTACAATAGCTGAGAGCCATTTTGATATTAATATGGGTAATACTTTTCAACTGGGACATTACTAAATAAGTAACTGTGGGGTTTTCTATATACAGATGTATTTTGTGCTTAGATTAAATGGATCTGGTCTGGTGTCTGAACTGCAGGCTGGTGTTAAGAATACTGGTGTCACTAGGTTAGAGATTTTTCTATATTAGCCGAGATTCTACAAAGAAATGTAAAGTGTTCATTGGGCAAATAGCATGTAGTTCTCTGGAGTGATTGAGGAACATTTTGTTACCGAGACACAAAGTTGTCTTATAAGATGCCTTCATGGCTCTGATAGGTATGCTTATCTTTCCATTTTCCTCTTTTGCCATTTGTCGGTTTGTTAGCTGCTTGGGTGGTCGAACAGGCCTCTGTTACTTACTTTGGTAAGTACTGGGCACGTGCTGGTCCCAGAATGTATCTGTACCTGCTCCGGTGTTGGTGAAGTCTGGTCTTGAATGAGCTCAAACTCAGTGCTGTCACAACACTGTCTGGCAGATTGTTCAGTGCAGTACACAGTAAAATAGAAGAAACAGCCAGGTTCTGCTAAGGTGTGAGGAAGCTTTTCATATACCATGGTCTGGGAACAGTGTTTTTTACATCACTTTATTTTTTTATAATATTTGTGATGCTTGGGTAAACTTTTTCATGGGAGGCACTGGAGGTGTTTGACTTTCCACATGGGGCATACATAACTTATGATGCACACTGTAATATCCCCATCCTCAAGGGGTTCAGGTCTTCATCCTCAAGGGGTTGGGTCTACCCTTGAGCTATGATGGCAACATACACATTGGCTAAACAAAAAGTTTGGCTTGTGTATAGTAGGTTAATTTAGTACACAATGATAGTATATTTATTCATTGTATTGTTAAGAAAAGTAGACTGTATCATAATAATGTACTGTGGTTTAGAAAATCTCCGTGAAATTCTTTCTTGGTTACAGGTCAGGGGTTCGACTGAGGTCCATGTCAAGTGGTCATGGAAGTCTACAGATGGTAATATCCCAATTGGGAGAAGTTCGTACTAGCTTCAAGGCATTTGCTCTGGCCCAAGCCACGGCATCAGAAGATCTCCTGAGCTGGTCGGGTGGCAGTCATGAAAATCGGGCAATTGAAGAAACCTTTACTCACCTGGCAGAGTTATCTTTGCTCTGGTCTGAGGTCCAGAGAGACTTTGCTGGTATGATATAGTCTACTATTTATGTACAGTATCGTATACTGTGCAGTATATCAATAATATAACAATATTGTCATCTAGTGTTATACGAAACAATTCTCATTATTTGTTTAGCTACTGACTGAAGAGAAAGGAAACTAAGAAGAATCTAGTGCAGCAGAATAAAAAAAAAATAGAATTTACCCCCGGTATTGTACAAGATGTAATAATGTACAAACACCCATGAATATTTAGTACAGTACATGGTATGTTGCCAACAACATATTTTTTTTGAGAGAAGATTTAGTAAAAAACAAACAGTTGGGTTCAGTTGAATCCTTCAAGCCCCCTGAGGATGTGCTTATTAATTAATTACAGTACCTGTACAATGTTATCTCACGCAGTCCACCTTACTATCTTGTGGTTTTGTGATTTTCAACCTTTCTTCACTTTAGGAATTGCCACCATGAAAACTAAGAACATTATCTACAGGGTAGTGTAAATATTGTGTGGAATGTCCATGAAGTTTCATTTTATGTTCAGTAAGCTGTAGACCAATTAGTATGTGTTGTTTATACCGGGTATATATTTATAGATCATCTGAAGGAGTACAGGACTCAGTATGAGCTGATATTAGAAGGAGAGAAGCACATTACACAAGCTAGGGAGATGCTTTCTGTCAGAGAGCAACGCGAGGGAAAGTTACGTAAAGACTTGAAGAAGGCCTGTAAAAAGGTAAGTAAACTTGTGATAAATTTGAACCCTATTTCTCTTGGTGTTAACTCACTGGATGATTATTACAAGCTTCCAGTCTCATGGAGTTGAAACTTTTTCTACAGAGGAGACTGTTAAGAGCACCTATCTGTCTCCTTCCTTAGCTTGTGTACATCAATTCATAAGGAAGTTTATCCTCTTTCTTTGGGTTACAGTAGTTGTAGTTCCATCTGAACTTGCAGGAATTGGTTTCTTTAACTTAAATTTTTGTATAAACCTCTTCCAATCTCTTTTACCTATTGTGAACCTGATGTAGGTGCTGTTATAATACTGTACTGAACTTTTTAACTTTTCATGTACAGTTTGTTGATTTTCTTTGGTCAATTAGTTATTTTAATTTTTAATGAGTTTACATTAATTTAGGCTCAGATTCACTACACCTACAGTTTCTTAGCATTTGCCATGGTGTCTGTTTATCAGCATTGCAAATAGTACTTGTGTGGAATCTTTGTGTAAGTTGTAAATTACACCTCATGTGTAGTGAGAAGTATTTTGGTCTAATTATCAGTACATTCAAATATTTTGTGTATAGTTGTCTGTAACATTTAAATTGTTACCTTTTCCAGGCTCCACCAGAAGAAATTCACTTGTTGAGGGAGAAATTAAGCCAGGCAGAAAGGTCACGGGATCTGGCACACCTGGAGGGTGAGTACAGTACCGTCAGTCTGTCCTGCAGTTAATTCTCTTTCACTGGTGTAGGAACATACTGTATGATGGTCTTGGAAATTGGTAATATCTGTAAGTCTGTCAAGCTGATTATGATTTCGTGGTAGTTTAGAAGAATATTGGGGTCACCTGAAGTATCTCCACCCTAGCTTATTTCACCTGTAGATTAACCACTCTAACTTAATCCCCCAAATAGTGTTATGGTGGTTAATCTTTAGGTGAAATAAGCTGGGGTGGAAATTCTTCAGATGATCCAAAAATTGCATTTCAAACTGAAGGCCCCTGATCCACCCCACACTAGAATGGAAAAACAAAGATAATAAAAACTGTAATAAAATATTGTATAATGACCTAATTTTGAAGGTTGAAGAAATCCAGAAAGCAGTTTGTTGGCAACAAAACAACCAGGAGTTACCATCTTGCGAACAAAGTTGTACTGTACTCGAGGAAGGACTTGCTGCTTTTTTTTTACTTGTTGTGATACTAAAGTTTGTTTAAAATAAACTTTCATACTAGATTTATTATGTGTTAGGAAGGTGATCTTCACAATACTTATACCTGTATGTACCGTTAATTACTTTATTGATTTTATATAGGTTTACAGATCAAATTTGAATGATTTCATCAACTTCATTTCACAGCATTAATACAGTACTAAAAGAATGACGACTTACTTTATATCTATGATAAAAAACACTACCCAAGAGAAATCAACGAGTGTGTTATAGTCAGATATTAATTTGTTCTCTGTTTACTAGAAACAAGTCTCTCAAAAGATGTTGTTTGTGAATGTTAAAAGTTTTCTCTAGATACTTTACAGGCAGCAACATTGTTTTTATTTCTCAGACATTAGGACAGCAAAGTTTAAACCTTGATTTACTTAAGTCTTAGTTCAGGTAAACATAGATGCTTTTATTTTCTTGTCATAACTAATACTGTACAGTACTTTACTATAGTATATTAGTTTCACTGTCTCACAAGTATTATGTGATTTGTAGTAGGTTAACCTGATCCTACCATTCTGAAATGACCTCTGGCAGTGGTGGAACGTGTCGGAGAGAACGAGGCAGTGAAAATGATACGTGTTAAGGAAGGGCTTCTGAAGCTTGGTGGGGCTTACTGTGAGCTTGCTCATAAGTGCATGATGATATTCAGTGCTCACCAGAACATAGCGTCCCAGCTCCCAGATGTACATGACAGAGACCTGCACGATATCAAATACACAGGCGAGTTATTTACCTCTTCTCAAAAACTGTCAGCTTTTGGTTTACAAGTGTATTTCTCCTTTCTTGGTACTTGCAGTACTTACAAAAAACTGATTTTGCTGTCTCATATGTACACACATTCCAAAAAGTATCTTTACAGTTTTGTGTGAGACAATATGACAAAACGTACTAAGGATTTTGACAACAGGAGCCGCAGTGATCATTTTAAAATTCATATAACTCATCTATAATGATACCTTTTGGAGTGTGTGTAATGTTATATGAGTAGTTCATATTGTAAGTAATAGCAAATGATTATTGCAATTATATACAGTACTTAAGATACCAATTAGTATTTTGGATGAAAGCATCAGACCTAAGTGTCGAGGCATTTATCCTCATGATGGCCAGCAATCAGTAAACCGAATTGGATAGGCTTTTGATAATACAGTCTCTCCTCGACTTACGACGGGGTTCCGTCCCGACGACCAGGTCGTAAGTCGAAAATAATACATAGAAATTCTAAAATGGGTGTCTCTTTTTCTTCTCAGCACCACGAGAACTCTCACTTTTACGCTTGCCAGCCATTTTAAAGGGAATTACAAACGAAAATTTTGTCAGTACACAGTGCGATCACTAACGTTGAGACTTGAAAATATGTAATGTGAAAAATATTTTATGCGATCATGGCTGTTGTATGTCTGGGTTGTCGAATATGTCGTAAGTCAAGGAGAGACTGTACTGTACTATAAATCAGGGAACCCTGTTCAGAGCTAAGAGGGCAGCTGGGTATTGAGCATATTTGTTGAAGTGTTGTGTAGTGGTAGACAGAGATGGTATGGGCATGTGGAGGGAATGGAGGAGACCAACTGAGTCAAGAGCTGCTTGAGTTTAATGTGGAGGGGAGGCGAGCCAGGGGTAAGCCAAGAATGACATATGGAGAGGTACAGTGTTTAGAAATAACATCAGGGACAAGAAACTGAGAGAGAGGCCACAGTACAGCATATGCTTTTAAAAGTGTTTCACTATATAGTACATGAAATGTTTTGTTTCTGGTAACTGTAATATATTTTCAATATTTCAGGTGCAGGATCAGCTAAAAAGTTTGTACAAGATGCCAAGGAGCAAGTGCGATCTTATCGTCGCAACAGTATATCCCAAAAGTTGCCACTGCCTGAAGACCCTCCTCCCCCATATACTCCTTCTGTTGAACACCTCGATGATCTCTCATCAAACTCAAAGCATAATGGAACTAATAACTCATCCCATAACATGCCTTTCAATATGAACACTTCCTCATTTAGTGAACCTTCTGCTCCAAATGCTTCCATATCAACAATAAGCTCTCCAGATCGCTTGCCTCGTGGTAGAGGACCAACCGTGCCACACAAACACTCGACCCCTAATGCCCCAACTATTCCACCTCCACAAAGTCCGCCTAGTCATATTTACCCTGATCTTCCAAGACCTCCACGATCACAACCATTCCATATTCCTAATAGCCCCTCTCTGCCCGAGGAGACACATCCTCCACATTTACCTTCCCCTCCAAATTCACCTCACTCTAATAGTGAACCAAACTTAAATAAGGAATCCCACTTAAACCAGGTTGTGAAGTATCCACCACTCAGTGCATGTGATAACTCCAGCTTTAATGAAAGTACCTTTCACCCCGACACATCCTCATCAAGCCCAAATCTTGCCAGTAATCGGCAGCCGACCACATCAACGGTAGACGAGTCTTTGCCATACAATCCTTATTACGATTGGTTGCCAGCGACAAATGGTGAGGAGAGAATGAATGGGAGATGCTCACCAGAAAATCAAAGCATATCTCCTGCTACTGGTACTAGTAAACCAGAAACTAAAGGAAAAGTACTCGGTTCTCATACCGCCGCTCCATCTGTTCGCCCGAGGGTAAATAGAAATCCGTTTTTTGATGGTTGTTCCGACGAAGAAGGGAAGGGTGAAGAGAGCTTGTCTGGTGCTATGAGAAAGACATCGATCAGGTAATGATATGAAATGGGGCTTTGTGGTAACTTGTGATTACCTGGGGACAACACACATCATACCCACAGATTAGATGGAACTATTTTTTTTTTTATCTTTGAAGTACTGCATATAGAACTTAATTGGGGTTTTTATGCTGTTTCTTGGAGGTCATGGATCTCAGTGAGCTAATCAAAGTTACATAGAGAATTTTAAGCCAGTTTGATTTATATTGACAGTGTATTTAACAGCTTTATTGTTCTTTGTGAATGCTAAATATTATTATTTATAGATGAATAATTGAACTACTGAATTATGTATAATGAATTGATGCTTCATCTGAATACAGGTTATATTTTCCCTTTTCTTACTAGCAACATTTAAATGATCGGTATAGTATGTGTCAATGAGTAATGTGCTTACTCCTTGGAAATTATTGTATTCCTATCTACAAATACTCTTCATCAAGGTCTTAAGGCACAGTAATCTTTAAGTTACAGCTTGATATTTGCTGAAGGCTTGACACAGTCATTAACCTCGTGATGCAGTACAATGTTGATGTGTACTGTATGCAATTATGATATTTTTCCGTCTATCGTATACAGTACTGTACTGTATAAAGAAACAAACACATCAGTCATATTGAGAAGGTTCATGTGGAACCTATTAAGCTTAAACAATAGCAGCTGTTATTTGGGAAAGCTTTCATAACACGAAAGAGGTGTTTATTTAGGAAATTTGTGTATCTTAAGCGTTCATATAGCGAGGGACCCCTGTATATGTCCAGCTTTTGGCTTTAACACAGTCAGTATGGTGGTTGAGAAGAAATTGTATTTAACACCATTTACTTTTTCATTATCACTTAAGTACAATATAGTGCACAGTGATGGTGAAGGTTTTCCCCTCAATATTAGCACGTGCTCAAATTTCCATGTGAACATCTTCCATGATGGACATTAATTAAGATGAAGAAATTACTTGATCAGGTTTTCCTCATATCAACCATTGTGCTCCCTGATAAGTAACACGTCTATGCTTCACCCTCACCACAAAGGGTGTCGAGCCTTTGTCCTGGCTTTAGTAACACTCAAAGATCATGTCCATCAGCTTATACTTAGTAGATAACCAGATTGGATGTGAGGCATTATCTAATTCTGAGCTTAAAAATGTATGTTTAAGTGTATGATATTCTCTCATTAAAACAAGAAGACAGTTACTTAATTTGGAGGGTTATCCTGACCACAAACTGGACAATTATCATGTAATTTGTTGGAAACCTTTAGGTAGTTATCATTAAGTTAATTGTGATAAATTTCTCAAACATATTTACTTGGTTGTGAATCTACAAATTGTTATTAATGATTTTATGTCAAATGTGTTATTCTTTACAGTAGTCCAAGACAATCTGGACTTTGGTAAATGTTCAGTTCACCATATACAGTACAGTACTTCTTTGTCTTGTAGCAGACTCTCAGTATTAAAGAAGTTAATTACTGCATAGTTACTTGCGAATTATTAAATAGAAAAAAAATAACTACAACCTTATCCAGCCCCCTCTTTCATATACACTGTATAGTGCAGCATCATTTAAGACGACTCAAAGACTACAGATTCAAGCAAAACTGTAACACTTATAATGTAACTGATTATTAAACTAGCTTCATATATATTAGTGGCCAGTGTGGTAATGGTTGGCATGAATGTTATAAGTGTTTTAAAATCTTAGTTCAGTATCGTACCTCTTCCTAATACTTATACAGAGTACAGGTAGTACAGTCACCCACAAAAGTCCTGTCATCTCTCCCCCTGCACCACGAATCCTGAGATTCAGACTCGTGAATCCTAGTATTTTGGGATAGAATACAGTAATGCATCGGTGTCTACTGCTTCAGGTTCACGAGTTTGAATCTTGGGGTTCATGGAGCAGTATGAGAAGTGACAGGACTTTTATGATTGGGTGACAGTACAACGAAATTGGCCAGTTTCTAATATTTCTCTCAGTACTTACATCACCAAATTTAAGGTGTTCAGTGCTGAAGTAAGAGGAAACTGTGATTACCAAGAATTAGTCATTAGCTGTAATAGTGCCGAGCAAAGGCCAGAGAAGTGGGAGAAAAGTTAACTAAGTCCATCAAGAGAGGAGTTCATAGAGCTGACTAATACAGCTAAAAAGATATAGAATTAATAGACTTTGTGGTGAAAAAGGAGTATAACATATTGAGAACATTTAATCAAGTTACTGATAAAAGATACTGTACTTCTTTAGTGGAGTGTTAGGGAACGTAATTCATGTGATATTACAATTACTGTATGACGCTCCAGATCTCATATTTATTAAGGAATCTATTTACCCCATGGTTAGCAGTTGGTTGATATGCAGAGCCTTTGTGAAGCAGTAATCACTCACACCCCTCTCACACACTCAAATCTTCATAGGCTTCTAAAGTCCCCAGGAATCCAGAGTTGTTACTGAGATGCCAAACCGCAATCAAATTAAAAATTTATTTCTTCATAAGGTTGTTAATGTTTGGTTTGAACTCCATGACTCAGAATATGAACTGAACAGATTTCTTGACTGAGTACAGTTCAGGAAATTGGTGTATGGAAGCCAAGACTTAATTTACTGTACAAGGCGCCAAGAGTTGAGTTGTTCACAATATAATGATCAGTGTGTGGCAGTTTCTTAATGTAGAACTTGTTACCAATTTACTAGTATGATTTAATACTACTGGAGTATTGTTATTCATTAGCAATATTAATATTTAATGTCATCATTTGGAGGGCACTGTACCAATGATTTTTTTTTATATATCAAACATGGGATCTTCTATTAATTCTTGTAAAATATTATTTTAATTTCATGTTAATTTTTACTTCTCATTTATGTTAAACCTTTAACATTCACCCAGCAGGAATAGAATATATAGTTACCATCACCTTGCACTATAAGTACAGTTCAGTACCTATAAGTATCAGTAGAAACCTGTAACACTTATGAAGTAGCAGTTACCTCAATCTTTATTATGTATGAACAATATGGAGTTACTGTTAAAATGTATTAACTGATCATAATACACAGACCACACTGTAGTGGTACTGTGAAGGTAGGAGGGAGAAGGAATGCCAAGGAGACGACATGAGATTAACATCCAGTAAACAGCATTGTGTTAGTTACTGAAGAGTTAGTGTAGAATCAAATGGTTTAAGAGAATGTTGGAGTAGTTTCGTGATTGGAGGATGCCAAATGAAGAGTATATGCTATTAAGGTTTCCACTACTAGTTGTCATAAGTACCCAACAGCCTCAGGAAAGAGAATATTGAGTAACTAGGATGTCTTTTGTGCTTGTAAATGTATGCAGTTAATTACCTTACCACTCTTCTTTTATTTTATTTATTAATTTACTTATTGTGAGATTACAGATCTGATTAAAAACTTGGTTGTGAATCTCTTCCTATAATTTGGAGGTAAGGTGAGAGCCGAGGAGGTACTGTAGTTAACATTCTCTCAAGAAGTCATAATGCCGAGGTGCTGGCACAAGCTATAGTGATATACAGTACCGTACAATACAGTATTTGGTGAGGAGCAATATTTTTGTCACAGCGCAGGTGTCCGAACCTATTAGGACGAAGTTGTACATGTCTGTATCCAGATTCCCTGTATAATATTAAACAGTCTTATTGCCTATTGTGGTCAGCAGAGATACAAAGGTTGCACTAAACTAAATTCAAGAAGATCCTGCTTAAGTGTTCCTGGGGTACAATACAGTACATGCACCAAGTTAAAGTTGGCCTAATTTCCTAAACTTACTGCACTACATCAGACACCTATAACCTCTTTTTATTTTAATTATTTATGTTTGGTATTTTCATAATTTGTGGTACAGGTAACACAAATTGAGATATACTATACTGAGTAGAGGTTAAGTACATCACTTTTTTGGTCTTTGTGTGTGTGTGATGCTTTACACAAAAGGCTGCATACACATAACTCCTCATAAACATCACCTTAACCTATACACCTGTTGGCTCTAAAATTCTCACCTTACTTCTTGATATCATAGTTATTTGCCTTGTAGAAGAGTACATATACATTTGTGGATAAGAACAAGTCAGCAGGGAGGGAGTTTAAGTGGAGTCTGCCTCATAATTAAACTATACAAAAAATAAATTTGTGGAAAGAAAATCACACTTGGTCTTCACCTTTATGTATGTGCCAAGAATGCACCACCTCCCTCCCTGACAAATATTTTTGGGTCCACAACTGTAAATGACTTCATTATGTTATACTGTACATAAAAATGAATGTAAACTGTTTCACTATACTAAGCCTTTCACAGTTCTTGATTTATAAAGTACAGTGTATATTATAATTTGCTCATGTATGGTGTAACTTGGTAGCATTATATGAAATCCACAGAGTTATTATACTGCAGATAGAGAACTATGAATTTATGCTAACATATCAATTTTATAACTTTCATATAAAGACAAATTTAAAATTATTCAATCCTTGTGACTAGTATTACGGTTTTCATTTAAACTTGTGGTGTAAGATAATATTGTGTATATATTAACTCTCATAATGCATTCCTCAACATTTTCACTGCCATGGGATGTTGGTTGTTATCCCTCATGACTCTTGTCTAGTGTAAACAACTTCCTTGGTATCAGTTTAGAGGAACAGGAAGATTCTCCATGGTGCTACTTTCCAATTGATAATGACATTTTTGCTCCCTAGCCTTCTTAGTGTATTTTATTTAAGTAGAAATGTATTATAATACTAAGCAATAATTTCTAAACACATTGACCCTAATCTCAGCTTCAAATGGTAATTGAACAGTATCCTTAAGTTTGTGATTATTTTTAACTTTTGACTTTGTTTATTTTGGATGTTATTTCTTATGCAGGTACAGTACGGTACAGTATAATGTGCCTTCTTGTAGCTGGTGTCATATAGCATAACCATAGTATGACTTGAAGGCAGTTTATTTTATTGGGCTTACTTAGAATACAGTTTTACATAATTTCTCAACTGGTAATATCTGCTACTAGAATTAAAGTACTGTACCAAGTTTTAATTAGTTAAACCTTAATTCTTGTAATACTTTACCACAAATCTTAAACTAAAATCGATTCAGCTGCCTACAGTCAGTGTTGCTCGAGTGTATATTTTAATTTACACTGTTAGATTCATTTACTGGATATTTGAACAACCAGATTTCCAAACCCAATCATTATAGTTATTTAATAAATAATAGGAAGTTGTTACAAGTTTGTATGAGTTGTTTTTATTAAAAAGTGTGTTTTTTATTATGCCTACTTGAGCATGCGAGGTGAAAAAAAATAGCTAATAGGTTGTGGATTTTCCAGTAGTTGTGATAATCTGTGATTGGTGAAATGGTCACATTGTTAGTACTGTACAGGTACTTGATTTATAAGACACAGGTAAACATAAAGAGTACCTGTGCCCTGAATGTTAGTGATTTGATTTTCTTGAATATTCTTCAGTTTACAGAAGTTGGAAGGATACTGAATAATTTGTACAGAATTAATTTACATGGTACGATATATGGAAGTACTGCAAGTCTTACTGAAAGTTTGGATGCTGACCTGGAAAATAGTGTTGATATCAGGCCAAGTATTGTACTGTATAGCATACTCATATTATTTCAAGGAAATACTGTAAAAAAAACTAAAGTTACAGTCCAAACAGTTTCATTACATAGTACAGTAATTACAATAACTGTAATGAAACAGTTTGTATTTCTGCAAGTTCTGAATTATAGTACAGTATAATGTACTGTATAATATATAACAATGGCACAGTTCAGCACAAAGTACTGTATGGAATTGTTCAGCTTGATTGAATGTTGTTTTATATTTCAAGAGTTAGCGATGAATGAACCGAGATATATAACCATGTTATTTTGGCATTACTCAATTGAGAATAGGATATGAATTGTAAGCTTGACACAGTAAAAACAATAATTTCATGATTTTTTTTTATCTATACCTACCGAACTTCATTTACCGAGTCACTATCTGAACACTCATCACCATAGAACCCTAAATTAAGTAGAGAAAGTTTTATTTGGGGGATATGGACCCTGTGACAACCTGTTCATAAGGAATATGTTATCTTTGTGTTGTTTGGTTACCATGGAGTTAGAGGCACTGTATCATGACTAGTCTACCCGGGGAGATGGTACAGTACTGTGTATATGCTGACAATTTACTTTAGTGCTGATAATATTAAAGAGGTAGTGGAGAATTTAAGCCTTTGACAATGATTGTTTAACCCTTCAGGAGTCAAAGGGTTAAGAAATGGAAGGACTAATGGAGTCACAGGTTATGGGAGTAAATGAGGTGAAAACAATAGTACCTGTACTGTAATGATTAGTGGTATGTGTGAAGGACCTCTTGTGTTAAGTGTAAAATGGCCACTTGCTGTCTGAAGATAATATACAGAAGGGGAAAGTGAAAACATAAGATCATTAGATGAAGCAGACATACAGTAATAAAAGTGCCACAGTCCTGGAAATAATGTAAGAATAAAATAATTATTACAACAGCAAAACCAACCCACCAAATCTAATCTTTCTTCATAATTTTGTAATATTTTCAGTTAAATGAAAGAAGGGTTTGGTAAAAGTGTTGGCTTCCAGGTGTCCACCTCTGACACCCTAGCTTAATGGATCTCCAATTTACATCATTGACACCATCTGAATTTCAACCTCAATTAGAACCAGTTAAGAAATTGCCCATGTGTCTGGCAATTGCAAATATATTAATAGAAATGTAAATGAGCAGTGATTTGAGAAGAAACTAGATGAAGTTTTGACAAAGAAATTATAGAGTATATGATATGATAAACTTGAGTATATAAAGAACATGTCAGAAGAGAGACATGTTGGGAGGATGTAAAAGCCCAAACTATTGTAGAGCTCAGGAAACTTACGGAGAAGGCAGCTGCTGATCAAGATACTTTATTTTGTTTGTTTTATGGTTTTTAACATTGTTTAACTCATTTTGGCATTTGTTTTTAACCACTGGCACGAGGGAGATGAAAATACACTATATACTGAGCTGAGGACAGAAAAGATTACAGTAAAATCTTATTCTAAATCAATTTCCTCCTCAACATATCAGTTAATGAACAAAAGTAAATGACACAACTGCCCTACAGGGGTTAAATTAAACCATTCTATTGAGCTGTAAAATACAACTTTGTTCATAAATTCAGAAACTGTTGCATATTTAACAAGTACAGGGGTCCCCGACTTACAAACGTCTGACTGACAAATGCCCGCCGATAGGAACAAGGTTAAACTTGAAATTTACGATATTTTATTTGCCTGATGACTTATTTTTTACTTTCATTTACTGTATTTCGTCATTCTATTTCTTCTTTTGTCTTAAATAAAGTGATTTTAGATGTATATAAGGACTTAGGCTATGAAATAATGGTATTTTAAACATTGTTCTGTAAGTACAGTATGCACAGAGCATGTGTTCCGACTTACTTACAAATCCAACTTAAGAATGTCCTCGGGAGTGGAAGCCGTTCATAACCCAGGAACCCCCTGTACTATCCTTGTACATAAAAGTAAACATTCAGGAGTGCTGAGTGTATTTTAAACATATTCCAAATTATAAATATTTATTCTGAGTACTACCGAGACTTTGTTGGAAAGTTTATGCATTGTTAACATACCTTTTCTAATATTTAAATCATTCATCACTTTCACAACTTGTCAGCTCAATAGCCAGTTGGACAGTTGGTTTGGTCTCTGTTACACACTGTTCGCAAGTACAAGTACAGTATTGGGCATGTATGGACTCTTGAATATACTGTCATCCCGTCTGGTAACTGAGACATGCTAGGGACGTCAGTCGATTGAAAATGTCCATAGGAGAGCCACCAGACTTTGAAAACACTTTTGAGAGATGGACATTTAAATAAGAATTAGATTTTTGCTTAAGTCCTACTAGTTAATTAGCAAGATTCATCTTTTTCTCACAATCATCAGAAAACCTCAGTTCATTACCAACATCAACATCCAGATCTTTCTCACATATATTTTCAGTTCATGAAGTGTCTGTCCTGTTGGGACATATGACACACCTCCTTACTATTGATGAAACCAAGATGCATCCTGTTCCATTTTCTCATGTAAATCTCCACATCCACTCTGAAAGCCACTAGAGACCTTCCTGTAATGCTTCACAGTACAGTATAAAAGATTTTTAACTTCTCTGAATAGCTTAGGGTAATCTGCAAGCCTTTATATGTAAGAATGAATAACATCTGGCATATCATTTATGAAACAGACAAACAACATCATCTCAAGGACACCACCTGGGTAAACATGAGTGTCACACCATTAATCACCATATATTATTTACAATTATAAATAAAATCTCCATTCCATGTCAATACACACTTAAAGGACCTGCAGTTTCATTAAAATTCATGAACATGAGGTGATGTGCATTAAGATTATCTTCCTCATATCTGAGGGTTAGCAACCACAGTCGATTCTAAACATTCATAGCATCTTGGCCTGTTTTTACAAATCCTCTTCGGTTTTTATGTCTCTGGACCCAGTTTTTAATTTCATTCATCCATCCCAGTCTCTGCCTTCCCCCTGGCCTCTCCTACCCCCAACTTTGCCTATTAATATTTCTGTTATTATCCCCTCATCCCTAATTACATGACCACAGTGTCATTTTTTTTCTATACAATACTTTTCAAGTATTTCTCTTGAAGTTTTTGCTAATCTTAGTACAATTTTAACCCTCTCTTGCACCATGACACAAATCACAACAAATTCATTCAAACAATAATGGAACATGCCTCACATGGGTACATTATCAAGGGAAATATCTGAGAGAAGAGGAAACTGCTTCCTACCTCGAAGGATTGTCAATCAGTTATAGTAAAAGTGGTGGTGGCAATGAAACAAAATTAGGAAAACAGAGCAAAAATGGGAAGCAGCTTGTCCCTACCACCACCTCATATAGATCACATATATGGGCCAATACAGCACTTTACTTATACATTTATTTTCAAATTTATGTAAGTACAGTAACTGAATATATGTATAACTCATACAAAAAATGTACAGTGTGTGTGGCTAGGAGCATGACTCATGGAAAAATGCCTGTCCACAAACTTAAAAATGTGATATGACAAACATAAGTGCTATAGGATATTTAAGACCACATTTCTCTTTCTAACATTACAAGCTATACAATGCACTAAAAATGAATACAATAAACCTTATAGGTATGAAAAAATCAAGAGATAAATATTTTTTTGATTTGGCATGTTTTTAGTTTTTCACAATTTTCTCCAAAATTATAAAACCTATAAAAATTTGTAATCCACCGTTAGAAAAATACTGTAATAAAGTTCTGCTTCTATAACTTTCATACACTTCATAGGTTTGAGAGAAAATATCAAAGTTATGATGTTGGGAATTTTTTTTTTTTATTCAGTGAACAAACAAAAAATATATTTTTTGTTCAATCCAGAATGCGAAGCTTAGCTTTTAACCTAGGTATGTTAACGCCTAGCAATATATTTTTTTTTTTTATTTTTTTTTTTATGGCTTATGTTAAAAAAGCCAAAACAATAATGAAGCCAGTGAGGTATAAATTATGTAAAAAATAAAATAAATAAATTAGGATAAATTGGCCACACAACGAAGATGACCAGACCCCACGTGAGTGGTGATGACAGGTCCCATTAACTTTATTTTTACTTTTATCCTCTTCACCACTGATCAGCTCATAAGCAGCTTGGCAGCTTGAGCGGTCAGTCACGTCTCTGATACGCACTGTTGGCAAGTACAGTACAGTCTGCATTTACGCGGATTTTGTTTACGTGTTTGGTCATTTAGGCGGTGCCTTGCCAAAATGTAAATGCTTTAATTGCGCGGTAAATTTGGTCATTTACGCGGAGAGCGGCTGGAGGTCCAGACGCTCCCACCATTTTTTATCCAAGCAGTCCATTCTCGACCATACGCAGGAAGCGCCGCAGATATGGATGCGCAGTATGTCGCTGTTGCGTTATCGCTGACGTCATGACGTATCGGACTGTGATTGGGCCACGCATCCTTACCTCCTCCGTCGCTAGCTGTGATTGGTCTAATGTTATATGACGTGGCCTGGCATGGGAGGGAAGCTACTGACCTAGCCGCGTCTGTCTCATTGTTCTCAGTCACCGCGTATACTGTTCTCTCTTGTGCTCGCTAATCTGTTCAACAATGGCATCCGCTGGACCCCCACCACCCCCAGAAAAACCTTGTTTTACCTGGACCCAGCCGCCCCAAGCCCAAGAAGATACGACGTGCCCTAAGTTACGAAGTTAAGTACAAGATCGTGCAAGATTTAGAGAAAGGAACGGGACAAGTTGATTTGGCGCACCAGCATGGCGTGAACGAATCTACGATCCGGACGATCAAGAAAGATGCCGCCAAAATTAAAGAACACATGAGCATAACAAAGTCTGCAGGTGCTTCAATGGTGAAGTACTGTCAGAATAAGGTGCTGCTCAAGACTGAGAACTTGCTGGTGAGCTACTTAATTCGTCAGGCAAGACGGAACATGGCGGTCGACACGCGGGTAGTGCAGGACTACGCACGTGAACTGTACGCATCAGTGGCGCGCAAGATGGGAATTGCACAGCCCAAACCCTTCACTGCTTCCTCTGGGTGGCTGCAAGGGTTTAAGAAAAGGAACAAGATTACCAACATTAACATTGTTGGCGAAGGAGCCAGTGCTGACCGTGCTGCCGCCATGGATTTTCCTCCATTCTTACGAGAAGTTATGGAGGAAGGACAGTACACCGAAGACCAGGTCTTCAACATGGATGAATCCGGTCTGTTTTGGAAAAAATTACTTTCCAAGACCTTCGTTGTCCAGTCTGCCAGCAAGTTTCGGGGCCGAAAGTTGCAGAAGGAGCGCATCACCGTCCTGTTTACCACCAATGCCTCCGGTACCTGTAAGCTCAAGTTGTTGGTGATCCACACAGCCTGCAAGCTGCACGCCGACAAGAACATGGACATGACCAAGCTAAATGTCCACTGGGTAACCTCACGTAAGGCGTGGATGTTCACTGGCCTGTCCCTCTCCTGGTTTGATGACTGTTTCGTTCCTGACGTCAAGAAATTCTGTGCGCAAAATAATGTGCCATTCAACATTTTGTTGCTGCTTGGCAACGCACCAGGACACTCGCCCCTACTGTTGGATCGTCACCCCAATGTAAAAGTGGTCTTCCTTCCTCCCAACACTACGTCGTTAATCCAGCCCATGGACCAGGAGTTGATATGGAACGTTAAGGCAGCATTCTCTGCAAAGAAGTTTAAGCTCCTGAACGACTGTACCAACACCAAGGATGAGTTGGGTAACCTTCTGAGCGGCACAGATAGCGAGAGCGACGACAACGAGGATGCAGAACAAGAGTTGGCGGAGCATGAAGTGCGAGTTAAACAGTTTTGGAAAATGTTTAACGTAAAGAAAGCTGTTGATTTCTTGGTGGAGGCATGGGTGCAGCTGTCTGTGGTAACAATTCGTCACGCGTGGCGGCATGTGTTGCAGGGTATCCCAGGTGGGAGGCACAGTCAACCTGTGGCTGGTGAGGTTCAGTCTGTTGCAGTGGCAGTGGACCTTGCAAGAGAAGCTGCACAGAGTGTTACAGCTACAGGCTTCTACGAGACCACCAACAACGACATCATGGAGGTATTCAGGGATCCTGAGGCGACTGCCGACGAGATGTTGGAAGACGATGACGTCAGTGAGGAGGCAGGTGGTGTGGCAGCCCGAGAACAACAGAAGTTAACTCATGGTGATGTAAAGGATGCCATCGGGTTTGCCAAGAAACTAAAGCTCACCCTTTCAAAAGACCATGTCAATCACCGGTATGAAGTCTTCAATAACCTTCAAGATCAAAGTATGGAGCAGTACATCCGGAAGTATCACGACCACATCAACACTAGCCGTCAGCGTAACATCACTGACTTCTTCGCCCGCAATCCACCACAGCCAGTGATAGTGACAGTGATGGTGACTTTGAGGGGTTTGTCAGGGAGGCCCTGACAACTATGGTGGATAGTGATGGTGATTCACCTGAGGGAAGTAATCTGCTCTCTACCTCGGAACCAGCCCCCATCCTCGTATGCCGACCCATCTCTTCTACTAACGTAAGTGTTAAACCTTGATTTTTCTTTTACCTGGTACAGTATATTATTCTCTTATTGATATTTCTCTTCTATATTATGTGTGTGTGCATACCATCATAAAATTAAGATACTATTTTTACTACAACGTACGTAATGTGTCGCAAAAAGTGGAGTTTGGGGGTCGGCCCAGTCTCTATTTCAATTAATCCCATATGTTCTGTTATTTCATTTACGCGTTTCTCGTTTTACGCGGTACTCCACGGATTCAACTGACCGCGTAAATGCAGACTATACTGTACTGGGCATGCTCTGGCTCCTGAATATATTGGAACCTGCTCCAGTGTTGGTCAAGTCTGGCCTTGAATGAGCTCACACTTGGTGCTGTCACAATGCTCTCTGGCACGTTGCTCCAAGAGTTCGCAATTTTCACTCCAAAAAAATTTGCCCTCAAAGTTTTCTGGACCTGTGGCTTCTTCAACCTTGAGCTGTGACCCCTTGTGGGGTGGACGTCCGTTCCGATATATTCATGAGCCGGTACATGCCCAGTATCTGCCAACAGTGCGTATCAGAGACGTGACCGAACGCCCAAGCGGCTAACGAGCCAATCAGTAGCGAAGAGGATAAAAGTAAAAGTAATGACTTTTGTCATGGTCACAGAAACTTAAAAACATATTGCGTGAACGAGAGGGTTAAGCACGATTAAAAAGATTTAAAAACAAGTTTAGAGTTACAGTACAAGACCCAAGACCTTCCTTTCTGAGGTACCCAATGTAAAGTTTCCCTGAACATTTTGGCTAATAACTATTTCCTAAATAACCCTTGCCTTTTTTTTTTACCTTTACTTGCTTAACAAGCTAATTACTCGTGTAATTTCCTAAAGTTTTCTTAGATTATAGAAATGGAAATTCTGTAGTTGAATTTAGGTCTAGCTTAAAAAATCCAAAGGTTCCCATGGACTTTGTTCCTGTACTTGTATCTTCTCCAGAGAACTGTTCATATGAATATCTGCACCACCTATGTCAGTGCAGAGGTAGCCCATTCCCCACATTTGGATTTTGATATTCTCCAAAATTATATTCATCAGATATCCAATCAAATTTGTTCTTACCATTTATATGGTTACTATTCTTTTGAAAACTGCTGCTGTTACTTGGTTCATCATCAGTGAATTGATCTTCATAAAGCATCTGAGGAGAAAACAAGATACATACAGTTCGTTTCAGCCATTCACTGCTATAGACACATATACACAGAAGAGATCAGGGATATTTACAGAAGGTACCTGTACAATCTCAAAAATTTGCCTTTAACCGTCATTATTAAGACGGCAATCTTCCCTTCCCATCGCTGAAGGCTTGACGTATAAGATAACTAACCACCTCTGCTCATGGATGGTGATGTGTAGGTGAAGTTCATCCATCACCATTAATGAGAAGGAAAACATCAACTTCCTCAGCCCAAAGATTGTGACGTGACGATTAACTTCTCTTACAATTGGACGTGTACAGTCGAAACCTAACTCCTTTCCAGAGGATATGGGGGATTAACTAACAAGATATGGGTGATTAACTAACAGAGGATATGGGTGATTAACTAACAGGATATGGGGATTAACTAACATAATATACATGGATTAGCTAACAGGATATGGGATTAACTAACACAATTTTCCCATAAGAAACAATGTAATGCATCAAGAAGAGATGCATTCCCAGCTGGGAAAATTTGTGGGGTACTTAAGCTGACTTTTCATATACAAACACTGATAAATTTACAGGAAAAAATTACATACACTAATACAGTATACAGTATAGTACTGTACAGTGTATATGAATTCCTGTACACATCTTTCAGTTGTATCTTAAACAAATGAGAGATGTGTGTGTATGTCTTCCCTTTTGTGGCTGTTTATCAACTGTTCTTCCTTCATCATGCTCATGTTATTTACTAAAGCCTTTAATTCATCTTTAAAGTATCTCATTCACGATTTCATGATACAAGATGCATTTAGCAAAGCACTGGCTGGTCTTTTTGCATTCATTTTGCATGATGTGGGGGATTTCTAATTAATTAATTGTCAATCAATAAAATGATAAAGTGAGGAAACATCACAAGGTGTAATATACATACCTGCTGAACCTGATACGCAACAGGAGCATTAGACAAGTTTTTCCACGACTTTCTGACATAACAATCTCCAGGTACAGCAGGTCGAACATTTAACCCACAATCTGTTATACCCACGGGCGTGTAATACGCACCTGGATTAATTGGTTTTGCTGTAAATAGGTAAAAGACTTAGTTAGCTTAATTGAAAATTATAATAAAAAAATTGTCTCTCTCTGAAATGCAGTAATTGCAATGTTTTGGAGGTTCTCAAAAGATGAAACTGTAGAAAAATGAGAGCGTGTAGAGTAATAAAACTGCCAGTACAGTATATTTGCTGTAACAAAACATAAAATACAGTACAGTATAGGGTAAATTATGTACCTCTCTGAATATGATTATCAATAAATGAAAGTAATGGAGCAGCATAAAACTACAGCACCAGTAAATAAACTTTCTCAACAAAGATGAATGAAATCTTTCCAAAGAAATGCCAAATTACTCTGGAAGACAACATTACAGCAAGTCAGATAGTTCAAATACTGTACTGTTCAGTAATATGTTATCAATTATGGATGGTAAAAATTTTCTGAGGTTGGATCAAGTTTCTTTGAAGTCATAAGAAGTTAGATGAACATGAACAGGTTTTAAGATGTCCATGATGTAAGGAAACCAAAACAAAATCATATGTGGATGGCAGAGTGATAGGTGTAGGAGAAACGACTCGGGTAGAGGGCCAACGTCTTGTGCAGGATCCATCCATTGCTCTTGATGATCTGCCTACATTTTTTTCTACTTCAAATCCTAGATAAAAAACCTGACAGCAGATGAAAAATAAAAGAAAAGTCATAAAAAAATTTAGAAAATATTTATATACCTGTACAGTTACAGTTGTCACAGAAGCTTACCTGATTGGTGATCAATTGGGGAGCATGTTGACATCTGTAGTGCTTTACCACGACCAATTCTCCCTGCCTTCACTACAATGGACAAAAAATTTATATTGTATACCGGGACCCAAAGCTGTATTTCACTAATTTCCAGTCAGCATTTTTTTGTCTACAGTGTTGCAGAGAAAGCTAAGAGGATTTTAACAGAAACTGAAAGTATAGCCCATAGCACATCATGTATTGTATTCTTTCCTTTTAACCTCTTCACCGCTGATCGGCTCATTAGCCGCTTGGGCGATCGGTCACGTCTCTGTTACGCACTGTTGGCAAGTACTGGGCAAGTACTGGCTCCTGAATGTACCTAAACCTGCTCCAGTGTTGGTCAAGTCTGGTCTTGAAAGAGCTCACACTCGGTGCCTTTTTACTTTTACTTTTATCCTCTTCACCACTCATCGGCTCGTTAGCGATGAACAGATTTCTTTCCGATCTGAAAGCAGAGTGATTCTCGCAATGTGGACAGTCTCTATTTAAAGCAACACTACCGTGGTCTTCGAACAATTGAAGGGTCTCGTTGTCTTTATCCCTAAATTCACAAATTATGTCCACATAAGACAGGCAACAACCTTCACACGTCATGCTGAAAATGAAACTGCCGCAAGTCCGGGGAAAAGCGCCGCAGCAGAGTGCAGCCTCATTACCGCCAGTAAGACTAATTAGTGCGCGCCTAATTACCTACAAAACGAAACATTTGCACAAGAAATGATTACCATATCAGAACTCACTGATGAAAATAAATTAAGAAAATAAAGTCATACAAATAACTCGTCCACGGGTTAGTCCTATACGTTAATATATAGGACTAACCCGCCAGGGCTGCATAGGCCGATGTGGCCGTATTATCTCACGTCCAGAAAATGCCTCAAATTTCACCATATCAAAGTAAGTTTTTTCTGTTTAATATACCTGGGAAGTTAGGTCATGCTAGGTTAGTTTGTTTGGTTGGTTGGTTAGGTCTGTTCTTCATAACCACAAATGTTAAGCAGAGTTTATTTAAAAAAATATCCGTTTTTTAACATATTTCCACAAACTACAACAGTGTCCACTATATTGTAACAAAATCCGGCGTTTTTATAATTGTTTTCAATCAATTTCGCTCGTGGGTTAGTCCTTTATAATTACTGTCCTGTATATTAACCAGCCGATCAGTGGTGAAGAGGATAAAAGTAAAAGAAGAAAACAGATTACCAATCACTACCAGGTTATTAGCAATCATCAAGACATCAGTACTGTACCTGGTAGATCAAAGGTCAAGGGAAGAGTTTGGGACGGTCTTGGTAAATGCTCCCCGCCATCCTCCATGGAGTCTCGGCCAACAACCTTCTTAGTAGTTCTCCTGCTGTCCCACTTCACCACTCGCCTTTGCTTCGTTGGTCTTGATGACATTATTACGATATGACGATGTACAGTATTAGGGGACAACGGTTGACACTCAGGCAACAACAAACACAAATCTTAATACTCGAGCAACAAGAACAAAGGTCAACAGTCATGTGGCAACAGGAACAATAGTTTACTCAGATACCAACAGGAACAATATTTTACACTCAGGGGTAAATATTGATAGTTAAAAAACCAAAGGTTGACTCAGGCAGCAACAGGGACAAAGCGTAAGACACAGGCAGCAGTTAATGACTCTGGAGTGGTTAGAGGTCAACCGTCAACACCGCTGGTTCTCTCAACAGGTGGCTAACAGCGTCTACCTGCTGCAGCATGGCCGTGTGGAAAATTTTAATATCTGTAGATTCACTGTAAAATATCTGAAAAAATCTAAAGTAATATCTGTAGTTTTTTTTACAATAGAAAAATGATAATTCTTACTGTATTTTCAGTTTTCTTTTAACTTTATATTACTTTTACTTTTTTTACTTTTATCCTCTTCAACCACTGATAGGCTCGTTAGCCGCTTGGGCGATCGGTCACGTCTCTGATTAATTTTCCTCTTCACCAGTACTTAAACAAACTTACAAGAATAGCAGTTACTGTATGATACCGGCATATAATCTTAATTAAGCATAATATTGTAGGGTTTCGTGATATTATGTTGTCTAGCACTCAGGATGGATGGAAACTCTAAGGTGGTAGACAGTCTGGTGCTGGAGGTGCCGTGTGGTGAGGAGCTGCTCAGTAGAAGACGTTCGGTGAGTAGCGTGTTGAAGGAGGTAGATGTGCAGGAGCTTCGTTAGAGAAGATGTTGCCTGTTGCTGGCCTCCTGGTTGAATGAAAGCTGACAGCATGGAGCTTGCTGGAGGAGGTGTTGCTTGTTCAGGAAGATGGGCAGAATGAGAGTTGGTTGGTGAGGAAGCTCAGGGAAGGACAGCTGTTAGGTCGCCATGCTCGCTGGCGGGAGCGAGGACCGCCAGGCAGGCGAGGAGAAGCGAAGGCAGCCAGGCAGCGGCGGAGGAGGAGGTGTTGCTTGTTCAAGAAGAATGGTCAGAATGAATCTCAATGGAGAGACAGAGCTTATATACCCCTACAATGCCTTACCTTTGATCAGTTGCTTTGCATGGAAGCCTGTGAGAGTTTCTGTGGGTGACCTATTCCTACATTTAGTTTTCATCATATTTATTGATGAGAACACACTGTCCACTATCACACTTGAGTGAGGTAGGCACAAGAGTGTTTGTATTTTCAATTTGTCTAGTCGGGCGGCCGCACACTCATCAGGGAATGGAACGGCGCGCAATTCAAATTTCAAAACATCATAATTCAGAGTAAATGGTAATTGGGAAGTGACAATTGAAGAATTCGCTGTACTTTGTTGAGAAAACGCATTTTCTTATTTGCTTAATTAGTTATTTTGGTGCTAAGAGAGTTGTGCGACGAGCTTGCCGAGCCCCTGAAGATCCTGTTTTGTAAATGCCTGGATGAACAAAAGGTCCCCAGTGATTGGAAAGTGGCTTTTGTGAGTCCTATCTTCAAGAAGGGCGATCGTCACTCCACGAACAATTATAAACGGGCGAGCCTGACCAACATAATATGTAAAGTACTGGAGAGTATTATCAGAGAGGCAGCGATGGAACATCTACTACGAAACAACCTTGTAAAGGATTGCCAACACGATTTTATGCCGGGGCGCTCCTGCCTAACACAATTGCTCAAGGTATTTGATATTTGGACCCATATTCTGGAACGGGATGGTATATCGACAATATATACCTAGATTTTGCCAAGGCTTTCGACAGTGTACCCCACGAAAGGCTGAAAATCAAAGTGGAAGAGTAAGGAATTCGGGGACTTATCCAAGTGTGGATGGAAGACTTTCTACATGACCGCAAGCAGTGTGTGGTGAATAATGACACGAAATCATCATATGTAGCTATCACAAGAGGGGTACCACAGGGCAGTGTATTGAGCCAGCTGTTGTTTGTTTGTTTGTTTCATAAATGACATGCCTGACGTTGTACACTCCTCCATACAAATGCTTGCCGATGACGCCAAGTTATTTCGGGAAATCAAGAACCATGCAGACTGTGAAGAGCTGCAGAAGGATTTCTGTGAGCTCCAAGAATGGTCGAATAAATGGTTGCAGAGATTCAATGTCACGAAGTGTAAGAGAATGCACCTGGGGCGTACCAACGGTATGGAGGCATACCATGTCCCAACGGGATGAAGAAACTGCACTTTTCGAGACTGAATGTAAGAAGGACCTAGGTGTGTATGTTGACAATGAGCTGAAGTTCTCGGGCCATTGCGAGAAGAAGGTAAATCAGGCAAATAAATTATTGGGTCTTATAGGAAGGTCGTTCAGATATCTAGATGGTCCGTCCCTCGTAACGATTTTCAAGAGTGAAGTGCTTCCCCATCTTAAGTATTGTCACCCCGTCTGGTCCCCAAGATATGCTAGGGACTGTCAGTTGGTTGAAAATGTTCAAAGGAGGGCCACCAGACTGGTGCCTGCACTTCAGCACCTCAACTACCCTGAGAGATTGGAGCACATGAACTTGCCTAGCTTATACTAGACAGGCAAGGGGCAACCTAATTGAGGTGTATAAGCATCTCAAGGGGCGCTACTCAGTCGAGTGTCCTTACTTGGAGCTGGCGGATGCTGGCCCCACAAGGGGTCACAGCTCAAGATTGAAGAAGCCGCAGGTCCAGAAAACTGTGAAGGCAAACTTTTTCAGAGTGTGAATTGTGAAGTCTTGAAACAATCTACCAGAAAGTGTAGTGACGGCACCAAGTGTGAGCTCTTTCAAGACAAGACTTGACCAACAGTGGAGCAGGTTCATGTACATTCAGGAGTTGGTGCATGCCCAGTACTTGCCAACAGTGTGTAACAGAGACGTGACCGATTGCCCAAGCGGATAACGAGCCGATCAGTGGGGAAGAAGATAAAAGTAAAGTACCAGTTTGGTGGCCCTCCTCTGGACATATTGGTATACTGTATCTTGGAGACCACACAGTTACAAAGATCCAAGTGGAAGTGGTAAATATTCCATTATTGCTGTGCATGCAAATTACTATGAAAATAGGATTATTTAGTGTACAGTATTTGTTTCATATAAATTTCATTTACATCAGAAATGAATAATTATGGAGATATAACTCCCCCTCCCCTAATTAAGAATATTGGATTTTTTGTCATTGTGAAGATTTATTGAGGGTAAAAGGAAACTTTACTTACCGTCACACTTAACAGATGGTGCAAACTTCTCGAAGACAAAATTTGGACAAAAGCACACATTTTCAAAGGGTGCCCTGTAAATAAACATATAGCATGGTACCGGAGTTTAAGAAATCCTCATAAATACTGTACACCAACGACTGGATCAAATTCTTTGCAGCTATGACCTATATATTCTATTTTCCTAAAAGGGCGTGTTGTTGTTGTGACAGCATTGACATTTTTCTGTCTTGGCACCTCAGGTAATAATGTACAAGTACAGTGATGGTCTTTTAACAAAGTATATGGGTGTCATTTCAGCAGATGCAGTGAGTTTGGTTATCAATGAATGATGACATATTACACAAGTAACCTTACATTGTATAAGTTTTTCACATGTAGTTAATGTAAATTTTGAAGGAGATTGAAGTTGACTAAAGGGATAGCAAATTTACATATAAAGCAGGCTGTTATCTCGAGAGCTGCCTGTGTGATGGCTAAAGGAGTGTGGCAGCAGTGTTTAATATTATCTCTGCTTTTCAATACTGCAAAGAATCTTGGAGGAAGAGAGAGTAGCAGGTAATAGTCTTAAGGGGAGACTGACAAGTAATAATGTTCAGGGATGACAGAATTACAGTATATGTTAGAATATTAGGGGAAAATAGAGAACAGAAGGAAAAAATTATTGGGGAAGGTTGAGAATATCAGGTTAGTATCACAAGACAAAGTTGATAGACTGGGCGACAGATTCATTCCACGTTAAACTCTGGGACATGACAGACGTGCACGACACCATTGAGAACTGCAGAACTATCCCTAAGGCACCACTTGGTGGACTCCTATTGTTGTAGTAAAGGTGAACATATGGTCCAATTATTCTAGTGTATATTCAGTGTTGTACAGTAGTGATCATGTACTCTATATACTAGTAATGGCCCATACAGAAGGAATATATATGTACTCCCTAAGTATTCTGGGTAAAGGCTCATGTCTGCGTCCAGAGCTCCAACCCCATCTTCATATTAATGTGCTAATTTTAGCTGTGGTGAGTATGATGTTCTGAGTGCTCATTGTTTGTGTTTTAACTTGATCTATGGGTGTGACTAAGTTTGAATCTGTGGCCTCTATTATTGGCTATGGTTTATTGCTTTACATAGCAGTCCTTGTGTGATCAAAGGAGAACAATCTTTCAACAACAGTGAGGTGTAAAATAATAGAGGCAATGAAAATTTTTTATTATCAGCATTCCTCCTGACAAACAAACCCTTTTTAGCATATTTGGCATGTTACCCATCTGGCACTACCTCCTTAAAAACAAACAAAAAGTTTCCGCTTTTGAGCAGTTACAAAGAGCTTGATATAATAAAATTCCAAGAGGCAGCCACAATGTATCCCAACACTCAAACTTGCAGAGATAAACTGGGGTATTGAAGCCTCAAATACAAACACCATCACAAAACTTCATTTTTATTTAATTTCAGTCTCACCTAATGTTTTGGTGAACACAAGGCTGTTGAAAAGGAAAATCAAGTAAATAAACCCAATTAAAATCAAATTTAATATATGTTAAAAGTATACTAGCATTTCCGAGTTATGATTAAACACTCTTCAGTTGTTTATTAATATAATACTATAAAGGGATATTCAAATATTCCCCAAAGCCATAATGGTAATACGGTTGTGACAGCATAATACTGTATCTTAAGTATTATGCACTTCAGAAGCATCCTATCTACAGACAAATATAAATTTTAAACTAAACAATGACTTGAGCATGGCTCACTGCAGCAGCAAATAATAACCATCATCTATCATCTCTCTGGAGGCCAGAACTCTAATACAAGCTATCTGAGAGAAAAAAAAGTATTATAGCCCTTATTATCTATTTTGGGTACAGCACTGTATAATATTACAGTATCTAGACTGATTGTAATTCTTATAAAGCTTTAATTAATCATATAATTTATCTTTGAAACGAGTTCTAGAGTCCAATTTCAATCGTGTGATGATCGAGAGAATGAATAATGAAGTGCATTAGTAATCGTCACCACGAGTCACCACCTCTTTGCAGGTGGGCCGCAGCACGATGGTGTGCTCAAACTGCGCAGTGTAGCAGCCCTTCACATCACAGAGTGGAGGGTATGCGTCCACGATCCCCTGAAATAAAATATAAATATACATGTACTGTACTGTACAATTTACTATCCCATCTACTCATTCATGCTCAGAAACAAGGCATATTAATGTATAATTAAATACACAACATAACATATCTGGGTATCTGTTCCCAATAAAAAGCTTTGAATTTGGGATTCTGTACATTGTATCTAGTGGGGATACTAATGTTTGAATTTTCAAGCCCAAGCCTACATATATTAATGACTGGGTGACCTGGCTTAGATTGCTCATATGCCAAAATGCTTATTTTTATTTGGTGTTATTCTCTATTAAGAGTACAGTACTTAGGTCAAATGTGATATCTTTAGAAGTTGCACTTAATAATTGGAAATATGTAAATACCTTGCCTTATAAAATACTTGTAGAAGATCCATCTAATACATATACTGTAGACTATTAATAATGCCGTCCAGCAACTCACATAAAATACTTACTCCACGAGAACATTTGACTGGCATGCCATCTAGTTGTACAAACAGATAACTTTGAAATAATTATAAAAATCACAGTTAACAAAAACTAAAAACCAATATGTACCTTATCACAGAGATCTTTGAGGGCCATCAGGTACTTGCTTTCTCCTAAACGGTCCAGCCAGCGGCGACAGAATGCCAGTGTGCCAAAATTCTGGTTAATCACATTCAGCAGGTGCTTAGACTTCGTCAACCTGAAGGGGTAAAGATTTATAGGTTCTTAAAACTTTCTGAAATTTAAAATTCCTCTCATTTTCTTCACCATTTATCTACATAAAATACTCATTAGTGGCTTTCACATACAGTACAGCACAACCAGAAGCATAAGATATATGTTATATAACTTGGTTAAACCTAATCAATAACTGTAGCATCACATCATATAAATGTGGCCACTAATATGTCCTGGCTGGTATTTCTTGAGAGACTGACTGAATTACAAAAACTTAAATGTTAAGGCTGCCATAGTGATACTGTCAAAAGAATAATACTATACCCAAATGTATCGCCTTCCACAATGAGATGAGCAATAACTTACCTGAGTGGGACGTGTCCAACATCAAAGTTTTTCATGTAGTGAGAGGTGTCCATGTCATCGTGAACATAACCACGTCCAGTAGAACCAAAGGTTTCAATGGCATAAACCTCATTCTCTTCCATGACCTCAGCCTCACCCCCCTTCACAATTGGCACGGTCTTCCCAGCATGTATCCCTGAGCACATAATAAGAGTGAAATATTCTTAACAATGTAGATCTAAACTGACATTTACATGAGTAGAAGAATCCTGAAGTAATCCACATCTCCAACTGCCTTGTACTTTCATGAAATTATGTGGATACTATCTGGTAACCAGTTTATTCCTGAGACATGCACTCAAAACCCTAGTGACCTCTGCAACCAAAAATATGCCATTATAAGAATCATAAAAACAGAGGGGGAACAGCCTAAAGTTCACGATATTCCCAAAAATACCTGAATTCATTGGAAACCACTTTTCCTATTTCATTTCATTATCATCTAAATGCAAGTGTTAATGGAAACTAGAATCCACTGTACACAACAATGACTAATTTAATTATCTTGTTTATCTGTTAGTGTTAATACTCACTGTAGGGAGCAATAGAATGCCCATTAAGGTTACGAATACATTTCACTTGGTATGTTTTGCCACCCAGTTCTACTTCATAACTCTCCATGGTTTCTTGAATAGCTTCCCCAATATCACAAAGGCGGGCGTCAATGCCAGCTTCCCGGATGCCAGTGTTGGTAGCAGCACGAACAGCCTCAACAAGTTTGTCATACTTGTTGTCAAAAGTCAGAGTGAATGCACAGTCAATGACACGACCTGTAAATAAATATGTTAAGAATGCAAGCCAGGATGACATTTAAAGCTCAACTTACTTTGTAGCAGAAAATACATTATCATTCCTACAATACAATGTTCTTGTACGGGTACATAGTCTTAGCTATGCTCAGATTGGTTTATCTCACAACGCCACATCACCATTTCCTCTGTGTGGCAACTAGCTATCTTAATGTGATAATGTTTGTTTACCAGCCATAGTAATGGATTAGTAAATACTCATATCAATGATGAACACTTCCTATTTCCTGGGTATATTTTACTGTGTGGAAACAGTCTACAGCCAAAATGTATGAGAGAAATTCTATACGGACAACCTCAACTACAGAAACAAGTCATCTAGTGATGAAATATTCACCATGCTGTGGTTAATTAGCAAATATTAAGGTCATAACTAAACCAAAAATCTCTGAGGCACAAACATTTTGGCATACACACATCAACCTCCATCTACACCATTTATACAAAGTCTATTGCCAATCTCGCTGTTAGTGTACTGTTTTGGCAGAAGGGAAGCTGTTTATGTAATGCAGAGTTACTGTTTGATTAATATGTACATTTCTTTATTTTTCATGTTACTGTACAGTATATGTACCGGGTATTATGTATGATGCTTAGTGTTTATTAAATTAGTTTTGGAACAGTTTGAGTAATTTTTGGCCTCCGGAACCCCGGAACCTAACTAATTACAGGGTATTTCCATTTAATTTACTTTAATTTTATTTCACAATGTTTTCTGGTACTTAACCCATGAATTATTGCAACTCCACTGTATCAGCCCCACTAAACATATTCCTGTACATGATACTTAAAAATTCAGCCTGATCTTCACACACCTGGCAGGCAACAAACACTTCTACAGGTTGACAACCCTTTATCCGAAATTACAAAAACCGAAAAGCTCTAAAAACCGAAAGTTTTTTTTTTTTTTTTAACAGGGATTATTAGCCTACCCAGGCACAGATTAACTGACCCACATCGGGGCCTGGGGGGCGAAAATGTAATAGTAATAATAATTATAAAAATAATAATTATTCAGAGTAAATAAAATTTTTAATAAAAATACACCAAAATAAAATAATAATAATAATAAAAAAATTAATAATAATAATATTGTAATAATAAAATAATAATAATAATAATACAGTAAAGAAATACAAGAATGAAAAAAAAAATCAAAAGTGAGAAATACGACCTAGACCTATGAATTATTATTATTATTATAATTTTTATTATATTTTCGACCCCCAGGCCCCAATGTGGGTCAGTGATCTATGCCCGGGTGGGCTAATACACATTAACAAAAAAAAAAACCTAACCATTCTGAAAACCGAAAAATTCCGAAAACCGAAATGCCTCTGGCCCCAAGGATTTCGGATAAAGGATTGTCAACCTGTATCTACAGTTTGCAATATGGACATACAATGTGCTCTCTCCAACAAAGGAAGAAATATACAAATGGGAACTGATTGGTAATATTAGCAATTAATTATGGCAGTTGGTGGTGTACGTGAATAGTGATGGATGGTTGTTGAGGTGAGTGGTGGTGATTAGCAAGTGGCAAAGGTAACAACAGCTACAGTGGTGATAACAAATAACAATGATTATTTGGTGATAAGGATGGAAACTGGGACAAAAATATACCATACACAAAATAATGTCAAGAGTAGAGTACCCAACCTTGTACTGAACTGAGCTAAACTCTACTATAATATTTAGTTTTCTGTTGAGGGAATAAATCTTCCAGTATACAGTGGTCCCTCTGTCAATTCAGTTAACGAACAAAACTTCAATTAATGAAATCCTTACGACAAACACGTTTTGTTGTGAGCATCAGCTGATCAGCTAGTCCGCCAATACAGTAATCGGTTTTATGTTTACATTCGTTTCCAATGGAATAAATATCAAGAAGGTTGTGCTCTTTAACATTTTAGCATTTTTTATATTAAAATTATTAGTCATTTTAAAATTTAGTTAACATGTTGCTAATATATGCAGTACAGGGAACTAGTTTTTTGTGTGCCCATTAGCCGCTTGACTCACCCGCCAAAGCGTCTCTGTTTAACTTTGTTTACAGTGGAGTAAACATTGTGTTTGTTGGTCTCTTGAATACAGAGTATTTTTACGTTTTTGCATTAAAATTATTGGTCATTCTGAAATTTAGTTAACATTTTGATAATATAAAGCACAGTGCAGTGTTGATTTAAATCAAATAATCTGTAATTACACCTAGTGAACTTAAAATTTTATTGGTGAAATTACTGCATCAAGCATGGGTCCAAAGAAAGGCGATTTCTCCTCCATCCCAACTTCCTTTTCTTCTCCCTTCTCCTTCACCCCCACTTCCTTCTCTTCTCCTCCTCCACTTCCTTCTCTTCTCCCTTCTCCTCCTCCACCCCCCACTTCTAATTCCCATCATCATCATTAACCAGCAACCTTCTACAACACACCTCAAAGTAAATGTACTTTACTGCATTTTGTTTATACTTTGTATGTACTTTTCTGTGAGCTGGAATCAATTACCCAATATCCCATTGAAATAATGGATTCGTTTAACAAAATTTTCGGTTAACGAGCGACTCTGTGGAATGAATTGTGTTCGTTAACCGAGGGACCACTGTATACAGTACTAAATTATGGACAATGAGAATAAGAAAAAATTACTATGTATAACAAACTTTGACAAAAAATGTTAGTTTTTGTATGCGATCAACTTCTGGATTAACGTTTACATCCACCAAAACAGAACACACTGATAAGTTACCCACACGACCATGATCAGCCACACTCACCGTTGATGTGAACTCCGTAGTCAATCTTGCACACATCGTCATATGAGAGAACTGTTGTGTCACCAGCGTTGGGAGTGTAATGTGCAGCACAATGGTTGATAGAGCACCCTGTAGGGAATGCCAAGCCTGCTTCAAGACCATTCTCCTTAATAAGTTTACGATTGGTTCCTTCAATCATGTTGCAAATTTCAATCATAGTCATTCCTGGCTTGACATTTTCTTGGAAATATTTGCGAGTCTGTTAATGGATAGAGAAGAAAAATAAAATACAAATTCAAATTAAAGTTATTGTGTTTCCTGCCACATAAAAGGCTAAAAAAATAATTAATAATAAATAAATAAATAATAATTAAACATTAAAAAATCCTATACCAATGGTTAACCCTAGGGGGGCCATTGTCACCATTACTAGAATAAAACCCAGACCACCTCAATAAATCCACTTTTTTACATCATAAACTTTAAAGTTCAAGGTATCTTATAACTTACTGTACGATGAACCTCAGCACCAATTCGAATTTCCCGATACATGTCCTCATATGAGGTCTCGAGAGCCTTCTTTTCTGGGGATGTCATTCGGTTGATTGCAGTTCTGCTATCCTGCTTCACCTTATACTCGCAGATTTCTCCAATTGGAAAGTTGCCTAAAATAGATAAAATTGATAACATTAGAGAAAGAGATGGATGCATGTGAAGAGAGTCTGTTTATGCCAGACTCCAGCCCCCTCCAGCATAAGCCTCAGTTTAGTCTCCAGCTGCTACTGTTAGAGGTTAGAATTGAGCTATAACATTCTGTACTCAGTTGGTCAATGACATGGGTTTCCAGAGATGGTTGTTAAGTTTAAGGAAATTTATGAGCAAAAGGCAGTGAATTAATACTCTGAAAGGGGTAACTGAGGGTAAACACAAGTTGAATGTAGGAGGAAGGATTCTGTAACATTTAGTAAGTTTACAGGTGTGAGTAAAGAAAACACCCATTAGTGAGAGTTATTTCACATTTCTTGAGCTGTGAATAATTTTTGTATAGACTTCATACACATGGCAAAAAAAAAAAAAAAAATCTATCCACTGTGTGTGAAACAATATGACACCACAGGCAAAGGATTTTGACAATGTTACCGATACAAAACAAGTCATATTGATCATGTCAAAATTCAGCAGCCCATCTGGACACACTTTATTTCACTGTGAGTACATATTCCTCTTTTTAACTGGCTCTGGATACCGATACTGGGAAATTTCAGGATTAACAAAGGAGAGTAACAAGCTTGTCTGATGAGTAATACAAGACAATCTTTACATTCAAACTGACAAGCTAAACATAGGTTGACTAAAAACTGACCATCAGGGTAAAGGTCTATGACAGGGATGGTGGGAGGATTTGTCTGTTGTACAGCTGGTCCTCCTCCTCCTCCTCCCTTCTTCTTCTTCTTGTTCTTCTTTTTCTTCTTATTACCTCCCTCATCTCCTCCCTCAGCACCACCCTGCAGACCACAAACAAAACTTATTCCACCTCTGCTAAATGAACTTGGGTGAAAGAAGAAGATGGACTTGTACTTATGAACTACAGTACAGTAGTCTAGAGCAAAAATTTCTACCAATACTTTATAAATTTTCAAGTAAGATACTGTACTCACTCTTTATGTAATGTGAGGATGTCTGGAGAGGTCTGTTAGTACTCTGTATACTTATAAAACTAACCACACTACTGTATTGATATCAAACAAAATCAAACCATTTATGGGATACAAACTGCTCATAATATACACAAGATTAACTTTAACATCCCAGTGACCAGGAACAGTATGTATCCACACTACACTATTGAGTTATGCCCTTCTTAGTACAGGTATTACAACAAATTATTTACATGAAAACTCCTTTAAAGTCATCATAAATCAAAAACAGGTTGGCTCATTCTTCAGTTAATAAAATTCAGAAACAAATTATTACTACACCCTGTACACTTATTAAGAGGAAATCTAAAGTCTCAGAGCCAAATTCTTGTCTATAGTGAAACTTTGGCTGTTCACCCAAGCAAAGTACAATGAGTTGCTACTATGATGTGTACCTCCCATTAATTCTATAAACTGTACTGTATAAAAAAATATATATTGTGCTCCTACAGTCTTGTCTCTTATATACATACTTCTGTATAGATATGTAAATACCAAGATATGTGAACACGCCTGACGCCAAGACTCTGTTACCATTCATTGTACCATTTATTCACATGTCTGTATTACTACATATTATTATAGCATGTCTGATATCTATGCTTATGTCTAATGCCTATGTTCACTTACCATGTACCGATGTACTATGTCTGTACCGCGCTAGTCGAGTAACTAGAAGACCTCATTTATTGTCCTAGTAATGTCTAGCAACTCTCCTTGCCTAGCTAGCTAACTTCCCTCAGATCGGCTTCGACCTGCTTACGACGAGGAGTTCCTTGTGCTGGCTCCTGTTTCTGTACCGATTGGTTATCCTGCCAGGTCTTGTACTACTTATTGAATATATCTACTGCTCGTGCTCTGGAGTTTGAAGAACCTTGTCTAGGATTTCATCCCACCACAACTTCAACTTCTCTTTCTTCCCTTTACCTCATCATCATCGGCAGCCTCCAAGTTCGTCTTTGCCAAACAGTCCACCACACCGTTGACATCTGCGGCATCATCGCCATCCGGGACATTCACTGAGCTCACACCACCAGCTTTAACAATTAAGAATATATGATGTAAATAATAAAATGTTTCAAAGTCACAAAACATAATAGTGCAATTATAATAAATTGTTATTATTATATACTGTACAGAAGATACTGTACTGTAATATAATGTACATTGAAAAAGAAAGTGCAATGCTTATAGATAGACATAAAAAAAACTCAGTAAAGTGAAATGAGGTTACAAATGTCCTTTTCATAGTTTTATCTTTATTTTAGAAGATTTAAATACAATATAACTTTAGTATTTTAAGTTAGGTTCATCTTCTGAGATTATTTATTCTACATCTGTTGTACTTACAGCCAACACCGAGATGTAAAAAGTATGACATTGGATGTTGGTTGGTGGCACAGCACCCATTAGCTGAGGCCAGAATATATATATCTAAAATCTACAATACGTAAATGTCTTACTCATACACTTCTCATCAACTTCATGAGCTAACACAGTATATACAGTCTATGGATTGATGATATAACCTACAGTTGGTAGTTATGGTGTGCAGATAATCCGGACTAATACCCGCATACAGTACATTAAGTTAATACTGTACAGTATTTGTTTTAGTACAAGCTGAAACAAATAATTATCCCCGGTAATACTGAGAGACGTCTAGCACCAAAAAGTTTTCCTATTTTGTTAATTTTTTTCCACAAATGTTGTTTGGTTGATAGTAAACACCAGTACATATAAAAATATGACAACTTTTCCATTTTTTTTCGATCTTCGATTAAATCACCTGCAATGGGCACGGCATGAAAGATGGAAATTATGGGGTAAATCAGTGAATTTGTTTTATCATATGGCAGTAATTTCATGTCTCTACATGCCTTGTAGACGATGATATATTTTTTTTGCCATAAATATTCCACTAGTTAAATAAGGTTGGGTGGGATGGGTTGGTAAGGTCAGGTTCTATTAATGTTTGTGCATTGTCGTATCGTTTTTATTACAGTACTGTTCTTACTATCATCCAAACACGTGTAAATCATGAACAAAATCGCACAACTGTTTCTGATGTTGGCCACCTCTTCCAACATTACCTTAATTCTATTTATGTTATATAAAGAAATGTCCTCGGTAAACGTTTACTTCAAGTGCTGCGAGCGATTTCGCCAGCAAAAACATTTTTTTCCTGCATGAATTTTGCTGTTTTTCAAACTAACTTAAAGACTAATCAGAAAGGTAGAAGCTCATGGCATCAAAGGTGACATCCTTAAATGGATTAGGGCGTGGTTACAGGACAGGAAACAGCGAGTGAGCATTAACGGCACTAAGTCCTATTGGAGCAACGTCACAAGTGGAGTTCCCCAAGGCTCAGTACTTGGACCATTATTATTTATTATATACATAAACGACATAGATATCGGCATAGACAGCAACATAAGTAAATTTGCTGATGACACTAAAATAGGACGTGTTATCAAATCTGACGAGGACTCGGCAAAACTACAGGAAGATCTAAACAAATTTTTCGAATGGTCTGAAAAATGGCAGATGAAATTCAACGTCGACAAATGTAAAGTACTCAGTATAGGAGATGTAAACAGGGAAACCAGATACCAGATGAACAATGATGCCATAGAGAAATCCGACTGCGAGAGAGATTTAGGAGTAATGATAAGTAGGAACCTTAAGCCAAGTAAACAATGTGTTTTTGCTCGTAACAAGGCTAATAAAGTACTTGGGTTCATACAAAGGAGTGTTAGTTACAAGACTAGCGAGGTCATCCTAAAACTGTATCTTGCTCTTGTGAGACCACACCTGGATTACGCAGTTCAGTTCTGGTCACCGTATTACAGAATGGATATAGAATCCTTGGAAAGAATTTAGAGGAGAATGACAAGACTAATCCCGGGCATTAGGAACCTTGAGTATAGAGACAGGTTAAAGCACCTTAATTTGCACTCCCTCAAGAGACGTAGAGCGAGGGGCGACCTGATAGAGATGTATAAGTGGAAGGCAGGGCTAAACAAAGGGGACATTACAAAGGTACTCAAACTATCCAACCAGGAGCGAACTCGTAACAATGGTTTTAAATTAGACAAATTTAGATTTAGGCGTGAAATAGGTAAACACTGGTTTGGAAACAGAGTAGTGGATGAATGGAACAAGTTACCAAATATCATCATTAACTCGAATACGCTGAATAGCTTCAAACATAGGTTGGATGCTCATATGAGCAATAGGGGTTGGGTGTAAACGGGACTGCCCAGTATGGGCCAATAGGCCCGCTGCAGTTTCCTCCATTCTTATGTTCTTAATTCCCCTATTAGGGAAATGCTATTTTTTCAGAGTTGGTTCATGGACTACATAGCATGGTAATGCGGTTCAGACAACCCGAGCACTACACACTCCCCCTCCCATGGCTCACCGACGGTAATATAGTATAAATTATAAAAAAGAAGTCCTTCCCCAAAGAGAACATTGTCACTAGCAATTAACAAGAACAATTATGGAGGAAAAGCAGTGAGTTCTTGCTAGAATCGTTGGCAGCATTAATCTGCACGTTAACCGTGTCCTCAAGTTGGTGGTTAAGGCATACAACTGTCTTTAAGTACTATTAGCCATTATTTAACCCCTTGGAGGATGACAACATTTACCCCGTTAGCTGGTAGTTTGGACCATCCCTCGGGGGGTTATGTAATTCTAAGAAAGGTCCAATTCAATTGTTTCAAGTGCATGTAGCCATATTTTGCTGTAAGAAGTAATGCTAAATAATTCCCTGAGATAAAGCAGAAAAAACATTTGACCTATGTAAGACTGTTTCTCTTATACCATAACCTGGCGAACCCATCTCAACATCTACCGTAATTACTATAGACTTAACCACCCCGAAGAATATCACGGTAGTTGTGGTGTAAGGTAAGACAAGGAGTGAGGGCACCAGGTAGAGGTGCAGTGGCAGTAGTAGTGGTCGATAATGTCCACCTGGGCCTGACGGTGTGGCCAAGACGGCCATCATCGCCATCTACACTCTTACCAGCCTTCTTCTTTTTTTTCTTCTTCTTCTTCTTCTTTGCAGCTTCTGGTGCAGTTCCGTTAACAAGATCGACCACGTCGTTTACATCTTCCTCCTCACTGTGGTGTTTCTCCTCAGCCTTAACACCGACGTTGTTTACAACAGCGGCCGACATGTTGTCTGGACAGTGTTGCCAGTACTTGCCAACAGACAACATACTAAAAAAAACTCCAAGAAGCGCAAAAAATAGATTCACAATACCATATATAAGTAATTCCTAATATCAATATTGAGGTTAGAATATCAATTAACTATATAATCTACCCGATGTTCCATGGTTGACCATGAACCCTGGGAGCAATAATTCTGTTCAGCGCATTTTCTTGAGGATGATAGGTTTTTCTTTATAAAATGCTTAGTCACAGTTGAACTTTTCTTTGCAATTTTTTTTCACGTTTTGAGAAAAATTTGCGGTTCTTTGGCTTGCTGTCGCACACTGTATTTATCTTTAGGATCGGATTTAAGTATTTAAACAAACTGTTCACCCACACCATTTTAACTACTTATTTATACCAGATTTTCGCCAATTTTTCTTGGTGGAGTACTAGTTCCACTGCCGCTAGGGACCTCTGAATCACTCATTGCTGTTAAGTGTTTTTTCACGCCTTTTGCCTATTTCACTATTACTTAACACCTCTACACTAATATTCCAGAAAGTACAATTTATATAAGTGATATTGGATCACAAATTGTCGCACACTTTAGATGATTTTCTAAATAAAGACCCGGATTCATGGAATTAAAAAAATCCAAACTCAAAGACAAGCAAAAAAAAAAAAAAAAGATCTAAAGGGTAAACGTGGGAGTGGCAACACTGGTTACCTCTGTAGGGCCGTCAGGTCTGCCAACCTTCGCTCACAAATACTTTACTTATATTCTTAATACTATCACTACAATACTTCAACTCACTTAATTCATCTCGTATAAAAATCCTAATACAGGCGGCCAATATTTGATAAGGTTTATAATAAATTTGTCATCAAACGTTTCCAAGAGAGACCACGTGTTCGTCTCCGATTCAGAATGTTGATCAACTTCATATGGAGGTACAGTAATTATAAATGATAGGATTCAAAGTTTTTTAATAGGCAAATAATATCGACAGAAATTAAAAATAAATAGCTGTTTATGGTAGGATATATTTTTGCTTATCCAGAATTAGCAACGCAGATCATTCAATGTATAAAAAAAAATCTGACGGTGGCGTCGCCAAAGTACTGCATAAACTCGGTTAAGCCCATTACACCTTACATGATATTGTGTGATTAATCAGACTGAGTACCGTCCTAATATCTGAGGGTTGGCGACCAAAGTCCCCAACTCTAAACGTTTTCCGGCTGTTTTTACCAAACCCAAAAGATTTTATTCTCTGTGGACCCATTTTTAATTCCATTCATTCATTCCTAGAGCAGAATGGGAGTGTTCTTTTGCTACCAGATTCCGTTCCTATACAGCACTCAGATTGTACAATTGGTTGCCTGCAGCCACGAAGCAGCTACCTTCAGTAGAGGCCTTTAACGAGAACATCAGGCAAATAAATTATTGGGTCTTATAAAGTCGTTCAGATATCTAGACGGCCTGTCCCTCGTAATGATCTTCAAGAGTGAAGTGCTTCCCCATCTGGAGTACTGTCACTCCGTCTGGTCCCCGAAATATGCTAGGAAAAGTCAGTTGGTTGAAAATGTCCAAAGGAGAGCTGTAGTGGATCTCTCCCCTACAACTGCGCATCCGGATTCCAATGCGACAGTATCCTAGCAACCAGCGAGCTGCTCAGGGGGAGGGGGGTCACCACCTGCTACGTCTACCCTACCAAAGGAGTCAAGAAATCGGCGAGTTCCCGCGGGTTTACTTCCGGTTGCTGTATATCTAAGCTCAGTCTCTCCATTGAGATTCTTGAACTAACACAATCCGGAGGAGTGGTGACCCGAGGATCACACACCCAACACAGACAAAACCAAATACATGCACTATGCGCTAACCAAATAAACGCAGTCGTGTAAAGCCACGGTTCTATCTCTCCCACTACAATTCCCTTCCTAACCTCCTGCTCCTTCCTCTGTCATCTTCCCCGCTGACTTTTGCTTCCAACAACTTTGGAGCTTTTAAACTTGAACTAAATTGAGATTCATTCTACCCTACGTTCCTGAACACGCAACATCTCCTCTAACGAAGCTCCTGCACAGATACCTCCTCAAGCACGCTACTCACTGAACGTGTCTCTTGGGCAAGCTTCTCACCACACGGCATATAAGAAAACCACCACCTAGAGTTTCCATCCATCCATCCTGAGTGCTAGACAACATAACATCACGAAACCCTACAGGGCTACCAGACCGGTCCGACTAATTACCCAAATGGTCCTACATGAATAAATCGGACTGCCAATCACTTATCGACTAGTATTTGGTGTCACAAAGTAAAAAAAAAAAAAAAATGGAAAACTTACTTTAATGTGAGTTAATAGATCGCGTGCATGTACCGACAGAGCGAGTAATTACCCAAATGTAGTCGCACTGAAGTCAAATGATGGTCCTACAAGCGTAAATCGGGCTGTGAATCACTTCTCGATTATTATTTGGGATCATAAAGTAACAAAAAATTGGTAAACTTAATTTAATCCGAGTTGTGTTAGGTACATGCACTCGATGTATTAACTCAGATTAAATTACGTTTTCCCATTTTTTTTTTACTTTGTGACACCAAATACTAGTCGAGAAGTGATTGGCAGTCCGATTTATTCATGTAGGACCATTATTTGACTTCATTGCGGCTACATTTAGGTAATTAGTCAGACCCCTACCAGACTGATGCCTGTACTGCGGCACCTCAGCTACCCTGAGAGATTGGAGTGCCTGAACTTGCCGAGCTTATACTACAGACGGGCGAGGGTTAACCTAATCGAGGGGTATAAACACGTAAAGGGCACTACTCGGTCGAGTGTTTTTACGTGGAGCTGACGGACACTCGCCCCACAAGGGGTCACAGCTCAAGGTTGAAGCCGCAAGCCAAGAAAACTGAGGGAAGGTAACTTTTTCGGAGTGAGAGTTGTGAACTTTTGGAACAATCTGCCAGTGTGTGTTGTGACGGCACCGAGTGTGAGCTCTTTCAAGACCAGACTTGACAAACACTGGAGCAGGTTCAGATACATCAGGAGCCAGTGAATGCACAGTACTTGCCAAGTGTGTAACAGACGTGATCGATCACCTAAGCAGCTAATGAGCCGATCAGTGGTGAAGAGGATAAAACACTGGTAGATCGTTCCAAGAGTTCACAACTCTCACTCCGAAAATTTTGCCCTAATAGTTTTCTGGACTTGCGGCTTCTTCAACCCTGAGCCGTGACCCCTTGTGGGGCGAGTGCCGCCAGCTCCAGGTAAAAACACTCGACCGAGTAGTGACCATTGCGGTGTTTATACACCTCAATTAAGTCAACCCTCGCCCGCCTGTAGTATAAGCTAGGTAATTGGAGGCGCTCTAATCTCTCTGGGTAGCTGAGGTCATATTATCCTCTTGGGTACCCCTTAAATATAATTAAATTTTGGGCAATACTACATGAAGTTATGACTGAGATTAATGAATGGCAAGTTTTCCCAACCCTATACTGGCCATGACAATTTTTTAATTACAATTTACTTTAGTGGGAAAATATAAAGTATTGAGTTAGAAATATGTTTAATCACTTGCACTTCCTGGAAAGATGGAAATGCCCACCAGATTAAACACCACTGGTGTAACAAATTTTCAGGTACTGTACCAGCATACTGTATAGCTTTATGAGTAATTTTAACAAGATTTAGGATACTGATGCAGAATAAATGAAGCAGTGTTGCCAGGTGCCAACCCTAAATTGTCTGTAGATTCAGGAACAAAATTTATTGAAATTTAGAAAAAGTTTTGTAAATCACAATTAAAAATTATATTTGTGAAACTAAAAATATAAACACAAATGATACATTTGTTAACTCCCCTGGCCAGATATTGTATTACAAGTACACAAAGGAAAGGAGGCAACATAAAAGCTGAGCTCTCTGCACCAATAAATTTGCAGGTACAGTAAAAATTAGTTTTTGTGGCTCTCTTCCTCTTCGTTATCATTGATACTTATGTACAGTACATGCAGCACTATCATTCACCATTGAAAACATATGTTTAGGTTACAACAGTTATCACTGGAAAGAACTCATTTTGTGTGGAGCATTCACCAAGATGGTGGGAGATGGGCAGTTTCATTATTTTTCCATTCCGTTAACAGTGGACAATATTATTTTTGCAATAAATTGCAGGTGTGCTTGAATGTGGTAGGCATAATAAGAACATTAAAGAACTTAGATTAAGAAAGAGGTACATTGTCTCTTAACATTGAATCTATTATTCTTCACCACTGATCCCTTGTTATCATTAACAAGGGATGGAAATACTGTACTGATGTGATGGAAGAGTGATGCTCTTATTCTTCACAGCTGCAGGATCTACTGTTTCTGATCTATGAAAGTTAACATTACTAAATGGGTATTACCTATGATACTTTTATGCTTCCAACACAAACATTTGCTTGCCTGAAAACTGCTGCAAAGAATCTCATTGCAATCACAAATTGATGCAAAGGTGGTAAAAGTAATCCACTCAATTATAAATTTCAACAACCGGCACGAATGTGACGCATACTCGAGAACATAATTATTTTGACATAATTAATTTCATACCAAATTTTTGTCGTTCACAATGAGCACAAACTCTTGAATACCAACAATTTTTTTTACACACATGCCAAACTTAAAACTTAACCTGTACATTATTACAAATATGGTATCATTTAAGAAAGTCATCTATTAAATTAGAATAAAAAATATAAATTACTTTTTAATTTTTTTAGATACAATTACTGTGCAGGAGTAGATCACAATGAGGTTTCTCACCAGCAGCAGGATGTGCCGCAGTGTTGGAGATATACCGGTATGAACACCCCCCACAATGAAAAGGTAAGTGCATAATTTTACTACACTTTACTATATAAATATAACTCATCAACGGAAAGTAAGTGTGCCATGCTGTGCTCTGTAAAAAAAGAAAAAGAAAAAAAGAAAAAGTCATTTGAAACATTTTTCATGCGCAACTTTAAGACTCAGACCATGAACTCATAATATCACCAAGGTTACCTTGGCAAAGAGGCTACTCTTATCAGTGCCGAGGAGTGACATCAGAAATTGAGGGAAAATATAAATTTCATTAGTTTGAGTGAAATGCCTTAGGCTTAAGAAACAGTTGCCTCAAGTAACCAGTCAAGAGAAATAGGAGTGGAAAATAGAGCAATTCACGAGATATCCAATAGTGGTGACCATAAGATATCCACCAGAGAAACACCGGGTAAAACAGTATAGTACTGTATAGTGAAGAAATACCAAGACCATCTCACAGTAGTATTTAAAAGAAACTGAATGAGAGAAAATTAGTGACCTGGTAACTAGTGCATCACAGGTCACCGCAGTGGCATCAAGACATGACTTTTTAGTGTATTAAAATAACACTGGGTGATAGTTGTATCATGGAACATTAACAGTAAGTGAACAGTGCATAAATCCTATTTTTCCATGAACAAGCTTTGTGAACTCAAAATAAGTTCGTCTCCTGACTGCCCTGATGTAGTAGCACCTGATAGCAACCTTTAATGATGAGCTAAATAAAATGAGATCATCCAAACCAATTTGGTGTGATTTGATTTGATAGCTCAAAACACATTGAAACTAACAGTAGGTTTGTGTATAGGGTTGACTCGACTTCAGGAGAGGAAGTAGCAGACCTCCAGTCAGCATCTAGAGCACAAACCTTCATCATGAGAGACTTTAATCATGAGACAATACATTGGGTGAATCTTACCACACAAGCCAAGGGAGAATTCCTTGATCTCATTAAAGACTCCTTCCTCCCACAACGTGTAAAAAATCAAGAGGGGAGACAACATTCTAGATTTAGTCTTGATGACTGATGAACCTATGGTGGACATGATCAAACACAGTCTATCAACACTTCACAATAGTTTCATGTAAAGAAAATACTGTCTACTGCACTTACTCACATTCCATGAAATGGTAAGAAACTATGTGGACTGAGACTCACCAGTGGATGTGTAGTACATGGATTTCTCTAAGGCATTTAACAAAGTGCCTCTAAGATCCAGGCACGTACCATCACAGGAAGATGTTGATGTGGATTAACATATGGCTCAGACTAGCAACAAAGAGCAGTAATAAATGGAGTACGTTCTAAAGGGGAAACAGTTCTCAGTGGAGTACCACAAGGCTCTATCCTTGGACCACCTTGTTTGTGATCTACATAATTGAAATAGATGAAAATATATCGAGCCATATAGTCAAGTTTGCAGACGACAAAAAGATATTTGTGAAAGTAGCAGGTCAAAACAATATCGCAACAATGCAGAAAGATCTGAATGAGGTGTTCTATTGGTCTCGAGACTGGCAAATGCTCTTTAACATTATGAAATGCAAGACCCTACACACAGGATACAACAACTGAAATCACAACTATTCTGTTAATAACACCTTCCTCGATACTGTTGACAAGGAGAAAGATCTAGGTGTTGCGATAGATCATTCACTGAAGGCAGTCAAGTACAGTAAGTGGAACATCACCTCATTGCATGAGCTAATTTAAAACCTTTTGTGTACAAAGACTATTTTCACGATCTATTATGTGAAATACTTATTTGTTTAGTGTTTCATATAAAGCTGCACTTTTCAGGAACACATAAAAGAGTACCTGTTTGACGATAAGCAGGGACTCTATGTACTGTATTTAAGGCAAATTCTCCATTTCAATAGCTACACTTAATTTAAGGATACATGAATTGTTATCAACCAATTTCATTCTAAAGTTATACAAACAAACTCGTTTTCCTGCCCATCTTTGGACCTTTCTTCCTTTTTAGAATCAGCTGAAGGTTCAGTTGAAAATTTCTCTTCTGGTTTTTTGAAGAAAGAAGCAAAGGAAGCTTGTTGGGCAGTGACCTCCTGCCCCCGGGGGCTTGAAAAGATATACCCTCTCTTCTTAATTGTGGGTGTGGGCTTCCCTGTTGGATTTTTGATGAGAGCTGATGGCGAGGTACAAGAAGGAGAGTTAACTGTTGTAACCGGAGAAGAAGCAACAGCTAGGCCACTGTTAGGAGAACCTTTGTCTGCTTTCGAAGTTTGTGGAGTGGCACTAGTGGAGGCGGCAGCAGGGGAGTTGAGAGTGGATACAGGAGTCTGGGGTAGTTTCTTAGCAAATGCTGTTATAGGGGTCAGTTTCCCAGTTTTGGTCCCTTCTTCAACACTCTCCAGATCTTCATGATTAACTTCTCTCCGTTCTTTTGGCTTATTGATGTAGTTCCACGTGTTAGGCAAGGATAGATCCCCAAGTCCATATTGTTCTCGCACAACTTTGGGAACATACCTGGGAAAAAGACAGTTAAAATCAAAAGTTTTCTTGAATAATATATGGGAAAAAAAAAAAAAAAAATGCTTATGAGTCACACATCAATTACATATTAATGCTATTTTCCTTTTTGATCTGTGATTTACTATCTGAAAGCAAACTTAACCTTTCCCCTTCATCCTCCTTCCATATACAAACCTTATGTGCCCATACACCTATTTAATGGCCTATTAGGACAGCTTTCCTCATGTCCCTGTAGCCCTTGTATCTCTACCACAATTACTTCAAAATTTACATTGCAGTATTCAGTTTGTTGTCCAATTTTGTACAGTATTTTCATCCTTCAATTTTTAACTTCCTTGGTTTTTATGGCAAGACCTTCATGTATGGCAGATTTCTTTTTCATTTTTTAATTCCCCTAGCAAATGTCTAGTCAGAATTTACAATTCTATATTGTCACGTTTATTCAAAGCCCTATTTTCATTTTCAACCAATTCTGACAGTTTCATGCACATTATCATTTATTATTATTTTTTAGTACAATGGGTTTATTTAACTGTTTATCTTCATGTTTTCTGTCTTTCATCTCATTCATATTTACTAACCTCCCCACATCTAAGCTTCTTAGTCAACCCACTTACCTATCTCTCATGTATATATCGTTTACCAATCAAGGAATGGATGGGTTTTTCTTTTTCTCATATATAAAAATTACCAAATCACCTTTTATTTCAGCCTTCCAGACCCCCTCCAGCTATTTTGTACAGTGGTCTGAACCATGAGCAAATATAGACGCTCTTTACATAGTCATCCATTCAGACATAACCATTATAACTTCCCCCACACACCAGTCTATTCTCTATTCTTTACCATTAAAGTACAGTACAGCTCACCATTGTTTCCTGGATGTTCACTGCCACCTGTCACTTCTCAAAATTCTACAATACTTAAAGGTCTTTAATTCACACGGTGACTGTCATGTGTGCTGGGTACTAAAAAGAAACAATGGTGAACCTGATGGAAGCCTAAGACTCAACTCTGGAAGGGAAACACAGAGGCAAAGCAAATCTCGGTCTCTCACAGTAGTTATAACAAATAATTTTTTTTTTACCTACACCAAGTGGAAAAAAAAAAAGATTGATTTACTTACCACATCATAACCTTGTGCAATGGCCCTTCATCAATACACTTCCTCCAGCGACCCAGCTCCTTGATTTTAGACTCTACCTTTTTCTTTGCAATGAAATAACCACCTGTAAAATTATGACAGATGAAATTTGCATGATACACATCTTAACACGAAACACAAGATAAAAATGGAAAATAACAAGACCTCCAGGGTGACTTAATTAAATATAAAATTAGCAATAGTATAAGTGACAGTAGGGATCCAATATTGTATTATAGATTGTGAACTTTGAAGGATCTCCCAGGTGGACTATCCCAGGTATACAGTATATATCCCAAAGAACAAGATATAAATAGACACTGTACTGAAAAGTCCGTAAGTCATACAAATCAATTAAAAAATAAATAAAAATTATAACATATAAGTAATTAACCCACCACTGGGCATCATGGTAGTGGTGGTTTCATCATTATCATCTTCTAAATCTTTCTTTCTCCAGTAGTCAGAAAACTCCCGAGACAGGAAAATTTTCCCGTTACGATTCCCGTGAAGTAACCGGATTAGATGTGGAATAGCTGTAAATGAAATATTAATCATTAAAGGATAACTGGAGGATGATAGTGAAAACTACATAAGGCAAGTCATGTGGTTTGATTTAGGAGGTAAAATTTCAATGTGGCTCTTCCTGAAAACATCATCTAAGACGACTCATTCCTCACCTTCCTCTGGGAAAGTCTTGAAATATTTGGGTTTTCCACCAGTCTTGTCATCTTGGAACGGCTCATCCTCTGGGTTCTGATCCTTGACAACTGCAGGCAGTGATCCCCTACGACGTATGTCAATTGGTAGCCGAGAGCACAGATTGACTACTTTATGGGGACTCAAGAGTTTCATAAGCTGATCATAAGCTGAAAGAATACAAACTATGAGCTGGAAACAAACCATAAATAAAAAATACAGGTCTGATACCACATTTATGCAAGATGCTAACTATAAATGCTGCAAAAAATAATATATACAAATATGACCAGAAGTTTCTCATAACTAGCTACAGTACTTCTGCATTTTAAACATTAATTTCCATTTTCTGATGGAGCCTTTATCATGACCAACAATATTTCCAGATATGAATACTTGAGATAATGTATACCTCACATTATCTACAAGTCAAACCTTTCAAAATAAAATGCACACCAGTCCCTCACGAGCAGGATGATAGCTTTTATAAATGTGACCGCAGAGTTAATACCTCGATTGTTGTTTTTATCGGCCATCCATAAACACCCTAAGACGCGTGGCTTGAGATGTCTGGTCTTCTTCTTCATCTCTTCCTCAAACTCTGCTTGTTTTTGCTTGAGTTTCTCTTTGTTCTTGGTACCATCATCCTAGACAAAATTGGAACTCTTAATAATAATGAAATATGTGTGTAAAAACAAAATACTATCTCAGAGGAAGTATTTCACCCTAAATACATCAGGCCACTAGCACCAGTGTAGCACAGTGCATGATTAATTGGCTGCGATAGTACACCAGTCTCTCATTGTTACTTTTGAGGCTCCACAGGTCATATTTTCCCTGGTTTTTGTCCATCTGTTTGCAAGTGATTATGATCAGAGCAAATTTATTTTATTTTATATTCCTAGTCCGATTATGTATGCACCATTCAATTCCTTGTGTAGAAAACATACAGTGAATGTAACAGTACTACAAGAATCTATTTGGACCTCAAAAGACTATTCTAACTCATCACCTAATTTATCAAAACCTTCAACAAATACCAAATAAGAACGTCACAAAAATACACTTCAGTTATAGGCCTCAAGAATTAATGAATCAGAAACACTTGAATTACCATACCTCGACCACACTCTCTTCCTGGGCACCTTCCTCATCTGATCTGCCTTCGTCATCCGAGAGGTAGCCATGGGGGACGAAGAAGTCATTATCCACCTCATACTGGTCTCCGTCTCCCTCCTCTTCTTTCTCCTCACCTTCCTTCTCCTCACCTTCGGAATCACTAAGGCTTTCTCCTGCCTCCTCCTCTTCCCAGTCATCATCACTGTCATACTCGTAGTCAAAAATTTGCTGGGGACAAACAGTACGAGTGTTCATAAAGATAAGACTAAATACCAAATATAATGTGTCACAGAAACCATTGATATTATACACTATACAGCATGATGGGTACTTGTGTGAATGTTGGGGGATCCTTTGGCTAATGCACAGTATATCAATCTATTCAACGAGAGAGAGACAGAGTGACTTATAGGGGAAAAACAAACCATGGAAAAGCTATGAAAAGGGGGAAAATATTTTCATAAACACGTTAAAGCTAGTTTCAGAAGTGGTACTGATATAGGAATATTTAAGTAAGTAAATAAATAAATAAATAATAAAAAGACTGAATAACAAGGTAGTTGAAGGTCTTACATCTTTAGCAAGAGGCCGTCGAGCAGACACAGTTGAGCTCTTCTTACTCCACGTGCCCCAGTACGCAGGTCTACGGTTTTCACAAAAGGATAAGAGCTTGGCCTTTACATGTTTGCCTTCTGTCTTCCCAGCAACAACATCTTCAATCATTCCATCCATATTATCAAGACCTTCATCATCATCATACTCTGAAAGATATAAGATTGTTTAATAATTCACATAACTACTGAATATAAGAGGTGTTAGTACCCATAAGAACATACAACACCTGCTGAGGGAGAACTGAGTCATTATGTGAAGTTGTCTTGGACCAAACAACTCAGCAGAGCAATACTTTTTTTTAAATTTCACGTCAAATTTCAAACACAATTTACATTTTAACTCTGAAGTGTTACACTGCTGTTGAATAAGTTTAGCTGCTCATGTGAAATCTCTTCACTAACAATTAGGAAGATATTTTACTTGAATATATTGTATTGAACAAACTAGAACTACACATGTGCTATTTTTTTCTTCTTAATTTTCTCAACTTTCAACATCCTCCCCTTTACAATGTTGTTTAATTTATAAACTTAACATCAAATAAGAAAACAAGATCATTCATACACAAACACCATGACAACTTCTAATCTATACCATCATAACTCACCTGTACTCTATATGAAGCACTAACTCTCACACATACACTACATCTTATCCATTCACACATGCACATCAGCCAACTTCACAACTTTCCACATGTTACATACAAACACTCACACATGCACTACGTCTAAAATCTTTCCATACATGCTACATAAAAATTATATATTCAAGCACATACTACATCTACCAACCTCTTCCATACACCACACAGATTAAATTTCCTAAAGGCAATTTACACCACATGAGACCCCTCCTAGGCCCTTCACTACAGGACGTCACTTCTAATAATTCTTTTGGCTTTAACACCAGACGACTCTATTCAGCACAGAGAGACACCCCTCTCTGGCACCTATACACACAGGATTAATACAGTAACTAACCTAATCTTCAAGGTACTGTACTTACCAATTACTTCAATATCATCATCGACCTCATCTTTCTTGTCCTCAGGGGGCCACGTCTGCTCACACCGCTGCATGACGTAACTTCCGGTTTTCAGGATGTTTAGGTACGTCTCGCGTATACTCGACGGTTCGCTGGATATAACCGAATCTAACTCCATTTGTTGATCTTCAGAGAGATGTGACCTCTTAATTGGAGCTAACCTCATGTCTTCTTTCACCTGTATATAGAAAACGTCTCCCCTTAAGTGTACAGCAATCAACTTAGGTAGATCTGAACTATAAATGAACAGTACTACTCTTGGGAGATATGTTTATATACAGTCAATCCTATACTGATTAAACTTGTTACTGTACATTGTCTTATTTACTTCACGTTGCCTTAAACTAACACACTGTAAATCCACTTCCAAGTCCTTTAAGCTAACACACACTACTTGTTTTTAATTATGCAAGGTAACATTAGGAAAAATCAATCAACCCTTACCCGAAATTGCATGAAGAGGCCGTTATCACTCTCCTCCTCCATTTCACCAATATCCCGCTTCTTGGCAACGAAGAAACTGGCAAATCTGTTCTTTAATTTGTCGTTTTCCTTTTCCTTCACCTGTTTAGCTTTATCTTTTTGCTTTTTCTCCTCTTCCTTCTGTCTCTTCTCTTCTTCCTTGCGTTGTAATTCTTCTTCCCTTTTCTGTCGCTTAGCACTGGTATATAAAAAAATATATATATATATATATAACTAATAAAATAAGTAATACAATAATATGTGTAAGTACTGTAATAAATTTTTAAAGCAATTATACCCCCATCCTGCATATATAAACAGCGTGTGACCCCAGTACAGTAACTACCGTAGTGTCCCAAAGATCTCGATAACCTGAGTATGATTAAGATATACATAATGTGAGCTCCCCTATCTACTTACTGAAGGACAGGTGACTTACTGCCCCAGGGACTACAACCAGAGTATTGGTGGTTCAGTGTAAATTTCTATCTCAGATTTATCAAGGAATCTCTTAACTTACTCTGTTATAATGTTTTCACTCTACCTCCTAGGACAAGAAAGCTGTACTGTACCTGTCATTACGAGGTGTTTACTGTAGCATTGGTTTTTGTGACTGCCCTACACACACACACACATATATTATTTAAAGACACTCACATATCACCTACATCCACACACACTTATTAAACACACTCTATATTATCTAAAGACACTCACATATCACCTACACACTCACATATCACCTACACACAAACACACTCACATATCACCCACACACAAACACACACTCACACAACACCCACACACTCACATAACACCCACACACAAACACACTCACATATCACCCACACACACTTACTCCTTTAACTTCTCCCTTTCTTCTTTTTGCTTCAGTCTTTCTTCCTCCTTTTCTTTCCTTACTCTTTCCTTCTCAGCTAATTCTTCCTGTTTCTTTTTCTCTCTCTCTAATCTCTTCTTCTCCCTCTCCTCCTTCTTCAGCAGCCTTTCCACCTCCTTTTCCAACTGCTTAGGAGTCAACTTCTTCGGCTTAACGGCAGACACAACTTTGAGTCCCGAGACAACAGGCTTTGAAGACGGAGACGAAAACTCCGACTCTGCAGTGGTACCGGGAACGTCGTCCTCCATGTCCTCCTCCTCCTCGTCGTTTCTACTCGCGTCCATATCTTCGGAGACGTTATCCTCGTCCACCATTTCTATATCATCAGTTTCTTCGTCCTCTCCTTCCTTCGCCTCATCTTCGGCTCTCCCGTTGTTTTCGGATTTACTCTTTTCGTTTATCTCCGTCGTTGGCTTGGCGGCGACTTTAGACAAAAAACTCATTATCGTGTAATTTGACTCGTTTTTAAGACTCTTTTTACCCCCCGAGGCGTCACATTTCTCTTTCTTGTTCTTTAATGTTCTCTTGGTTGGCTGCTTCTTGTTATCCCTGCCTTTTATCGTTCCGTCCCTTTCTCTGGCCGCTGTCTTCTTTTCTTCGCCGTGTTCATCTTTATCACCGGTGTCTTCCTTCCCATTTTCTGTCTGTTCGCTGGTTCCCTTTTCTTTGTCTTCCTCCTCTTCGTCTTCCTCTTCATCATCTTCCACCTTGCCTTCTTCACCTTCCTCCTCCTCCTCCACCTCATCTTCTTCACCTTCTTCCTCCTCCACTTTGTCTTCATCTTCCTCCTCCTCCTTGTCTTCATCTTCCTCCTCCTCCTTGTCTTCCATCTCCTCCCCAATGTCTTCTTCTTCCACTTTCTCTTCCTTCTCATCTTCCTCCCCCACTTTCTCTTCATTCTCATCTTCCTCCCCCACTTTCTCTTCCTTCCTATCTTCCTCCTCCCCAATGTCTTCTTCTACCACTTTCTCTTCCATCTCATCTTCCTCCACTTTCTTTTCCTTCCCAATTTCCTCCTCCACTTTCTCTTCCTCCACTTTCTCTTCCATCTCATCTTCCTCCACTTTCTCTTCCATCTCATCTTCCTCCACTTTCTTTTCCTTCCCAATTTCCTCCTCCACTTTCTCTTCCTTCTCATCTTCCTCCCCCACTTTCTCTTCCTTCTCATCTTCCTCCCCACTTTCTCTTCCTTCTCATCTTCCTCCACTCTCTTCATCTCTTCTCCACTTTCTCTTCTCTCATCTTCCTCCTCCACTTTCTCTTCCTTCTCATCTTCCTCCACCTTCTCTTCCTTCTCATCTTCCTCCACTTTCTCTTCCTTCTCATCTTCCTCCTCCACTTTCTCTTCCATCTCTTCCTCCTCCACTTTCTCTTCCTTCTCACCTTCTTCCTTTACTTTCTCTTCCTTCTCATCTTCCTCCACTTTCTCATCCTTCTCTTCCTCCTCCACTTTCTCTTCCTTCCCATCTTCCTCCTCTACTTTCTCTTCCATCTCTTCCTCCTCCACTTTCTCATCTTCCGCCTCCACTTTCTCATCTTCCTTCTCCACATTGTCTTTAACCTCCACTTTGTCATCCACTTTTACAACCTCCATATCCTCATTTTCTTTCTCTTTCATCTCACATTCTTCATTCATGTTGTTTCTCACCTCCCCCTTACATAAGTGTGTCCCATTCTCTTGTTCTTCATTTTCTTCCTGTTTCTCTAGTTCTTTTTCTTCCCTTTTCTCTTTCTCATCATTTTCTTCCCGTTTCTCTTGTTCTTCATTTTCTTCCTGTTTCTCTAGTTCTTTTTCTTCCCCTTTCTCTTTCTCGTCATTTTCTTCCCGTTTCTCTTGTTCTTCATTTTCTTCCTGTTTCTCTAGTTCTTTTTCTTCCCTTTTCTCTTTCTCATCATTTTCTTCCCGTTTCTCTTGTTCTTCATTTTCTTCCTGTTTCTCTAGTTCTTTTTCTTCCCCTTTCGCTTCATTTTCTTGCTCTTTCTCCCGTCCATTCTTTACTTCATTTTCTTCTTTGGTCCCTTCTTCTTTCCTCTTCTTTATCTCCTCTCCTTCAGTTGCATTCTCTGCCTCTTCCTTATTCTTCACTATAATATTGCCTTCCTTTTCCTTTTCTACTCCATCTTTCTCCTCCTCCTTCTCCCCTTTTTTTACTTGGGGTCTTTTATTTTCCAGTTCACCCTCTTTCTCCTTCTTATTCATTCTCCTTTCTGTCATCTTTCCAAACATTTTCACCTTCATAATGGTTCTCGTCTGGCTCTGTTTCCCCTTTCTTACGTTTCCTTTGAGTTGTTTTTTCTCTTTACCTTTATCGAGTTTCTTTATATTTACGCGGCCTTTACCAGTCTTACCGGTTTTCTCCTCCGGCAGAGATTTTTCCGCCCGGGTATCGATTCTTTCCGTCTTCTCTCGTTCGCCGGAGACCTCCAAGCATTGCACATCATTGTCGCCCGTCTCCAGACTCTTCTTTGCCGTTGCTGCGGCTTTCTTTTCGCCCGTATCGTTTTTTGCCGTTTCCCTGGTTAGTATTTCCTTGTCCGTTGCTTTATTTGCCTTATCTCCATCGGTGTTTTTCTCCTCTCCTTTACTTGAATGGTGTAACTCCTCCTTTCTTCCATTTATTTCAATCTCTTCACTTTCATCCGAGTTGTTCCCATTCTTCAACACAACACATTTTTCACTCCGAGTCTTCTTTATCTTATCAACATCCTCTGTTGTACTTCCTCCCGTCTCCGCATTAGAGGGGTCCTCCGTGGATGTTGATATCTCCGCTTGTTGAGTGGGTTTCTTGCACAGGAATGTTGCTAGCCTTTTCTGGACCACCTCAGCAGGTTTCTTCTTGGCCTTGGGAACTTCCACGTCATCATCAACACTGGAGCTCACTTCATCATCTGAGGTCATCTTACAGCTGGAAGAGGAGACACACGTTGACACTGAAGAACACGGTAAATAATCTAACTATAAACATTACTGCACTGTACACTTTTAAGTTCAACATCAAACATTACTGTACACTTTTAAGTTCAACATCAAACATTACTGTACACTGTTAAGTTCAACATCAAACATTACTGTACACTTTTAAGTTCAACATCAAACATTACTGTACACTGTTAAGTTCAACATCAAACATTACTGTACACTTTAAGTTCAACATCAAACATTACTGTACACTGTTAAGTTCAACATCAAACATTACTGTACACTTTTAAGTTCAACATCAAACATTACTGTACACTTTTAAGTTCAACATCAAACATTACTGTACACTGTTAAGTTCAACATCAAACATTACTGTACACTCTTAAGTTAAATATCAAACATTCAAACTTAATGTGTAGTTACTAGCCTTCAACAGTTATCACACTGGGCAATAAATAAATAAATAATAAAACAAATAAATATACAGTAATAGAATAAATACCTGCGACCTCTTGCTTTCTCCTCATTCTCCCGACTCTCCAACTTTTTCTCCACTAATGTGTTTCTGCTCCTCTTCCTATTTTGTTTCAGATTGTCTTCTTTGGTCTCATTTCCTTTTACTTTCTTCTGTTTTGTGGTTTTTTGCTTCTTCTCACTACGAGCAGTCTTTCGGGAACTGGCCGACACGCTGGATCCTGACAACCTACGTTTCTTCTGATTGGGCGAAATTGTCGTCTTTTGTGGAGTTTTGGAGTCTAGAGGAGCGAATGGTAATCGACCTGAGGATGGGAATATTCAAATGCAGACACAGTAGTACATTTACAGCCAAACTATTTTCATGTTACAAATAATGAAAATCTCTCGCATATAGCCAAAGCTTTTAAGACGAGAAAAATACAGTAGAACTTTATCTCAGATACTCACTTTGTTTGAGTGACTTCATTAAGGGGCTTATTACAGTGGGCTTCAACTCGCCAACTGAAAAAACAAATACTCGTTACCTTATTATATTCAAGTTGGTCTTTCCCCCCAGAACTAAGTTTATGTTGTGTGAAGCAGCTGGTTGCCTCGTCTCCATTATCAGTGTTTGTTTACTTAGAGGCTCGCTGATATAGCTTCACAATACTTTATTTATAAATGTTACATGTATAAAATTGCATATAGTACCACCAAATATCTGTATATCAAAACATAATGCAAATATATATACTGTACTGTACAATATAAATATGAAAAAATACAAAACAGACAAAATCTAAAAAAAAAAAAAAAATAATAATAAAAAATAATGATAACCACCACCTGTAGGATTTACGTCACTAATATTTTTATGTCTTTATGTACAGTATTCAATAGTGGTCAATACTGCTGTATCTGGGTGTGGTACTTCTTGAAGTACCGGTAAAGCTCGAGGCAAAGAACGTCACATTCTCAACAGTGGTAGTAAGTGCCGGTGCCTTTTGCTGCACACGTGACACCTTGAATTGAGGTCATGGCTGCATGGTATTGTTATTAGAGCGAGATACAGTATGACAAGATGCCATGTACTCTAATACTACATAAAATTATAACGTTCTGAAGAATTTTAGAGCAAATGCAAAGAGTAATTTTGAGAGAGTATATAAATGGTGACCTCTGATGGGTTTGGGACCATAGCTTTTGCATAGTGAGAAAGAAATCTAAGAATAGAATATTTGTATAAGCGAATATTCTCAGAGTGAAGGTTCATTTAGCGAGGGATACCCATCATACCTGTATCTGGAAAAATTAAAGTTTTGAAAATGCACTACAATGTTTTTTTTTTTTTTTGCCTGTTCTATCTTCTTATATAAATACCAACATAAAAGTTCGATGGTTGTACTCTACCAGATCTTAACAGTTTGTTTTTACAAAACACAAAATTGCCAAGACAAAGATAAGGTTTGGCTCAGTTCATTTTTCACTTTCTTTCACCATACAATTTGGAATGGATTGGTAAGGTTTTTATGAATTTACCAGAGAAATTAATATGAAATCCATTCAAAACACATACAGGAATCACAAAATTTTGTCCAAAAAGTTGTGGGTGGTCCTAAGACAAATGACCCCAAACTTAAAAGTTCCAGCTTTATATTTTAGGCAATTCAACAGTTCCTTGCTCATTTTATATATCCTTTAGATACTCTGGCGTTAACTATCATTCTGAGGAGTGGAACGTTATCAGTAATAAATGCATTAAATAGAGAAAGAGCTCATAAAATCCAATGAACAGTCAACACTGACAAAAGTAGGTGTAGTCTCACCTCTCTGGATCCTTCAGTAATCATAAGGACGACAGGTTTCTGTTCTTTTTAGTGATGTTGGAACAATTAATACGTAGTTATACAGCAATTGTATCCCATCGCAGATGGAAAAAAAGTGCACAAGACCATAAAAAAGTTAATGCACAAAGATGTGTCTTCCTCTCTTTAATCCTATTCCTAGCCTGTCAACAATTTTGGGATCACCTGAAGAATCATCGCCCCAGCTTATTTCACCTGAAGATTAACTACCTTAAGGCTAGCTTAACCTAACCTAAACCTATTCTATCCTAACCTAAATCTAACCTAACATATCCTAACCTAATCTCATCCTCCCAAAGTAGTTTTAGGGTGGTTTAATCTTCAGGTGAAATAAGCTGGGGCAATCCCAATTTTGTTTACAGTACCTGGCAGTTGCTTGGTGGTGCCATTCAGGGGTGAACGCATTCACCAATTGGTGTGAACCATACTTCAACAGCAGGGATGTGAAACATATGGCCCACCACTCACGTATCCAGCCCACATACTAATGGTTGCTCCACCAGCACTGTAAGCCACTACTCTCCGAGTTAACACTTAAACTTAAAATATTCTTTATTACAATACATGGAATAAAACTATGCTGGGTAGCATTTTAAGCTCACTAATAAACATACAGTACTGTTACACATGAAGGTAAAGGAAAAATATATGAATAAACTATATATATATATATATATATATATATATATATATATATATATATATATATATATATATATATATATATATATATATATATATATATATATATATATATATATATATATATATATATATTGTGATAAAACATTAGTGAAAAAATGCACTGCGATCAACTTTAGCTGCTAAAGCAGGGTCCGACTAATTACCCAAATGTATCCAAATGTAGCCGGAATGAAGTCAAATAATGGTCCTAGATGAATAAATCGGACTGCCAATCACTTCTTGACTAGTATTTGGTGTCAGAAAGTCACAAAAAATTGGTAAACTTAATTTAATCTGAGTTATAGATCGCGTGCATGTACCGAGGGAGCGAGGAATTACCCAAATGTAGTCGCAATGAAGTCAAATAATGGTCCTAGATGAATAAATCGGACTGCCAATCACTTCTCGACTAGTATTTGGTGTCAAAGTCACAAAAAATTGGTAAACTTAATTTAATCTGAGTTAATAGATCAAGTGCATGTACCTAACCTAGCCTAATCTAACCTAACACAACACAACTCAGATTAAATTAAGTTTACCAATTTTTTTTTTTACTTTATGACACCAAATAATAATCAAGAAGTGATTCACAGCCTGATTTACGCTTGTACACCATTATTTGACTTCATTGCGGCTATATTTGGGTACATTTGGGTAATTAGTCGGACCAGTTAAAGAATACAATGTTTGGTGGCACTATGACACTAACCAGGCTGTGACATACGATATAGTCTTTAAAAATCAAGTAAAGCTGCAGCTAAGGCAGGTTGCATGATTGACCATGAAATAGCTGTCATAACAATTTTATTTGGAAGGAGACTTTATAAAGACATGAATGAATCTCAAGAAAAACAGTTGCAGAGAGGATCAGCATTACCACTCAACTCAAGACCAAGTTGAGTCCTTTATTGCATTTTCTATTGCAATTGATGAAAGTACTGTACAGTACTGATAAAGCTGATGTAACACAACCTGCAGTTTTCATTTGTAGTGTGGACAAAAATATGCCCGGTAATGTACTTTTATATTTAAAGTTATACGGCCCGCCATAGCAAAGGTGTTTGACACGGTATACTGGAGAACCCTTTGGCATAACACATTCAACCCAGTATTTAAAGAAGTTCGTTATAAGACGTCAAATTATTTTTTAATTAATGAATATACGTAAGTGGCCTTCAATACTGAAATGCAAAAACATGTAATTCAAAATAATTGGTTAAGCTTTATATGAGCTTACTCGTCTCTCAGGTTACCAGAACCATTGTTGACACAAGCTTCAAAATTTTCTTTCAATTTTCTGTCTGATAACTATACACATCTACGGTTTGTATAATAAAACAGTTGTATAAATTCCTTACCAATCTCACAGTCATCATCCATTGTTCGAAGTGGTTGTATATCACAAGTAAAGACGAAAAAATAATATCGCTGAGGTAAACCCACTCGAGGGCTCTCCACCTCCACTAGTAACTCTTGTTCCTCTCAGCTGTTCGTGCGCGGCAAGTTTTCGCGGGAAGCTTCATGATTGGTGTATCCTTAACCAATAAAAATGTAGATAGAAACCTTTTCGTCTATCACTGAATGGAAGACCAATTCATGACCAATCAGAATACAATATTATACAAACGAAGGTTTCTATTGAAGAAATAATTTAAGTTTATATAATTTTCAGACTTCCAAGAAAAAGTCACAGTAAACAGCTGAGCGGACATAGACCTTCACACGTCCTGCTGTAGTGACGGTGGAGGTGTGCCAGCCTACACTTGTGGAGAAAATAACAAGACTTGTGTTTTATTGTGGAGGTCAACCTTGTTATAGTACTTAAAGTTATTGTGGAGGTCAACCTTGTTATAGTACTTAAAGTTGAAGCTTAATAATCGATGGAAGACGTGGAGGTAGAGCTGGCACTACTGGCAGACCTGACACACATCGAGATAGGACGACGTGAAAAGCGACCCCTTTGTAACAGATGCAGGTACAGTACTGTCATATGTAGACTATAGGTACTTAATACAGTAGGGGGGTTAATATTGACTGACCTGCCGACTCATTTTTATTTTTTAACTATATTTACATCTATGAGGGTTAATATATAGGACTAACCCGCCAGGGTTGCATAGGCTGATGTGGCCGTATCATCTCACGTCCAGAAAATGCCTCAAATTTCACCATATCAAAGTAAGTTCTTTCTGTTTAATATACCTGGGAAGTTAGGTTAGGTTAGGTTAGTTTAGTTTAGTTTAGGTTAGGTTACTTTGTTTGTTTGGTTGGTTGGTTAGGTTGTTTGGTTGGTTAGGTCTGTTCTTCATAACCACAAATGTTAAGTAGCGTTAATTTAAAAAATATCCGTTTTTTAACATATTTCCACAAACTACAACAGTGTCCACTATAATATAACAATGAAAATCCGGAGTTTTTATAATTGTTTTCAATCAATTTCGCCCGCGGGTTAGTCCTATATAATTACCTCCATTACCACCACTGCGTTGGGCCAGATCGACGCCGATGCCTAGTGTATGCTTATGAGCTGAATGGTCTGGGCAGCTGCTCTCACGTCCACAATAAACATAAAATGACACAATATCATAGTAAGTTCCTGTTCAATATACCGGTGGTCCGGGAAGATAGGTAAAGTTAGGTGGGTGTGTTTGGTTTGGTTGATAAGGTCTTCCAACAATGCTTGTGTTTCATATCAACTGAGGTTAGGTTAGGTTAGGCTTAATTTACATAACCACTTTTTAACGCATTTGCACGAACTATGACAGTGTCCACTATAAAGCACTGAAATTGCGGCATTTTTATAATCGTTTTCTATGAAGAATCGGCGGCGGGTCACTCGTCAATAATTGCCACAAGATCTATTCGTTTTTTAACTCAAAAACCTTCGGCTGCATATTGGTTGAAAATGCAATTATATTGTGCTTGCAAATTTGCTACTTTTTTTCTCTTTTTTTTCAACATTTTCATCACAGAGACAAGCCTTGGTGGTCCCTCTACCATGATATGACCACCACTATCAGCTGTTTATGTGAGTACTAAAATATTCTTTCTTCATTGTCTTCATCCACAGGTTCACACAAACACTGTACTGTACAAATTCATTTATAAGTGAATCTCACATAGATATTTGTACAGGTATTTACTCCTACACCAAATTTTTCCATTAATACATTATTTGGGTAATCTTATAACAGCTTCTCTTGACATGACTGTTATCATTGTAGTCGACCTGTGGGTGTGTGCTGGTGTTGGAGCCTCGGACGACAGAGGGTGAACACATCATGTCGTGTTGTGGTTCTTCAACATCCACACGAGGAGAAGCGTTGCCTCCGTACTGCTCCAATTCTACAGACAGCTCTTCCTAAAGGAGCTTATGTGGAAATCAAGGGAAAAAGATTTTCATTTGCCAGGTAAATTTTGATACATTCATAATTTGTGATTTTAAGCAAAGGAAAGAGATTTTGAGAATAAGAAAGATGCTTATTTGCTTTGCCAGTAAAGATGAGCTAAATAGTTGTTTATTATGCCAATTACTGTATTAGAGTCACTAATTAAAATATTAATTGGTTGATTTAATTCTCTAATCAAACATACACATCCACCAAATACAGTACAGTATCTTGTGGTCCATATTTTATTGTTATTCCTGTCATCAAAACACTAAGCTTGTGTACCTTTTGCCGAGTTGTTTAACCAGGGAGTTGTAGGGAAATATGCAGCACTTATATAAGAATACAGTCCCTGGCAATGTGCAAATTCAATTGATGTTCAGATATGAGAACAAAACTAACCTAACTATTAAAACAAATTGTAACTACTGTACAAAATAATAATCTATCTTCTCAGGTTTCCACAACTAGAGGATATTTTTAACAGTGAGAACTCAATTCTCATGTATCCAGGAGAGAAAGCCATCAGCTTAGAAGAGCTTCCATGTGTGGGGGAGGGCCAGGCTCCTTATAATATTATAATTATTGATGGGACGTGGCAGCAGGCCAAGTCCATGTACCATAACTGCCGCCAACTTCACAACCTGCGACAAGTAAGTGAAAAAAAATTTATACCACCAGAAATACCTACTTATAAAGTTTCATTCTACAAACATGGCAGTCTATTACAAAAGTTTTCAGCTTGTGTTGGTGATGAGACTTACTGTACATAATCAACCCTGGCCTAAAACTAATCCTTTACCTGATTGGGGATATTGTTTCTTTACCAATCATCCATTCCTGAGTCCCTCTAGCTGCTGCCTCCAGAATAATAATCTCATTGATCTTGTTGATTTTGGAGAATTCCTCTCCCTTAAAACCATGGTAAACTAATCATTCAATAGTAGTGTAATTGTCTGAAGCCAGTACAGTGCTGTATTAATGTGTGTGTTATCATTTCAGGTCAGCTTATCAGGAAAATATATAAGTGAGTATGTAATTCGCACTCAGCCAACAGAAGACGCTCTTTCAACTGTTGAGTCTGCAGCTATTGCCTTGGCGACCCTGGAACAAAACTGGTCTATCTATAATACTCTTGTCTACCCTCTTCAGCTTCTCTGTCAGTATCAGGTGAGACTCATAATGTACTATACTATAATATATTCATGTATATTTGGTACTGTAATGTACTCTTTACAGAAATGTGCATGATCTGAAATTTTGAAATGTCGGTAAATACTTAGTGAGGATGATGGACTTGATACTGAAATACAAGTTCCTGTGTTTGAGAGAATAATGAGAGTTAAGAAAGTCTTTTGGGGTATGGAAGTTTCATAAAATGTGAGGCTGTAGAGTGACAGAGTACAGGCAAACCTCTTTTGGTGGAGACTCATAAAATGTATTCTCACTTAACAGACACTCCTCAGGAATGTATCTTGTCTGTTATAAGAGATCTGGCTGCACTGTATACTGTACTGTACTGGAGTGAAAGAGTTGTTTATATTGCCATGCATAATAATAATAATGTATTTTATATATATTTCAGATCAAGCATGGTGCAGTACCTCATCAGAGCAAGGAACACATGATCGTCTCAGGGCGCTGCAACAAGCCGCTAGGAAAACGAACATATAAAAAGTTGCGCAAATGTGGTGCTAAACAAGGTGATACACTCTCAGAGTTCATGGATTCACTCACTTTATATGGTAATCAAGGGGAAGAGATGAATGATGATGATAATGATGATGATGATGATGATGGAGAGCAAAATTATGGTGATATTGATGGATCACATAACGTAGAATGTAAAGATAGAGAAACAGGTCCTGCAGAAGGTGATGAAGGTGGTAGTAGTCAAGATTCCTGCCAAAGTGACACAAGTAGCTTAAATACACCTGAACAGATTCTGCCCATTTTGAAGAACAATGTCATTGACTCGTCTCAGGACTTCAGATGATACAGTGTTTGTGATGGAAGAAATATTAAGATCCTCACATTAGGTACAAACACTCGAGAGAGATGGACACGTGACTGCTTAGGTCCATGTTTGTGTTGTCATATATTACTAAAACACACATTTATGTTTGGTTACTCCTGACTTGAACAAATTGAATTAATAACTTTTTTCAGTCTTTAGATTTTAAACTAAGATTTTTGTATTAGTTTACACAGGGTGTAAAATTTTTGCTAGAAAAACTGCATTTTGGTGAAATATTGCCACATAAATAGTCTATACATTTAACATTGAATTATATAATGTTAGTGTTTTAAGTGATGGGTTCAAATATCCTCTTTAGCAGTTATACATTGTCTCCTCAAACTGTAGTGCTTGTCTAATTTTAATTTATAATCATGACAAGCTAAGTATGTTAGTGAACTTTTTTTGTACTGTATTTATTAATCACATTACAGCACTGTACCAGATTTGGTTAATCAAATATAAGCAGTTAAATCTTATGTTGTAGTCTTTGTATCCTTATACTTACTGTACCATACATATATTTAAGATAAACCACCTTACTCTTTAACTTAACCAACAAATCAAACTTGTACTGTACTACATAGCATATAAAAGCCTATTTACAACTTCTCACAAAGAGCTGTCAGTACTGTATATCAACACCCATCACTTCCTTGGGAAGACTGTTTATGAGGCTACAAATGTTTTATAAGACTGTTAAAACAAGAAACTTGAGCAATGGGAGAAAAGACAAAATGTGTGAAGAGGACCAGAGCAAACTGCACTAAGAGGGCAGTGTTATGGTGTCACTCAACAGCTGAAGCTTTAACAGTTCCTTACCAAACATCTGAGGTTGTTACATTATTGAACAAACTGGCCAACGTGTCTATGCTGATTTGCCATCGCTACACCGTGAAGGATCGACCTATTCTGCACCTGCTAAATAATATACAGTACTGTACTGTAGTGTCTGATCAGATCAGAGTATATATATACTGTAAAGCTGACCAATCAACTAGTTACAAACATGTCACTCTCAGCTTGGAGTAAGTATAACTTAATTTAAATGTACAGTAATTAAACAAAGATGTAATTGTAATTCAAATTGTCTTACAAGTGAAAGGTGTGCAGCATTTAGCTTTCTATACATTAATGAACTGATTTTTTCCTATAGTGTTAATTGCCCTGCCATGAGACAACCTGTACTGTGTATCTTTCCAATTGCCACTCTATCTATACAGGGAATCATTTATTACTTTACCACCAGTAACCTGTTGCCATCGCCCAGACAACATGGTACCAGAGTCAATGGAGGAGACGTAGAGTGTTCGAACGTGTGCGTCAAATTTCAAACTAACCTGTAACTGAAACTGGGAGATATATATATATATTATAAAAAAAATACTTAAAGACTCTATTGTTTTTAAGTAAATCTTGATTTTTAATATTTATTAGTTATTAAACAAGAATATTCTTATTTGAAAGATAAACAATAAGATAACGGAATAGGACAGGTATGTGGGATTCGGAGGAGTTGTTTATAGACAGCGACAGCGTGTCTTGTAGTGTTGCAGCTTCGCCTGGCGTTGGCGAGTGTTGTTCGCTTGGCTGGCTAACAAGCAAACCTACATGTGAAAGAGGTCATTATTGATATTGTTAAGGTAAGTATCTTGATTAACACAGACTGATTCATTCCACCGTGTGGATGTAATGAACACATCACTGCAGGAAGATCGTTACCTCGTTACAGGTGGTTTACTTTACCGTAGCTGGTAGTTACCAGTTATTATGTCAGTTGATGTCATTAATGGTTAAGGTCAACAGCCCTTGACAAGACAATAACGAACAATGCTTTCACCAATATGTGCATCTCTCTCCGTCAAACCTTTGTCTGCCAACTATTGTTTTTACTAAACAGCCACGTGATGGTGCCACAGTGAGCCGTCCTATAGCCACATTTAACAATAAGTGCTCAATACTGTTGCTATAACTAATTTTATGTTCTGTTTTTGTTAAGTTATCCATTAATAGGGTAGCCAAATTTTTTATTTAAAAATACATAATGGATATTTTGCCATGACTGGCTAAGTTCCTACTAACGCTTTTTTTTTTTTACTGGGATTAGCCCACCCGGGCACGGGTCACTGACCCACATCGGGGCCTGGGGGACGAAAATGTAATAATAATAATAATAGTTCATAGTAAATAAAATTTAGAATAAAAAATAAATAATAGTAATTCATAGTAAATAAAATTGATAATAAAAATAAAATAATAATAATAATAATAATAATAATAATAAAGAACTAATAAAGAAATACAAAACTGAAAAAAAAATCAATAGTGAGAAACGATATATGTATGTTGTGTTGTCAAAGTAAGAAAAACAATTAAACCCTGCAATGATGTGTAAATGAGGCAGAAAGACGGATAAGCAACTTGGGACTTGGTCACAATTTTTGTGATGCCATATAGCAGCAGGGTCTACCATTATACAACACATTATGCTTCCAATATCTTCCCAGGCGGTAGTACCTCCCTGTTTGGTAGCTGCCTACTACCTACTGTCTGTTTAATATGATGGGGTGATGGGGGGGAGGGTCTGCACCCCGGCTAGGAAATTAGCTAAGTTTAGGTAGGTTTTGTTGGTTAGTTAGGTCAGGTTCTAGTAAATGTCACCTCTTTTATAATGATAAGAACATCTGTGGAAAAAAGAACAACTCCTGGTAAAGTAGTTTTATAGCTACACACCGATCGACTCACGGCAGAAGAAATACCAAATGCCGCCAGTCACATTTACATATAGTTCTCTCATTGTTCGCCGGTCCTGGCAAAATATCCACTGCCTAATTTTTAAGGTTATACATAAGCCTGAACTAACTTCTCTTGACCTTCTATTTTAGCCAGAACATGGAGGTGCCAGATAAAGTCACAGAGACAGAGGCTGACATGAAGGACGTCAGTACTCCTCCTCACACGCGACACAAGCACACACCTGTTGAGAACTTAACACGTCAGGTGTGTCAGAGTTAGTCTTGTTTGCATCTTATAATGAGGTAATCTTTAAGTAGCTGCCGACTTAATTATTGTTTAATTTTGGTTGTGGTGGACCAGTAAGGCTGATCATGTGTTCTGATCACAGCTCAGCGCCCCGTCATGAATTTTAATTACCTGTATGTACAGAATTTTATTTGAATTTTTATTTAAAGTATGAATAAGAATGATTGCATTGATAAATTAAGTAAGTTGTGTTGTAGTGTACAGTAAGTGTATACTACTGCATAATAGTAACTGAAATACTGTTCCTGTAATACCAGTACCTGATCTCGTTCTTATAATTCTTTGTGCTGAAATAAAGTTCACTTGTTCACTATTGCAGATTGTCTTGATTTTAATACGTGTACTGCACAAGCTGCTTGCACAGTACTAGTGAAGGGGACTGTACGTTATAGTATTATTGCATGTATGTTTTCTGAACATTGATGGAAATTCTGCTGTAATGCAAACCAGAAATAAGAAAATTCTTATTTTCAGGAACTAGAGACAAAAGTTAAACAACTAGAGGCACATAATAAACAACTTCAAAACTTACTGGCCAAGAGTCAAGGTGCTACAGATGTAAGAAACAAGGAAGGCTCAAATAAAAAGGCCAAGAAAGTAAGACCCTTTGATTTTACCAGGTAAGCATTTTGTGATCAGTATGAATGGTTGAGATAAACCTTAGATTTTAACATTTTACCCTTTTTTAAATAAAGGAAATGAAAGAACTAAAAAAAAAATGTGGCTTTAACAAGAGTAAGATTCTCAGATATTTAACTTACTTGGTTAGTGTTCGGCAAAGCAGCAGATAGATGGCCCGCTGGGGACACTACTCATGGACGGTAATAGACTCAACCACTGGCCCTTTGGGGATGCTATTCGTGGACTGTAATGGAGTCGACCGCTGGCCCTTTGGTGTTGCTACCTGGGGACTGTAATGGGGTTGACTGCTGGCCTGCGCGAAACATTTTCTCCTTTGAACGTGTTTGCTGAATTTTCCTATGTTAGCCCAGCTCAAACTACGTTCGAGCTAATCTTAGCCACATATTCAAGGAAATCCGCGATGAATAAACTCGCATTAAACGAGGGGACAGTGTATGGTATATGAGAAATTCATGCTAGGTTTATCTAGGTTATATATTTTTGAGGTAGAAGTTACATGCACTAGATGCATGTAGTAGAGGTAAAATGTTTACATGTATAGATAATAACATTGTACAACTGAAGGTTAAATGGGTGTTTAATGTCATTTTATTTTCAGACACTCTAAGCGACATGTACTGTTAAAGTTGGCATACCTCGGCTGGGACTATCAGGGTTTTGCTGTGCAGGAGGACACCCAACACACCATAGAGGCCCAGTTGTTCTCAGCACTTCTCAAGACACGTCTCATTGAATCCAGAGAAACTTCAAATTACCACAGGTGACATAAAACCAAGTGAAACTGCTCAAGGCAGGGTTGGCAGATTTAAACCAAACAAAACACCATTCTTTTTATTTATGCCTTTTTTTCTGGGGTTTTATTACTTACAGATGGTTTTAATGATTTATAGTGGATTTGGAAAATGCATATGATAGGGTAAACAGTAAAGCATTGTGGGAGGCATTACAAGTGTATGGGGTAGGAGGAAGGCTATTAGATGCAGTAAAAGTATTCTATGAAAACAGCCGGGCTGCAAACACTTAAAACTTATTAAAACCAACATGATAGCATTAAAACTAAACAAAAACATGGTTTTGGGGTTTTCTTTAAGCTGTGTTTATAAACGATTGTTTTTTTACAAACTCTGGTTCAAGGTGTCAATTTAAGTTAAATGAAAAGCTCCATTTTGTAAAACATTTGATAATTCTGTAGCAGCATATGGTAAAAACCATCTTTTTTTTATTTTTTTTATTTTTTTAAGTTTGCACTTCATCTATTATATGAATACTATAAAATGTATATTATTATTGTACAAGATTACATTTGTCATACTGATCAACTTATGTACACTTACAGCAGATGATGGACCTGTGGGTTGTGAGTCATCATAATGAGCTGCCAATTCAAAGATCTTGCTGGAGGTTAGAGTGTATTGTTATGTTGTTAAGTGTCAGAAAAACAGTTGTATTCAGATTATGTTGGGGTTTCAGGTGTGGCAGAACTGACAAAGGAGTTAGTGCATTTGACCAGGTCATTTCCATCACCCTTCGAAGTAAGTTGAGGTCTGGGCTGGGAGTCGTTGCCCCAGAAAACACCAAAATGGCACCTACAGAAGGTGATGGATCTGAGATTAACTATGTACAACTTCTTAACAAAGGTTTGTATTAAGAAACTAGATTTTTTATCTTTTAAATTTTACACATTTATACTGGCGATCTGGGAGCCCCAAATTAGTCTTAACCATAAATTTTATTTGTGTTGGGATACTAGCTTGAGGGTGCTGGGAAGGGAGCTTCTCTCCAGGAGTGGACTAGAATCTGTTGAGTGTTATTTTATTAAATTTTTCTGTTAACAGGCAGGACATTAAAATACCGGTAATTAATGTGCTCCCCTTACCTATTTATCTAAAATGAATTCAATGTCCATATTTCAGGCCACATTAGAGTATACTGTGTTGATGTTGGCTGTACAGTATATGGAAGATATGGATGATTAACTCTTATTATTGTAGTGTTCTTCAACAATGAAAAATACAGTATTAAATATAAGGTTCTGTTGCAGTTCTTCCTCATGAAATAAGAATGCTTGCCTGGAGCCCAGCATCACTTGGGTATTCTGCAAGGTTTGACTGTTCCCATCGAACTTATAAATATTTTTTTCCAAGAGGAAACTTGAACATTGAGGTAAGACACAAAATGAACATCTTGCATCTCACACCCCTCACATACAGTACAATAAATCATTAAAATATCCCCAATAGGAGTAGGTTCATTCTTCCCATTTTATATACAGGTACAGCAGTCTGACCTTGTATTGCAAAGAAAATGCTTGTCACTTGTCACAGATGAGAGAGCACCGAGTCTGTCAACCTTCTGTAATGTCATGCAAAAATAGAGAGTGTGTGCATAACTTCATGTTAATTATATCGCAACATTTGCAACTAGGACTATAGTACACACTACACTACCTTAAGTTTTGTTAATTGATTTTTTGATGGGATGTATGATATGTTTCTGAAGTTCATTTCTTGACAATAATTCCATTGAAGTTTCAGCTTATTAACTAATGTATTTAGTATTTATAGCTTTACCTTGTGAATGAAAACTGTAGGACCTGTAGTCATAATTATATTTGACATGTACACCTCCTTGAAACAAGTCCAGTAACACCTGTCTTCCTATCTTTATAACAGGCAATGAATGAGGCTGCCCAGTACTTAGTGGGTTATCATGACTATAGAAACTTCTGTAAGATGGATATTGGAAATGGAGTTGTCAATTTTTGTCGTCGTATTCTATCAGTAAACATTTCTCCGGTGTGTTGTGATGTTCAAAGAAAGGAGAATCATTCTTTGGGTACTGAAACTGAGAGCCAGTGTAAAGCACAAAATGAAGAGAAAGATATGAACAAAAATATGGAACTCGGTGGTGAATGTTCAGATTTAACAGTGTGTGAGTCCAGAAATATGAGACAGATGCCAAGCAACACTTTTCCTGAACATAATGTTAGAACAGATACAACATGTGGGAGGAAACACGGGAAGGATGGTTATGACATGTGTGTGGCTACCATCGAGGGACAAGCTTTCCTCTGGCATCAGGTGCGAGCAATCATGGCTGTCTTGTTGCTTGTTGGGGAAGGCAAGGAGGAGATGCAGATTGTGCCTCAACTGTTAGATGTGGAGAAACATCCCAGGTAATAATTTTCATCTTAAATACAAAATCTATATAAAGCTAAAATAATGTATCCTAAAGTTCCCATCTCTTTAGCACTGACTTATGGAAGATAATTGTTAATACAGGGTATCTCATTTTATAAAAAAGTGGATAATGACCATATTGCTTGATTAAAAAAGACAATTCACCTATAGCAGTACAGTATTTGTTTTATAATCAATTAGTACAGTAATTATCCACTTTTATGTTTAACTGACAGATATTGGTAATTCTTTTTTAATGCCAACAATTTTAAAAAGATTGGAAATTCTGTATACAATTTTGTTCTTGATTAGATTGTATTTTGAACTATGATTGTGTGTGTACTGACTGTGTGTATCCTTATGAGAGAACTGTTGTAATCATTAAATATAAATTTTACTTTCAGAAAACCCCAGTACTGCTTGGCTAGTGATGTGGCTTTGAACCTTTATGAAACAACTTTCGAGGGAGTGGACTGGCAGTGGGATAATGAAAATTTGCAGTGCGTGATTATTCAGTTGCAGGCGCTATGGATGCAAAACACTGTAAGGTAAAGTGACGTCAAGTGCTTCGAGGTGCAGTACAGTATTTACTTTACAAATATATATATTGTAGTATATAAAGATATATCTGAGCGTGTAATGTTTATATGACCATATGGATACTATTTCTATGGTAGACATCGGTAATTTCTTTTAAGCAAATTACCGTTTTGTTTTTATGAGTAATTTAGTTGAACAGTGTTGATGAGAAGATGGCTTGATTTTCTCCAGGAGCACAATGATCAGAAGAATGCTCTGGGATTTAGAGAGTCAGTATGCAAAGACAAATAAAATAAGAACAGAAGTTGCACCAGAAGGGGAAGTTTTATCAGTAGAGGAGGACACTGTGGTGGCAACGTATCCACAGGAACAAAATGCTGGTTTGACTCCAGGTGCAAGAACTAAAGTATACAGGCCTCTACTGTCCAGACCAACATGTGGTAAGTGATAACAGGATATTATATTGGTGGGTGTAGAATATTAACATCTGTTAGAATTAATACTTTGAGAAATTTAGATTTTTGGTTTAGAGTTGGGGCTTAAAAATTAATTGGTGTGTGTGTGTGTGTGTGTGTGTGTTTTTATGGGGGCCAACCCCCCAAAATTCCACCTTCATCGCACTTCTGAGTTGTTTTTGCATCTCTGTGCCAAATTCCTCAAGAGTGCTCTGACAGAGAGATACATCAGTAATGAATGTATGAGCACCAAATGTGAAACTTTCTTAATCACAGAAAATGGGTACTGCAATACAGTATATATTTTGACTACATGGTATATTGTATACTATAGGTACCATCTTCTGTAGCAGGTGTTGTTAACTGTCACTCTCCTCTCCCTCCATGAAGGATGGATTCTACATACACTCTCTACACACTAGCATACACTGTCCACTCTGCTATGTATAGTACAGTACTGCACAAACACAGCTCAAATGCAAAAACAGCATTGAGGAGATGGCTGTGACATACACCAGCTAATGTAGGCATTCCATGCAGTTACGTGACAGTAGTGACCAATCATAACTCACAAGCACTCTTGAGCCTATGTGCCCAGCACAGGTCCCTACATCAGAAATACACATGATTCCATCCCTGGAAACTTGTTCCCATGCCCTGCTATTGAAGAGTTTGGGATCAAAGTTTCCGGCTAACAGAAAGATTGCTGTATATTTAAGAACTTACATCCTTAAATATGTGTACCAGTAATTGATTATTCTGCAGATTAGATAATTTAAACTCCAAGGTGTCAGGGATTATTTAAATATGCTTTTATTACATAATTTTTCCCACCCACAGAGAGCCTAGAGACCCGAGTGGAACACTACGTCAAGAGACAACGGTTAGATCCTGACATCCTCCAGAAACTTTCATCTTCTTGTAACTCCAGCCAGAACAAACCTCCCGGCCACAGCTGTAGTCAAGCTTCAGGGTAAGTAATATTTGTTTTTTAAAGAATGAAATCAAAATCAATAATAAGGATTGAAATGTTTTGGATTCATTTCTCCATCTTTTCAGGTCTTTACATTAACCTTTACATCCATAAGTCCATTTGGGTTTGTAAATTTGAAAAGTACAATACAAAGGTGAACTAAATTTTTAAAATCCTAAAGTTTTCTTGTAAAGATTATTTTTCATTAATTCGTGCAATGTCTTAAGTAAAATAAATCAATAGACCTAAAGGACTGGAACAAGGTAACCAAGTACAGTACAGTATTAGCCCCATTGGCCAGTACATTTGGTGCAGAAAGATCTTGGGTTTAAGAGATTTCCCGGTATTGAGACAAATTGTCTTATCCCCAGAAAAATCGCACATCTACAGAGTTTTTCTGGGCACTGATGAACATTTCCATGTATAAATTATGCATCTGGCACAGAGCACCGTTGCTACAGAGGCTTAACTGCAGTTGGACAGACACGAAGCTGTATTTATATATGCAAACACTAATTTACACGTGCAATACGGTATATTAAAATATAAATTTGTGTAACCAGTAATTTCATGGAATCCCTAAAACTTTTCGTAAGTTCTTGTAATTACTGTTTCACTCGGGGGTTTCATATAGTAATCCCTAAAATTTCGTTATTGGTTTTACACTATCTTACTGGTTGATGCCAGTAAATTTGTGGAATGTTACTTTCAGCAGTCAGTCCACTGTTAGCCTGCCTTCTAGCAACATGTCTTCAACCAGTGTAGAAGAAGAATTCAATCAGCAGCTGTTCAAACGATACAGAGACAATCAGAAATATCTTATTCCTCTGACACAGTACTACCACATCATACACAGTGTGAAATCTGCTGCTGCTGGTGTTCACAAAAAGAGCAGGAATGACTATTACCTCCTGTCCAGGTACGTTTATTCCCACTTACTTTTGAAGAGGGGAGGTGTGCAGGCAGGGGATAGGTAAAGGCTAATACATTCATTTGTCTGCCTGCCATTTTTTTGTAGGTATGTATGAGGTCCTACAGTGTGGCAATGTTGAAAAACTGATCAAGAAACGCAGCGACCCCAACGAACCCCCACTTTACTTCGCAATGATTGAAGAGACGTTCGATGTGATCAAATGGGCACATGTTTCAACCGGCCATGGCGGAAGAGACCGCATGTTGAAAGAGATCCAGAAAGACTATGCAAATGTTACTACACCTACCCTCGAGCTTTTCAAATCCCTGTGTGAAGAATGCCAGGAAAAGAGAAAGCGGCCCATGACAAAAGGCGTGGTTGTTCGGCCCATTCTCAGCAAAGACTTAACTTCAAGAGGTCAAGTCGACTTAATTGATATGTAGGCGATGGCGCAGCACTCCTTTAAATGGATCATGGTATATCAGGACCATTTTACCAAATTCTGCGTACTCCGGCCTCTGCCAAGTAAAACGAGCGGCAAAAGTTGCTGTATACCTGATGGGCATTTTCTCCTTTTTGATGTCCCAGCCACACTTCAAAGCGACAATGGCTCGGGGTTCACGCCACATGTGATGACAGAACTGAAGGATGTCTGGCCTGATCTCACTATTGTTCACAGTAAGCCACGCCATCCTCAGAGTCAAGGTTCTGTAGAACGTGCCAATGGTGACCTAAAGGACATACTAGTAGCACGGCTGGCAGACAACAGTACTCAAGAATGGACTGTGGGTATCAAGTTTGTGCAGTTTCAGAAGAACTCGGCTCACCATTCAGAAATAAAGGGCACCTCATACTCTGCTATATTGCCATCCCCATTCCTGTTGTAGATTGTGGAAGGAGAGATCCACGTAATATGTTTGGTGTTATCATAGGCAGAGATCTGGACACTGACTTATAGAGGATTACTGTGAAGGCCAGAGTTTTGAGTGGACAGTACTCCAGAAACCAATTTGACTTACGTCCCCAGCGTCTACTGACAGAGCAAGATGTAAACCAAGAAAAGACTGTTATTACGCTCTGCTGTTATTGCTCAGTCAGCTTCGAGTGGACAAGCGTTCACAAAATACAACTGTAGTGGTCCAAAAAAGCGTCGGACAAACTGTTTTAAAGCCAAACTTAAATGTAGCTCACGTTACCACAGAAGTTATACTTGTGCCAACAGGTGAAGTTTGAATTTGCTGTATGTATGATGAGATGTAATATACATGTATATTTTATGGCATTTCAATGTCATTTTTAATAAATGATTAGAATGAGATGCAGTTCTGTGTTCTTTTTCACTGTCCAGAATGAATGATGTAATGCACATGTGCGATTCATGACATTATAATGTACCTGTCTTTAATAAATGAATAGAATGTGTTGCAGTTTAATATTTTTCTTGAGAAAAATATGTTAGTAAATGCGTGAAATCCCCAGGAATTTTAGGGATTAAATGAAACCCCCGAGTGAAACAGTACCCCAATTACATGAACTTACTAAAATTTTCAGGGATTTCATGAAATCATTGCTCTTATCTTGAGCTTGTGACGCAGGTAGGCCATATGATACAAGATGACCTGCTTTGTCCTGTGCCATCTACTGTGACAGCTTGATGTCATGGGTTTTTTCTGTAGCTTTCAGAATTGTTCACATTTTGTATAATGCATATACTGTACATGCCCTACACACTAGGTTACAGTAGGCATACACTGTCCACTCTGCTATGCACAGTATTGTACATATGGTACTTTCACACTTACTGAATGTACAGTACAGTCTACATAACTGTAATCACTTATGTCTTAACACTGCTTTAACAGTATTCTTGGCTGATGTATCCTGGTGTTGTAATGTACAGTACTGCACAACACAGATCGTAAGTGAAAAAAGCAGAGAATGAGCAAACAAACTTGTACAGTGGCAGCAGACTATGAACCTAGTGCATCATGATGCCTCAGCCAATCACAAGCTTCCCATGTAATCACATGACAATAGTGGCAAATCGCAGGGCACGAGCCAACAGCCTAAGTTCCCCATACAGCTAGTCCACCCACACATCGGCGCATGATGCATTATCTCGGAAATTCGTTCGAAGGCTAGTAACAGAGAATCCCCCCCCCAACGTAATGGAAAGTTCCATGGCTCGAAGATTCTGGCTAACGGGTATATTACTGTAGTGTATAGATCACTTTGGAAGAAAACGTAATCTCTATTTTTTTTAAACTTATCACTGTCACCAACTGTCAGCTTATTAGCCATTCAGGCAGAAAGTCTCTTCTCAATTGGCCTTTTAAGTATATACTGTACTGTAATTTGCTGTTTAATAACTTTTCACTCTGCCATGAAAGGATATATGAAATAATTTTAACTGTGATAAGCAGCCATCAAATATATTAATTCATTGTGTAAACATATAATGCAAGATCTTTATATGCTGTCCTGAAGATAATAGAATAGGAACTGCCTGGAGCGTGAGTCTCTACGTCTTGATTAGCTAAACTGTGGCCATTCTATAGATAAAATACGTACTCTATTTATATTCACACCAAGTTAATTGCCTCAGCATCCTTAAAAATACCTGTATGTATAAAACCTTGAATTTAATGCTTTCACAAATACATCTTGATGCTACATGTGGTATAAATGCCACAGGGCTCCAGTGACGTAATTGTCCTTTGGCAAAAATTCTCCTGCCATCCACAGCTCACAACTGCTTACTTTACTTGGGTTCAAGGTTATATGATGTGCCCACTCACTTACATGTGCTCACTCACTTACCATGGAGATTGTATGGTTATTAGCCAACAGTGAGGCAGAAATTCTTTTAAGTAATATAAACAAAACTTTTTACTAACAAGATGATGAACTTGGGTCTTAGGTAACTAAAACCCTTTGGATGCATAAAGAAAGAGAGAGGTGGACAGCAAGAAAATTTACTGCACACCATACTGGTTTGCACCCAGGACATCCTCAGTTCACCCAACCATGAATAGGTACCTAAGTTCACCATTGAGGAAGTGAAGGCTGCCGAGTACAGTGTCATAAACACTGCCATCAGGCCAATGGGACCCACTTTCACCTATGTAGAATTATTTGCACTGGAACTTGGAGATAGTGTGTCAGTATTTGAGTAATACAGGTAATTAGTTTTAGTATGAATTTAAAAATTTTGTATGCAGTTGTTTCAAAGATAATGCATTAGTAAATAAGACAAGTACTGATGTACTGATTGTGTGTATCCACCAGGTCTGCTGAAGGCATCTGAATAAAGAAGATATTATTGAATGCTTGCCATATCATTAACCTGTATAATGTGTGTGGTGTGCATTTATTCATGCATAGTAAATAAGTTGTATATTTCTGTAGATGAACATAAAGAAATTGCAGAATGGATAGTGGAAGCTGACTGATTCCTGGAATGTGAATAGTAGTTTTCTTTGATATGTAAATTTATCTCTGATGTGTTATTTAAAATCTTTAAGTACTGTACCAGGAATTAACCCATTCATTGTGGACATGTTACAGTATATATGGACTGATTCACCTCTTGCAGTTGGCTGCAGATGTTCCATAATAGAACAAAAACCAGTTATGTGTAATATGACCATCTGCTGCACTGGATAGGTTTAAAATATTAATGAGAATACTGTAGTGTCTTATAGTCTGATAATGGTCCTCCAGCATATGATACTGAATGCCACAGGCTGTAAAGAAAAGTACAGTACTGTAGTTACTTATTTTAATCTTTCCCTGTGATGCTTCCCTTGCCTTTATGTGACTATAACTTTCTTTTTTCAATCTTTCAAGTGCAATGTGACTAGCAAGAGTACTTTTACCAAACCAGCTGCTTTATTTTCTCCACAAAAGCTAGTAAGACTAACCATCAAGGAAGAAGATGAACTTATTTCAGAATGTGAGTATAAGGGTAAGGAATAGTTATGTACATAAGTACAGTAGTATGTGCTGTTAAGCTAGGATAGGTAAACCAAGATGACACTGTCAAGGGTGTGCCTGACTGAGTTGACATATGATAGTATATAAGTTGATCTACTGGGTTCTTATTTCCACTACCAGAGGTTAGGAGGCAGTGTAACATCACCACCACAGTATATGAGTTGTCAAAGATTATGTGCAGAATCCGAATGTGACGGTCCATAATTATTAGTCTATCTCCAAATATGATGGTACAAAAAAATACCATAACATAATAGGAGAAAAAATATTGTACCATAATTTTGAACTGTACTTAGAGCTAAAAGGTCTCTTATACCATACTGTAATATTGTTCTGTAACATACTGTACTTCCACCCCGATGGAGGCTGAATTAGTGAGGATCTAGTGTACAGGTATCCTCCAATTAATGATCTTCCTATTTACAATATTTTGTTTGAACAATGGTCATGTACTGTATTAAGACCATCTCCCCATTTACGATAAAAAACTCATGGACGATGTCATTAATCAGCAAAAATCTCTGACACGCAGAATAGGGAACACATCTCTCGTTACAGTGAAGGACGTTACTAACATTCGCATTTTACTCTGTTTTGGGGACTGTAAAGTGATTTTTTTTTTTTTTTTATATACAGTAAAGTACTATGCATCTGTTGTTGTGAACATGATGTGAGCAGTGTTGGAGACTCAATGTTTTTACTTTATCATCGGTGTTTTTGTTTTTCCCTTACAGTCAGAGGACATCACTAACATTCAAATTGTATTCAGTCTTTGTGATTGTGAAATGGGCAGTGTAACTTTGAAAATGTCTAGCAAGTGTGTTACTGAGGCACCCAAGAAAACCGTGTCTCTGGAGGTGAAACTAGACATGGTGAAGCTGTATGGGAGTCAGAGTGACGTCTCCACTCCACCTTCAAGAGTCCCTTTACCCTCGAAAGGGACATGTGATGATGACCAGGCTTATTGATGTGAGTGTTATTTAATTGTGTTCTAGTTACTATTTCCTTAGTATAAGATTTTTTTGGGGTGATACGTGTGGTTGTTGGACTGGCTGGGAACGTATCCCATATTAAAATGCTCCTGATTTATATTCTCTCAATTTGAAATGGGTTTTCAGGAATGTAACCCTATCATAAATCGGGGAAGTATAGTATCCACACGTTGATTAGGTACTGTACCAACTAATTCATAAATAATACCACTCAATCTTGCTGCTAGTCTATGAGTGTCTGAATGTGTTTTCAAGATTTTCAAATTCTCTGTAAGAGATTTTATCGCTGTCTTCTGCTTTATAAATATGTACGTAATAAACTCCAACTTTCTTTCCAAATATCCGGACTAAAAGGGGGGGGGGGAACCACCTGTCCGAAAAAGCTGATTGTCCGTATCTTCTGGTAAATGTGCTAGATGTATAAAAACGATAAATAATAAAAAATAAAAAATACAGTGCTGTATTTTATGGCACATAAGACGCATCCCCCATTTTAGCAGGAATGTTTAGGAAAAAACATTTGTGTGTATTTTCCTCCTGTATTCATAGTTTTCTTAAAATAATATATACAGTATCAGTAAATGTGAGGAATAAATAAAAATAACAGCAATAAAAAGGTAAAAAAAATAAATACTGTACGCTACTGTATTGCCAAACCAGTAAATAAAAGCCAAATAAAAGTTTAACACAGTCGCCATTTGCATGCTCCCTGGTTCATCATAGCAAGAAGACTAGCAAGGACGCAACCTCTGCTGATTCCCTAGCAATGCATTCCCCCCACACGCCTCACCGCCTCCCCTGAACCAGCAAACTCGTGTGCAAAGAAATGTATATTCCCTTTATGTGTTTGCCCTTAGGACAATTATTTCTTTTACCTTTTTTTCACAATATGTATGTAGGATGGTGTGTGCACGTAACTGAGTAAAAATAAATGAAGAAAGATATGTACAGTATATCTACCCGAAAATAGGAGTAGAAAACAACCATAATACCTTACAGCTTGGCCCAATAGCCTGGTGGTTACAGTGATGAGTTTAACCTTACTACAATGCCATGGTTAATCACTATTAGTACTATTATAGCAGTAAACACTAATAATAACAGTAAATCCAGTGAAATATGGCAGGGAGGGAGGAGAGTTACAAGAGCAGACGACACGCTAACTAGAGCACTCACTCCCCTTACTGCTCCCATTGCCAGGTGTATGTATGGGAGAAATACATATCTTGTAGTCTTATTTGAAAATGGTGACAAGCTCAGTGATTAACAAATAATATAAACCATTCATTTTCCTATGATAACATAATAAGAAACATTGTATCATTACTAGAGTGAATGAATTAATATTACCACAAACAACATTTTTATAAAAAAATAGATTAACACTCACTATTCCATGCTGGCTGTTTATGTAGAGCCCGTTCCTCTCTCCCCTGCCACTGATGGATGAAGATGAAGGCCTTGAAGACAGCGATGACTCCCTGGTCGATTGGTTGGAGCAATGATGATGTGTTCTTGGGCAGAAAGATCACCTCAACATTTTTGTTTGCAACCTTGAGGGCCTTGGGGTGGCCAGGGCAGTTGTCGATCACGAGGAGGACCTTAAACTCCAGGCCTTTATCCTGCAGGTAATCCTTAACCTCCCTCACAAAACAATTGTGAAACCAGTTGGTGAACAACACTGTTGTCATCCAGGCTTTCTTGTTGTGGTGGGAGAAGACTGGGAAGAGGTGCATATCTTTGTTCTTAAGTGCACACGAACACTTGGCATGGTTCAGCAGCATGTGCTTGATCATGTGTCCTGCAGCATTGCCACATAACAATAGAGACACATGATCTTTGGCCACCTTGAAGTCCGGTGCACTCATTTCCTCCCTGAAAAGGAAGTTAAGGAACGTCCTGGCTGGCATCTTCTTCCACCACAAGCCAGTTTCGTCAGCGTTGAAAACCTGCTCCGGCTTGTAGCCCTTCTCCCGGATGATCTCAGCAAAGATCTTAGGATATGCCCTAGCTGCTACATTGTCCGTTGAGGCTGACTCACCAGTGATCCTCAAGTTGTAACGCTTCTTCAAGTTCTCAAACTACCCCTTACTGGCATTAAAACCTTTATTTGTGGCATCACCAGAACCACCAGTACCATCACCACTCACTTCCCCACCTTCCTCAGCATGGAATCGGTCATACAGGACCTTGACTCATTGATGCCATACTCCCAGCCACACACAGCAAAGCTTTGGCCACTCCTAAGTTTGATCAGCAGTTTGGGCATTTGGGAGCCATCACAAGAATGAGGAGCACAATTGTTAAGAGAGCAAAGTAGCACACACGCGAGACGGACAAGTGTTTATCCAGGACTGAGGCAGAGTGAGTGCTTGTGGGCCAGCTTCCCAGGATAAGAGACATCTTGCGGGACGCCACAAAACACGTGCGCTCCCCGTCTCAGCCGCGAACATGCTGCCAACTTTAAAACTATCCGCAGACATTCTTGGGTACATCCAGGATGTCATCCGCGAATATAATCGAAGGCTGCGAATTGTAAGGGCATGCTGTACAGTATAGGTAGTACTTGGAAAATGTTAATTTAATTTTACAATCTTAATTACCTGGCAAGTTTTAGTATTTCCATGTTATTCTGTAGTAGAAGTTATGAATAAATAAACAATTCAGAAGTTTGGTGAAAAATATTTTATATACATAACAAACATCAGTATCACTAAATGGACGGCATAGGTTACAGAAAGTTCTTCTGCATGGATGGAGTAAGTCTGCTTACAATAATAGAAATGGAATAAGCCATGTCTATTTTGCTCTTAATTTTAAATGCAAAGGTAGAAAGCACCCCATTAGAGACATGTCAATTTATTTTTAATGAATTTTAGCAAAGAAATAATTTGAAGACTTAGGTACTGTATTACTAAGCATGTAGCTTAAACTGGAAGCCGCCACAAAAAGGTACTACTTATTCACTCCTACATATTCAGGAAACCATGAAATTTAAACATTAAATTTTTGCTGCTTGTGAAAATGCAGCCGTATCTCGTTAGACATATGAGGAGGAAAATGAACGGTAAAGAGAAACGGGAGGGGGGGAGAGAAAGAAGAGATAAAAGGACTGGAATGAAAGTGAAGCTCAGGAGGAATGAGAAGATGGAGAAAATGGAGAAGTGGAAGGGAAAATAGATGTAAAGAATGTGTGCTGGAAGAGAAAACAAGATGAGGGTGGAGGGGAAGGAAGAAGGAAAAGAGAACAAAAGTTAAGGAGGAATAGGGATGGGGGTGGACAACAAGAAAACGTTTGGGAGTAAAAAACAAGAGAAAGACATGGTAGAGTAAAGGGAGAGGGCAATAGAATGATAAGGGTGGTGAAGGAAGTACTGTAGTTAGTCTTAATGGATAGATGTTCATATATGCAGAAAACTTATCACGGTGCATCACCACGTGTATTTTTCTTGTGCTATATTAACATGTATGCAAAGTTTCAACTCAAATTATTACAATTTAGGCTCTCCTAAGTAGGTCAAGTCATCTCTTACTGTTCCATTTTAAATATACTGTATAAATAAGAATACAGTACTGTAGTATTACATTAATAAACGTTCTAAACATTATTGTATTCAGTGTACAGTATTGTACACGTCATACATCGTTCATATTTTATTGTGGAGTGAAAATTTTTAATCAATAGCTTTAATTTTGCATATTTAAGCATTTAACCCTTTTGATGTAAATTCTGACTAGATAGCTGTACCCCGTGTGAAGCAAACGTAGAAAAATAAAAAAATCTTTAAAACAGTAACTGACCATGATTTGTGTATAAACGCACACATATACTGTACATGTACTCATACATACACACACGACACTATACACTGTACACACACACCCACTGAAGCGTGGGCTCATTTCACTACTCACACACATATGCGGACACATACATACACTACTAATAATTTCCTGGGTCATCCACATCATCACTACCAGACTACCACAATCACTTCATGATTTCCTGAGCCATCATTGTAGCAAAGATAGTTGGACACACGGCTGTACTTGGCCATGACTGAGAAGACACTAGCAGGCCTAGAGATAATCTGACGGTTGCAACCACCTCCCTACACGCCAGCCAATTGAATGGGATGTGTCTATCTGGTAATAAGATTCAAATTATGGGTGGAAAAATTATTACCACATATGGTGCAGTGATAACATTGGGATTGTTTTATCACATAGGATGTGGGAATTGTATTAAAAGGGTTATGATGTAATGATAAGTTGTGACTTGACCCTCTTGGAATAGCTGGAAATGCAACAAATCCATTTGAAGCTTTGGATGATTAAGAACCAATGTATGTTTTCTATATCTGAAGCATCAATGCTGAGCTAAAGTGTGAGAAACACAGAAATATTAGTAGCAATGGGTGAAGGAAGAAAAGGAGAGAGGAGAGTATTTGTATGTGTGCTTGAGGACAACTCTGATAAGAGAATAGTGTGAAAGAAACTACTTTAAGGAGTAAGGATGTAGGTACAGTATATTTAGAAGCCTTTCAGTTGTATGCAAACTGAGGCTGGATGATCCTGGGCATGAAGTGCTGGCAGTGTCCAGGTATTTGATTTGACAGCGACCATCTTTAAACATACTACAGTATTGAAAAACACATTGCTTGCGCTAGTGTATCAATGTCTGGTGTGCACTACCCTTATGTCTTATATATACACAATGAACTGGTGAGTTCCTTCTTTTGTACTCTCCTAAACATTACATCATATCTACTTTAAAATTACATTGGTGACATGCCTATTATATAAAAAAATAAAATAAAAATAATTATAATCTTGCTGTTAAGTATTCACTTTGAGATAGGAAAATGAGATTCCATGTACTGTACTGTACTTACAAAAATTTGCTTATCTTTTGTGCATGCCTAAAGTGTTTGCTTTTGACAAAATACTAAAGAAATAATTTACTTTCCCTATACTGTATCATACACATACAATTTACAAACATATACAGTAAAATGTAAGACAGAACTCGGGTATAAACCATTATTTGTCCCAAATTTGTTATACTAAACCTAAAATGCTCCAAAAAAAATCTGTAACTACAATACAGTATTCCCAATTATGATGTTTTGTTACATATTGTCACACACTATAATTTCACCGACATAAATTTTTTCTTTATCAACTACCTATACTGTACTATTATTTGACATGAATTACAGTTTACCTGGTGTCTTAGCACCTCTCTTGCTCACACCTATACCTCAACTAAAAATGGTTGGAGTGAAGAAAAAACATCTAAATTTTTCAGGCCATATATACTTTGGATTACAATCAAAGTACAGGGTAATGTTATACTCAAGAACCCTAAATAATCCCCACACTGTACACTAAAACTATATCAGTTAAGAACCTAATGTTTTGCATAAATGTAGCCTCATGTTAGAGAAAGGTGTGACATGATCCTGAGAGTTTATCAGGTATTACATGACCCATCAGTGGCATTTAACAGTTTTCACTTCGTCATGCAATGGCACTCACAACAAACAAGCACACCACAATAAACATAGTGAGTACCATGGCATGACCGGGTGAAAACCATTAAACACCACTGACGGGTCACACGCTACCTGATAACATTAGGCTACATTTACAAAAATATTAGGTGCCTAACCGATACAGTATAGTTTTTTAGTACAGTATGGGGATTATTTAGGGTTCTCGAATAAAAAAAATCACCCTGTATAACGGACTTGTCAGCCCTGAAGGACTGCCCTACACCTGAGCCGCAGTCATGTCCGGCTCATTTCTTCACTAAGTCACTCAGCCAACACCAGAGCCCAATCCCAAGGTAAGACCTATGTTATTCACACAGGTGTGAAGATGGTAATGTCGAAACCCCCCTTCACATACACACACTCCACTTTCCCCAACGTACACACACTCTCCACTTTCCCCTATACACATACACACTACTCCCCCTACACACTCAATTCTCTCCAACACACACCCCAATCCTTCCCACACACACTCCAATCCAACCCACACACACTCCCATCCCTCTCACACACACCAATCTCCCCCCACACACACACTCCAATCCCTCTCTCACACACACACACACACTCCAATCCCCACCACAAAATATTGGCTGTTCACATCACTATGAATCCTCACCCAAAATCTACAGGTATTTAATTGTTTTCTTTATCAGCCCATCTGCTATACCAGTAGCCTATAGCCTTATACTGTGCTGTTACTCTCTGGACATTACAGTTATCAATATGCCAGCATCTTTCCTCCCCTTCAGCAGTACCTACAACTCAAATCTAAAAACAATATATCTAAATGACTTTACTAATCAGATTACAGAGAATTAGTTTTTAAGATACAGTAATGAGACACTGCATGAGCCTTATTATAGGAAAATTAGCTTGGCTAAAAGGACCTCCATCAGAGCTTTCTTATAATACTAGAAGTTGGCAACAGCTCCAATTGTTTTACTAAGCAGTTAAGAGATTTGTGTAATTTAATCTAGGACTAGTTAAAGATATTACACTATTTTTCTCACTGTCCTACAAGTACAGTTTTCATAGGCATTTGTACATAGTGTAACAAGAAAAAAAACACCACATGACTAGAACATAAACACTAGTACAGTATATAACATCTGACCAAAGTTACATCAATCACATCTCTCACTCAGGTTTTGCATTATAAATCAAATCAGACTTTTCTTCATCTTGAGTATTATAGGTTTTAGTAAATATGCAATATCTGAAGTCAATTGTACTACCCATGTATAAGTAATATTATATAGTATTGCCCTTTACTAATATTATGAACATGTATCCATATAATAATAAAAAAAAAGAATGGTAACAAATACAGGGAGTGGCGGTCATGGTTTTACACAATCCATGAAAATACAGTAAACAAATTGACTGTATTTTTTACTACCACATTATTTTTTGCCACCGTGAGTTGTGTATACTGTACTGAACTACTGTAATAATAAGTACCAAGGTACTATAGGTCTCACATTTATCACTTTACATATGAGGCTATCTGGAACAGATCTTGCTGGGTGCCACGGAGAGAAACACAGTCTTACAGTTTGTCAATTTACAAAATGCCATACATTTTAAACTAATACAGTAATGATATTTGATTGATTTTTTGGCATATTGTACCTAAATACCTCTAGTTTTATGTGTAATGTGTAAATTAAAATCAAATAATAATATTTTAATATTACTAATTACTTTAGGGTCTGTAGTTTGGTTTTTTGTTTGTCTACACTATAGACCAAAAAATTCATACTGTATAACGTTATTTGAACAAATAATCATAAAAGCTAAAGTAAAGCTTGGAAGCTATTGCCATTTTGCTGATACATTCAATAGTTTCTCATAACAATAATATTATAAAAAGAAATTCTACTCTATTTTTAGAGACAGGAATAATAAAGAAAATTAGCATCCTAGTTCATAGTTACATTAATCAAGATGCACACTGACATCATCAAGTATTGTAATCCACTAGGTTGTTGTCAGCCTCATCTTCTCTGCCCTGAGAAGGTCTCAGTACACCACTTCCACTTGATTCATTCATTATTATCTATGATAAGCGTAATAAACACTGGTAAAATACAGTAAATACGGGAGTAAACACTGTATCCAGCATTAAAGGGCATCACAAAAACCAAAACTGAACCTTACAGTGAATGTAACATCCTGATTGGATGCTATTTTATATGTCCCGCACTCCCATTGACCGAGAGACGCCGGCAGTGGTGTGAGCTGGTCAACAGCATGGTGGGCGGCACGTGATAAAGTCTGAGCCAGAATGAATGGCAAGAGCTGCAGGCAAGGCAGAATATACTAAAACCCCTTTATGTTTGGAGGACTATTTACCTTAGATACATTTCCACAACCTGCACCTTAACTCGCTCCCGGGACAGAGGAAGGCTGGGGGGAACACAGTAGTACACTTAACTCGGTTCGCAAGGGGTGCTGGTGGTAGAGTGGTACCGCTCTTGCCTTCGCAAGTGAGATGTCACGGGTTCAATTCCCGGGCCAGTGGAAGTTGTTTGGACATACTTCCTAGCCCCCATTAGTCCCTGTTCACCTAGCAGTAAAGTAGGTACCTGTTGTAAATCGAAAGTTGCGAATTCGAATTCATGGACAAGTTGTTGGAGCTTCCAATAACTTGATGGCATAAACCATTGACTCTTCAGGCTTCTACGCCCTTAACTCATGAGACAAAGGCAAGCATGAACTTAGCATGCTTCCCTGTTGGGCACTGTAAACGCTTCTGCGCTTCACCTTACACAAAGATGTAGGGGGGTGCCCAATAAAAAAAAAAAAAAACTCGGTTCGCCACACATTTGCACTTAGCAGGTTCTGTTCCGGATCGCCTCATATAAACATTAGCTTGTTTTCTACAGTGTGACATATTTCTGAACGTTAACTGCTATCAGTCAGACTTCATACCAACATATCTTATGATGGTTAAATTGTGCAACTTTATTTACATATAAAGACTATAATATTACAAGTTCTCCATCTACCTATGAATATGTCCAAAGAAGTTATATATGTACAGTATTGCTTCAGTACCTCAAATGGAAGTTTAAATTACTCTTCAGCACATTTATGTAATTCAGTTAGTTGATAAATGGTTTGTTTTGACAACTCAAGCTATAGTTCCCATTATGGGGGAAGCATGAAAGTACAGTACAAGAGACTTATCAACACCTGTACAACATCCCGGCTCTCATCTGCAGGTAAACGCTTCATTCTAATTCCTTAAAAGAACTGACCAAGATGACAAAAACAATGACAAATAAATTATAACACATTAAGATCTGGGTAAACAACATAAAGGATATCCACTACAAGATAAAAAAACATTTAGGAAGTTTTATAATTTCAAGCTTGTGAACTGTGTATCTACTATGACTGAAGCCATAGAGTATCCATATTCTCTGACTCCAGCGACAAATAAAGTATAATGGACTTGATAAACAAACATGCACCCATCAGTATTATCTGCATACGGGTATATTCCTTTGCCTTATAAATTTGTATGAATTGGAACCTGTAATTGTGCTCTCCTGTTAGCCAAGAGAAGATAATGACCAATGTGTTGTTGCCTATTAAGTGTTTATTGAACAAGAAAAATAACATAACTCGGCAATAAGAGGATAGCTGCAGCTGGGAATGATGCTGATAATATATGTCTACGACCCTGTAAAACTGAGTCCTTAAACTGCCGCACTTATCACACTAAATCTTGTGAATCATAATAGTATTTTAGTATAGGGTCATGGTTGTGAGTGCTATTTACATTAACCAAAAAATAATAATATTAAAGTAGTAAGTCCCATTACAAAATGAGAAATATATTTAAAAAATCATATATTTTCTTTAGCTCTATACAAAAATATAAAGAAATATATTCTAAATGTATAAATAAATGACTAGAGTTGACTAGAAAAATAATACTTGCACACATATTGTACGTAATCCAACTAGTGTGTGTAGTAAAATGCTTAAAGATAAAATAAAAGATACAGTAGACAAGGGCTTAAATAACCACCTCAGTCTGACATGTAGATAATCCATGACAAATACTGTGTGGTGATAACCATTTATTTGGGAAAACAAATGTTATCTGGGTGTAAGTGACTACACTGTGCCTCAGCAGCTTAGTGGTCAAGCTGGCTGATTGCTTGCTGGTAGTTTCCTTCAACACAATTAACTAACACAGGTCACAGACTTATGAAGCCACTAGTCTGATCAAAATCATGGTTTAAATTAATGTCTCCAGATGGTTCAAATTGTCAACAATAGAATAATGATCATCTGGGTCATCACTGTATAAAACAGAAAGACCTGAACTGAAGGGATTCACTTGATGCTATTCCATTAGAAAGACCCAGAATCTAGACTTAATTAACTCAAAAACCATGTCAGCATTCAGAGCAAATTATACACTTAAACTACTGTATATCTAAAAATACAAATATAAAAAGAATCCCAATTTAAGTAAGACTATCTAAACCTGCACCGATGACCATACAATATTAACCTGAACAGATGTGTACTGACAATGTAACTAGAAAGATGCAATCTCTCCTATTTACTGGTACAGTATATTACACATGATACCAAAGGTTTGTAAAGTGTCCATACTTACAACCCATGTCATGATAGTGATGGGGGAACCCTGGAACTGTGGTTAACTTCTTGGTTACCCGCTGTGCTTGCAGATCCGTTTGGTATGAAAGGGGCAGTCTTGTGATAACGTTTCAAGAATGACTTCTTCTTTGAGGGCTTATATGTAGTTTCTAATTCCAACTGTTCAGCTTAAAGAATTAACATAAAACATTACTTCAATGATGAATAAATTAACTGATTAAGAAAATATTATCATATTCAACTCAGGCCAAGGGTTCAGACTATTGATGCTGAACCATTGCAAATAATAGGAATTAGTTTAAAATTAAAACTAACATTGAGATGCACAGTATTAAAAGATCTGAATATGAAATTTATATCATTTAAAAAGCAGAAACCTGTAGTATGGAAACATCCCACACATGTGTGGCTGAAGAAAATGGCAGACATGATAATGAACATAAAAACAACTTTCAAACAAGCTTTAATTTTATAATATTTTGACTGACTTTATTTTGAGGATAACCATGAAATAATAATAAATGGAAGCAATATTCACAAATGGTTCAGACATGACACTAATACTGCACAGTTTTTAGTACACTGTCTATGGTCTGGTTATATTAAACATGACATTAATCATTCAACTGTACAGTAAGTCCTCCTATAATGTCGCCCCGCTTAACTTTATTTCGGTACTATGTCGCTAATCTTTAGATACCAATAATTCATTTAACGTCCCAACTACTCAATTTAACATTATTTTTGCGTTGTCGTGGACTACTTTTTACGGCGTATCACCCTCTCTCGTCTGGCTGTGCTATGCTCTCTCTGCTCGGCGCGCTACCTCTCACTAGTGGAACGTCACAGCATCCCCAAGCGAAGCCAAGCCAGTCTCTGTTACGCTTCCGCACCATTCGTGTGTGCTTAAGTGTTTTTGCTATAAATACTATACTCTAATCATTCGAAATGGCTTCCAAGCACCCATCAAGTGCTACTGATGCTAGTGTTGGAAAGAAGTAACATAAGACCATTAGCCTTGCTATGAAAATGGAGGTTTTAAACCGGGAGGAGGAGCCACCCGCTGGGTCTCAGTGACTCGCCACCCTCCTCCCCCGCTCCACTACCCACCACACACTCGCTCCACCACCTCAGCCCATTAGTGAGTACAATACAAAATTATTTAGTTTATTTATATATATATATACTATTTTCTATAAAAATGCCATTGAATTTCTGTATATGTAATGTATTTATGGGGCAAAGGGAGGCTCAGGAACGTAACTCCCGTATTTTATCTATTTCTTATGGGGAAAACTGATCCGCTTAACTCTGTTCCGTATAACGTCACTTTTTAGGAACGTAACCTCGACATTAAGCGAGGGCTTACTGTAATTTACACCCAAGGTACAGTCCTCTCACTCCCTTATTAATACTAGAGACTAATGGTATATAGCCACTGTTAAAAAAGCTAAGATTAACACAACTTACCTTTACTATAACTCAAGATTGAAGGATTAGATGATGTGTGGACAGTGAATGGACTGGTACTCTCCCTTCTATGACTTGAGACCGAGCTATTACAGGTATCATCGTCAGAGTCAATTGGGACACATTCATCAGTTCTCTCCTCATGTGAAAGGTCAAACTTTGAAGCACTATATCCTGTAAGTTTAAAATAATGATAAGTAAACAAATACATAAGTAAATGCTGTAGTGATAAGTCTTTATATTTTAAACAATTTAAAGTTGGAGTTGTGAATATGGAATGTTAGAGGCTCTACAAGTATAGTAAAGGTACAGTATGTGTGGAATGGGTTCATACTACAGGATTGACTTGGCTCCTGACAATATACCCATCCTGGATAATTTGGTTCCAACTAATATGCTGCTGGTCTGAAGCAAGTGTAATAACCAAAACAACTAGCAAAATTTTTTTAACATTGGCTCCAGCATAACTTTTGGATCTTTCATACTTATTGAGGTGAAAATTTATAAAAGTTGAATTGTCTAACAGTGTTTACATGCATCATCAATCTCTGAAAAAGTGAAAAATTTTCTATGGCAAACAGTGTAAGGGAAATTCGTGAACTAAAAAGTACATCCTTGCAAGCTGTGGCAGATGATAAACTTACCATTTATGTTATAAAAACTATTAGCTTCAAGAAATCTACTGTCCCCCTTTCTAACACCATTGGACAGGGAGTCTGCTTCTGTCAGGTCTTGGGCAGAAGCAGCCTGATGCTTGGGAGATTCCTGAACATGAATGACCCGATGAGGTTTGGTAGGAGGACAATGCACAGGTGAATCCTCCTTTTCTGGGGAAGGGGAAGCCTGCACTCTTACTGGACTATTACTTGCAGGTGGTGAGCCCTGGGAAAAAGGATATACCCTGTACAATATTTAGTTTCATAATAAAGTAATTACAGTATGAATCCAGTCTTAATCCATAATTGAGATCATATACCTCTGTGGCCTTAATGTCTGATAACAGCACAACTACATTAATCTTGGTACTTAAGGCAGACTAACAAGTTAGATCAATTAACATTTATGTATAATTTATGTCACAAAACTACTGAGAACAGATTTTTTTCACGCTGATTAATTTCCAGGGAAGTTGTTTCTGGAGATAAATTTTCTGAGAAATTCAAGTTTGAAATAAAAACACAAAAGCTTCAAATAGTAAGATGAGTAACATAATATCCACCTTGTTTTGACATTAAGAAATACTATAATCAGGAATATCTATAATATTTGACAGCATTCAATAACTTTTTCACACATCAATAATTTCAGATGAGTGGGTTAGTATTTTGTTATTCTCACCTACTGCACAAAGACACAATGCCAGAGTTTGACAGTACAGAACACCAGCCTATAGTTGTCACATAATATTTAAGATTATGTAATAATGAACAATGCTTTACAGTACAGAGTAGTTTGTCTCTGGAGTCAATGTAAACACCAATCCATCATGAAGAAAAAATCTTCTTTATCAGCAAAGCTTAAAACTTGCATTCCAGACAACAGCAACTCATAAACAGGAGCAATTTTTCTAAAACTATCTCATCCCCGGGGTTCTCATGCATACTAACTTGCATAAAAGTTAAACAGCAAATTTTGGTGCTTAAGACCTTTGGGTTTTTTTCTGCTGTTCAATATTGATGACCATTGAGCCATCATATGAATGTTTTTTGTGGATGTTTAGGTTCTTTCACGAAACAACACATTTTTTGACCCCAAGAACATAACAGCTGAGGAAATCATTTTAATACTCTTCGCATGTTCTCACATTGATGGGAAAGTTACCTTTAACTTTTACACACACACACACACACACACCTGTGGAGAGGAGGAAGAGGAAGTTGATTCCTGAAGTTCCATGTGGGAGGTGAAGCCGAGTTCCTTAAGTTCCTGTTCTTCCACTGAACTGCTTCTACGTTCTTTCATTACTTTACGAACTTCCACCTTTCTCGACTGAGGTAAGATTCCCTACAGGTACATAACACTTATTAGTACCTGTACATCATACCCAGTGAGGTAGTTAACCCCTTCACTCTGGGGGACGCTACTATTAATATTTTATCTGGTTAATGCCGGATGACTTTATTCAGCAGGGAGAGGACCCCATACACAAAGGGGTTAAGAGAGAATGAATGAGAAGAGTGTGTGTGATGGTCTTCCTTCTGGTCATTCTTATCACAGCACATGAAGTCTTCCAAGAATGAAAATGCAAATACAAAACTAATTAACCCCTTAATATTAAAAAAAATAATAAAAAGTAAGATAAATAATCAGTACCCAAAAAAAGGTATGGCAAGGAAATGAAAGAAAGGGTATACAAATTTTAGAAAGGCAGATACAGGTACAGTATGTCAGTACAGATACATTGTAAGGGTTAACCACCACAAAGAGGACAAAAAGACCTGTAAGAGTAAGATAATAATTAATAGTTAATGAATATCAAAACTGTGTGGGCAAACAAAATTTATAATGAATGATCAAGCCAACGTCAACAGATTCTGGAAGAGGAAATAACTAAACATTCACAATAAGAATTTGAATAAAGGAGTTAAGGAAATATTCAGTCCAGGAAAAGAAAGTCTTGTCAGTCCTCGGTCCCATCCATAAGCCCTGAGACTCGTCAACCTGTGAATCTGAGATCTTACAACATTGTGTGACGTCTCTGATTCGCAGGTTCCCAATTTTCAGGGTTCATGGATGGGACGGAGAACTGACAGGACTTTTTTTCTGTGACGGTACATGTAAGGCTTCACTATTAAATCAATCTAGTCAGTCAGTCAAACAAAATAAATAAAATACACACAGCAGATGTTTTCTCTCCACACACACACATTAACACAAGAATACCTCTCGGGAAACTCACATTAGGAACTCCGCTTCTTCCCGGGTGCTGTGTGTCGTCTACAACTTCAACATCCGAGTCGTCGCTATTGTGAACTTCTACTGCCTCAACTTTTCCTCTCGACATTGTTTCAAGTCTTAGTGCCTCTTGTCTCTCCCTCTCTGCTTGCAATCTTCTTATTCTTTCTTTTCTCTCCTCCCTTTCCTTCATCATCTGCAGACGTTCCTTCTCCAGATCATCTTCTACCCGTTTATTTATTTCTTTATAATGTACGACTATAGTATCTATTAACCATCTGGTAAAATAAAAAACAGTAAAATATTAGTGACACTGGACTACTACAATACAACACTATAATTAAGGAGCATATCATACAGACAAGTTTTATGAATTAGCATACTGTACATCAGTGGCGAATCCTCTGAGCATGCTAGGCATGCAGCGCATGCTCACTGCTCAGAGCTTTTTGTTTGTTTATTCATCTTAAATAATAAATTTACATTTATACTCTAAAATGCAGCCTAGCGCTTAGTAACAACACTGTGTAAGGGAGCGAGGCCAGGGCTAGCTCCTCTCCCAAGCGCATCGGTAGGTGCTGTTTCTCCTCGATGAAAGCCTGCGCGCGCAGCTCGGTGACGTCACAATCATACCACGGTGAAATGGCAGAAATGATGCGCCAGGCTATGGAGCCTCAGTGTTGCTCCAGCCACGAGTCCGTGTGGGTCGTGCGTGTTGTTTACATTCTTCCGCTCGAGTGTGTTGTGGTGCTTCTGCTACCCGAGTGTTATAGACTTACAGTGTTATAAAAATTCTACTTGCGATGGAAACAGTGGTAGAAGAGGACACTTGTTTAGTTACGGAACAGCTGGAAAAACCGTTTTCGAGAAGAAACATTTCAGAGAAAATTGAAATCGTAGGAAAACATAGACCACGTCCATGAATTCCAGGACTTACAAAGAAGCATACAGATAAAAGCAAAGAACATGTTAGGCATTTCAATATCATGCAGTACGAAAGCACGCATTGGTTGACTGGCTCAAATAAGTTAAGCAAACTCTTCTGCTGGCCGTGTTTGCCATTTCAACTGATCACAGGAGAAGGAGAAAGGTAAGAATTTTGTACACTTTTATATACTAAAATGCAATTACGTTGTTTTTTTGTTTTTTTTATATCACGTTTTCAAATACAGTACTTTTCCTTTCCTTTTTTAGGCTATTTTAAATTTAAATGAGAGAATAGGTAGCAGGCTAAGTTAATAATACAATGGCATGCACAGGCATACTTGAAAGCTTTTATTATCATATTATCTCAAAATAGTATTTAATGTTAAACCACCTAGGTACAGCACCTCCTCTAAAAAATAGAGAGCATGCTCAAGATCTTAGGTCAGGATTCGCCACTGGTGTACATTATCTATTATCAATATTTTTAAAAGGTTTGTTGGAAGTAATCATAAAAAAAATCCTTGAACTTCTTTGGCCAAAAAAATGATAATGTACAGTATTTGAAAATAAATACTGAACACAAGTCTCCCCCCAACTGAGCAAAAACAAATTACAGTATTCTACAGTATTAAAATATATTTATTTTCTAAAAAAAAATTGTCTGTAATATAGGAAAATGGCCTATGCTCTATACAGCAGGTCATCAAAATGCAAAAACACACAAAATCTTATAAGAACTGGACATATTATTTCAGACATACGATTTGGTCAGCTTTATGGGAAAATAATGACCACCATAATACTGTACTAATAACACACTACAGTAACAGTACTTGGTGAAACAATAAGTTTTGGTTAAGTAACACATACTGTATTGATTAAAAGAAGTACAGTAATTCTTCTAACAGCTCTTTGGGAAGCCATTTTGTTTCAATATTCATTCACAATCAGTTATCTATTCTCCATACACTCATCACAATTCTTGACTACTTATAAACCTACATCAACTGTATACAACATCACTCAGACTTTCAAAACTTTATCATGAAATTCCTCTCCAAATAATCTACAGTACAGGACTGACACTAGAGGGGGTAAACACACACAGTATCCAACATTCCTTTCTACAAAATTTACCTTATACACAAATATCCAATAACAAATGAACACTTCCCCCACACAAGTAGCTGCTCACCTGAAGCCATCAGCTATGGGCTTGTCTGGTTTATGTTTGCGCGTGGTGACGGCTGAACACGTCTCAACTCTGGTGGGACACTTGTACTTGTTCACGACCTGCTCCACATTCAGAGACTCCACCAGGTCTATTTCATCCAAGGCTCCCTCCACGTCCTGCTTGTTGGCCAGTCTGAAATATACCGTATAATGAATGTCACTGTTAACTGTAGTCACTTTTGTTTGGTTTTTGGCTAATGGTACGAACCTAACCAAACAGCCCCCCTTGCAGCTGACTGGCTCATACATATTTTATTAATATTGATATACAGTAGTATCACAAATTAATCCACAAACTGTAAAATTGTTAGGGATACCGACTTAACAGGCTCATTTTAATGCTAAATTTAATGTCTGTAAAGATATAACTGCTTGAAAACAAAAACTATCAAGAAACGAGTGTTAAAAAGTTTGAAATAAAGAATATTTACCGTCAGTCACAAGCAAATTGACGCTTTCGAGACCACATTCGCCACTACTTCATCTCTTTTCAGTAATTATTATGAGATATAGAGAAGATTAAAAAGAATAACTCACACAAGGACAGGTTTTCCCGATATCTTCTTATCTGCCAGAAGACCAAACAACACATCTCGACATTCTCGTACTCTGACGGCATCACTTGAGTCTACCACAAAAATTATACCGTGTACCTGGGGGGGAAAAATAAATAGTTTACACACTAGAAGTATCAACACTTAACCATTCTAAGCAGAGAAAAGTCTCATACATTTATAAAAAATTAAATAAGACGTCATAAAATGTATATCAACACCCTGTAATATATATAATATGCTTTAGGGGTCCCCTTAAAAACGAAGTGCAGGGTGAGATACTGTATGCATGATAAACCAAGTAAAGAGGCATAATTCCCTACAGTAATATGAGTCAACACTCTCAAAATCTAACTTAGACTGTACAGTACTTTGTACTTAACTATAGTCATAAAAATAATGTTAAAGAATTGTAGAATTATTCTCCTGAAAATAAAAAAATTACAAGTTGCACTGAAAGGGAACACCACAGCAGAATACATCTATTACTGAAATAAGAATGAACCAGTGATAAACAAATGAAGGTGTAAGTTAGTTATTGATTCTGGTCATCCTACTGTAATGGGAAAGTTTATAACACTGAAAAAAACAACAACAATATTACCTCAGAGAAATACTTTGCCCACACTGGCCTAATCTTGTTGCCTCCTCCTAAGTCATAGATGGTGATCTCACAGCCTCTGTACTCTAGGTTCTCCGGGGCAAAACCCACGGTCGGTGCTACGTCCTCTACAGGATCTGAAAAAAGTGAAATTATATGTACTGAAATTAGCTTCATATATTGTTTCTTTCTTATCTGTATGTTTGAGGCTTTTTTTCTGACAATGAATTTGGAGAAATCATATACCTGTTCTGTATATGCACATCTGCTATACACAATGCCAGTGACAGGAACATTTTTCTTACCTCCTACAATACTCTTGGCAGCCGTCGTTTTCCCAGCATTATCTAACCCCACCAGCAGGAGAGTGACGGGCCTATGGTCAGTGACACATATTAGTAAACCAACCATGACACTGTTATTACTGATGGCAACGCTACATCATAACCTTTAGTTCTACATACTGTACTTTCATTTTCTTCAGTGATAAAGATATAGCAAGTTGAGAAGGTAAATGTGTACACGTTAACATACACAACCAAAAGATTATTTAAGTCAAGAAAAAGTTCTTAATGAGTTTACTGATAAATAATACTGTACAGTACAAGTAAGCAAATACAGCATAGATCTATGGAACATGCTAGACATTATTAAGAGTTAGCTGAGCTGAGTCATGCATACTGATGACTATATTTAGTAATACATGTACTGTACTGACTGACTATGCATATACAATCTGTAGTAGGACTGATGCCTTAATACTGAGACAGTACAGTACCCTATAAATGGTTAAGGATCCTTCTCAGAATATTAAGGGACAAAAGGTATATAAATGGTTTAGTTAACTACTGTAGAAGCAGCCAATGTTTTGCATGCAGAGAATTTTATCTAAAGGCAGGAGATGAAAAAAAAAAAAACATAAAATTTCATACAATTTCGAAGTCTTAATAAATGGAAATACTTTAAGGCAATGTGTGAGATGTATTTCATCTATCTGACAAAGTAAAGTAATTGTTAACACTCAGAGGGAACATTTTCAAAACACTCAAAAGTATAGCACAGGCACAGGTATATAAAAGTGGGAAGCACCAAGTGTCCATATTGGAATCATTTACCCAAAATTATTAAATTAATGATGGAAGGTGGGTTGAGGTGCAGATGAACATGAGGTAGGTACTGTACCCATAGTGCTGAGTCGGCATCACAACCATCCTCTTTGACACACAGAAAAAGACAATTGATCATCCATTGCTATGTATTGTAGGTGCACAAGAATCCATCATTGAAATTATAGAAGAATTAGATCATTTTGAGATTACCTCACCAGCTTATTTCAGTTGAGAATTAAACACCCTAAGGTTACCTGGGGAGGGGGTTAGGTTAGACTAAGTTATTTTATGTTAGCATTAGGGTGGTTAACCTAAATGTGAAATAAGCTGAGGAGCTAATCTTCAGGTGATCAGAAGAACTATATGCATCTGTTAAACTGTGAAAGAATCCAGACATACGTACAGGCTCCTACATCTCAAAACAGAACCTAATTATCTTCTACTTACCAACAGAAACAATTCTACGGAGTACTATGGTAAATAACATAACAATGAGCCAAGTATCTGCCATGTATGAAAAGACAAAGTAAGAGGATGCTGCAACATCACTCAAATTAAACTGTATGAAAACAGTGAACAGTATGAAAAAGAAAACTTGGTTCACCTTCATTCATATATACATGGCAGGAAATCTTAAACATTCACTCAGTGTTCAGGCTCATGATGCATAATTCTGTTATTAAAAGTGTGATAACCAAGAACTGCACACCTGACCGAACATCAAGAAATACTGTACTGCTCAAAGACCCTGAAGTCAGGCATCCAAGAATACAACATGTCAAGCCTCAATGCCAATGTAAGTAGCAAAAGTAAGTGTCATAAATATTGTACTGTACAGTATAGTACAGTACTTACTGTCAAGCAAGTTAATCTGGCATTAAAGTGGCAAGGGACCTCGATTTAGAGACTTCTCTGCAGGTCACATTGTGTAGCATGGGTTTGCCAAGCATGCGCAGCTCTATTAACAAATTAATAAAAATGCATAGGTGTTGGTAGTCAGGATAGGAGAGCATCCCAGTCAAGCATGACAAGTCAGCAGATCATTTGACCTGGTTTCCAGCACCCCAACAAAATCCTTGATGAAAAATTGATCATATCGGGCAAAATAAAAATGGTAATGTTGAGATGGTCTGAGCAGGTCAAGTGAAGTCAACATGACACCTGTTTCCTATGGTGGGACAAGTCGTGTATGACAGAGGCTGGTTATTGGTCACAGATCACCAATGATCTAAAAGTTTAGGTACATCTCCATCAAATTCATCAGCTCAAAGTTAGCTAACCATTTGACCAAATACTAAAGAAGGATGCACTTAGGACAAACCTGTGATTTTACCACCTTGTTTTATTAATATGTTCTGCACAATGCAGCACCTTGTCTCACAGTGAACACAAGATGAACCCTGGACTTGTTAAGGTGGACTTGTGGGACTGATGACAATTCAGTGGGACACCTGAAGAGTTTACCCTTGGGGCCCCAGACTGTCCATGTATTTGTGTACAGAATAAGTTGTACTGTACACACTACTGTTCACTGGACATTTCAGATGGTTGGCAAGCAAAAGACCAAACAAAACACTACAAACATTTACTAAAGGAATCTTTCTACTGGTACATTACATCTATGTCACTACTGCACTAATGAAGGTTACCTTGCTAAGTGCTGTACAGTATATACAAATTGGGAGTGATAAAGGAGGAGAATAAAAGTGTAGAGGGACAATAAAAATAAAGAAATACTTAGACATGACATCAGAGGAAGAGATTATAGTCCAACAATGTGTGAGAGAAGAGGAAATATAAAGACAACAATGACAAACAGTGCAAAGAAATTCAACATTTAACAGCCTGATAAAGGACTTGTCCCACACTCGTGTTTCCACAGGCAACTAAAACAAACTGTTCTAATAACTACAAGAATGTAATAATGATCTTAAAATATTAAAGAGATAACAGCAACAAAATTATTAGTAAACCAGTACCATGACCTCCTTACATTGTATTCCTTAACATTAACTCTAGCTATGGGATGAAACTAATATACTGTACGTAAGTTGACAATTCACCACGGAAATCATTCTTGGCTAATAATGATGGGGGATCCTATACTGTAGAGTACATGTAAAACCTTAGATGTACTTTAGTAATTTACAGATAAGATGTACATTATTAGAACCATTAAAATATAGAAGAAAGAGGAGAAGTATTAAAGGTAGGAGAGTAAGCAGCAGGTGGTGACACAAGCACCTGGGGTCCTGTTGTTTATAGGTGTCGTATTACCACCAGTTAGGAGGAAGTGCTCATTGTGAACTTGACAATACCAACAAATTCTTAAAACTGTGATACAAGCATTTAATTTCACATTTACATTCCTTAGACATCATAGCTTTGCATAAAGGTGTTATCCATGCAAATTTGGTTCACTTCTAGATGTCTGGCATGTATTTAAAGGAAGTTGTTTATGTGATCATAAACACCCCAAACTGTGATACAAACCTGAAGTTTGACAAAAATGTCCATTAAATACTTCCATAATAGAAAACATGTCTAAACACAATTACTGGGGAGAAATTATACTGGGACCATTTGTAACCTTAAATGATGAGCAATACTGTATGGTCAACTGTCTAAATCACACTTGTTCATTATTACTGTGTATGAGAGGCTGTCAAAACTGTGCACGGAACATAACCAATACTGTACCATATAAGTTTAGTGAGACTGTAAAAATGGTGTTATATTTTTACACACCATTAGAATGTCGACACTATCACTGTATTAATGCCCTCTTTAAACTACGTATGTACTGTACTACATAACTCTGATAATGGAGCAGCACCAGCCTGAGCCCGTTACTGTAGCTCCAGTACACAAGGCTCACCATCCTGCAGCTTCTCTCTTACTATTCACTTCCTTTTGTTATTTATTACTATTAATTTTCTTACTAGATATATACATTAAGTACTGTACAGAGAAATTACAAATATTTTTAGAAACCAACAGTACAGCTCACAGAATTTTGAGATTGCCTAGCAAAAAAAATTGGGAAAACAACTTTTTGAATAATCTCTTTAAAATGTCAGCAATTATAAAGTGGGTTGTCAAACTATTTTTGAGTGTTAAAACTTATTCTGTTACCAAGAAACTGCACAAAATATTCTTACAACTGCTGACTATTTAAGTGCAAATACTGTATACAAATACAGTACAGTATGTATTCATCACATGGTGGCACTTATAGCGTCACTTCAATTCAGATTCAAACCATCATTTTCTAAATACTGTATTAGTTTATTGTGTAGTTTTGTTCTTCAGATGTATGAATTGCAGAAATTTTAAGCATATTATGGCAACATTCACATCTTATATGAACAACTTTGAAAATGTGTATCACAGAACTGTACCAAGACACAGATGTCTGAGGAACATTTGTACCAAACCTCATGCTTGTATCACCCAGGGAATGACTGACCCAACAGCTGCCACTTACTGAGCTCCTCTACTGTATTGCTTACCCACATCTTATGTGATGTATTTATTTAACCATTTCTATTTTACTAATACCTGAAACTGCAGGTACAGTACATTACTCTGATGAATTTAAAAAATGTTTATCCAGTACACTTTATACATACTGTATCAACATTGTTATATATAAAGTTATTAGCACATGCATTCTATATGAGCATGACTGCCATGCATTTTTGCATATTGGCCTTGTGATCCTCATGGTATAAGGCACTTGGGACCATGGGAACACTTGTACCATGAGAATCCTTACTGATGTCTACAGCTCAACACTAAACTAATCAGTCCAACTCGAGCCTCAGGCCATGCCTCGCCACCACCAACTAACCCATGATTGTATCCCATTTCCTCGTAGGTACTGCAGGTACCAGTGGTGGTAAGTTGATAAAAACCAATCAGTCACATGATATAGCAACAAACATTTATTTTATATCTAGTCTTTCTTACCATACTATACAACTTTGCATTTCTTAATTAAAAACAATACTGTACCCTAAACTATCAACTATAGAGAAAATGATCTTGAACACTCTTAAATAATGTACAAGGTACTTGTACAACACATTAATGTGTTTAACCGTCATTAAAGTTAATACCTACAAAACTTTTCTAATGATATATACTGTACACTTTTCAAAGGGCAAAATAATATCTTCTTAATTTCTTATGACATACAGTATACATTAGTTCAGTATCATCTATTATTTTAAGTACACTGTATAACTCTATTACTGTACTGCTCTTCTCCTTATCATTTCCCTCTTCCTCATATATACAAGATAAGAAAACTAAATAAATCACCTAAAATTATCAAGTTATATACCCCAGACTAACCCAAGGAATGATGTCTTAAGCTAACACACACCTGTTACCTTTTTCAATAAGAGAACATAATCATACCATAACTGCTACACACTTCTGCAACACACTGTACTTAAATCTTAAAACATTACATTAAATCTCTGATCATTTTACAGGTTCCACTTATAGTCTAATTCTCTTTTATCTATTACGCATATCGTACACTATCATATTCTGCTACATTAATATTGTTTTCTTTATTTTTATGTATTTATTAAAATCAAAATGTGTCTGTAAAAATTTTGCAATTTATTTATTTTTTATTTTTTTTAACACTTAATTTGTGAACTTAATTTTCTGGAGCAACTAGCATACAATTATATGATGTACTTCTTAAAAGTGTCCAGCTTAGGAAGGTTCAACCTGTACTAAGTAGCTACACACACTGAAGACTTTACTACTTTCCTAATAAAAAACTTTATATATTTTTCCACCAACACTGCTTAAGTTTAATCATCGCTAACTTGGAAACTATATTTAAAATAACCATGGAATAATAATAGTGAAGATGATGACCAACACACACACGTGAACAGTGAGATTAAACCATTTATAATGACGTGAACCAAGCTAACTTACACTGAGGGAACAAGAACAGTGACAAGTTCGTTTGTTTCGCGTTATCTTTCATAAATGATTTAATGCCACAATTTCAAGGTCTACACCACTTCATACGCATATTTAACATAAGTTCAAATTCACTCTCATCTAATATCCCATGTTTCTGTTTTTAGTAATTAAATAAAAAAGGGTAAATATATACATATGAATCCATGAACATTAAAAATACAACTATAATACTCGTACATATAATTCTTCCCTATTGAGATGTGATCACTCGTAAATATGGTTTGGTTAGCAAGTGATCGCCATAATCAGTAATCTAGAATGAGCCTCGACCAATCAAATTACCAGAACAAATTAAGTGATTAAAGACCAATAACTACTCAACCAACCACTGAATGACTGCCTTGACACCTGACACACACACGTTCGTCTCTGGAAGATTAGATTTTTACCTTTTCTCCTTCTTCAGGCCGAGAAGTAAGAGACAGTTGCCCATTTTTGAGAAGGAAGAAGACACTACTAAGCTGTCCCTTCACATTTCCTCTCTCTCTGTAACTAGTGATGTAGTGTGAGAGGTGAACACCCCAGCCTCGCCGCCTCCTCCATTATGCTCTGCCACCCACCTTACCACTCTTGTTATTAAGGTCTTGTCTTCTCTCTTGCTTTGTCTCTTGTTCTCGTGTCGTTGGTGGGCGGGTTAAGGGTTGTTTGATGGTTGTTAACAGCAGTAGCACACAGCGTCGACTGCTGCCTCGACCTGGAATGTTTTGTTTACTTCACAACCTCTCAACAATACACTCAGTCAGATCTTTTCCTCATAATCATAAATGAACCTAAATAATCGCAGAATAGTTAATTGTTATTGTTTATATTAATAAATTCCTCAATATTCCCTTTGATATAATGTATTAGGAGGATATATAGGCACTGTAAGGGGTACGAGCCTAACTACTTTTGACAAATATCCTTTGACTTATTTTCCTTAATATTTGTAATTAAGTTAGTTTAATAATATATAAAGCAATATATATTTAAATTGCAAAACTTAACTGGATAAAATTTTACCAACAGGTCGAGCCAAGAATAATAAGGTTCTGGTTGATGTTTTCCTGTGGCAGTAAGAACAGAAGCTATTGCTGGTGTCCTACTGCAAATGCCGTTATAATTACAGAACAAACAGTACTGTACACCAATAGATGAAATACCTCTGCTGTGTTTGGGTGGAGTGATGTCTCAGGAAAATTATTAAATAAACATTATACTATACAGTAGTTTAAATGGTATTTAACCACCGCTTATTTCACCTTACCACTAATCCCCATGTAGTGTTATTGATCTTAATTAGGGGGGTTAATCTTCAGGTGATCCATGGTATCTGTTAATCTTTACTTACCGTTTCTTATTTTCATTCATTAATAACTGCAACACTATTGTAGTTTAGTTTCACTGAGTTTATATAGTGTGTTAATAAAGGACTTGTGGTTGACAATATTTCTGTAATATATCTCCAAAAGAATTACAGTTCGACTTACAGCCCTGTATTAGTTATGTTACAGTACAGGAGTCATGTTACAGTAATCCAGTTTGCAAGTTCAAGCAAAAGTGGAGTTAGTCTCCTCATAACTACTTAACTGTACTACTGATCCTTACCTATGATTTAGTCGACTTGAAGTGTCTAGTTAGGGTTTCCAGGTACAGTGTTTACGGTGTTGAAAGGCAATTGCTAGTTTTTCCTGAACTTTTTAAGCTCCAAAACTGTCTTTACCTCTTATTGTACAATACTAGAGCTGCCCGGTGAATCTTTAACAGGTTCTGAGGAGGTTAAAATAATACATAACAGACTGAGAAATATCCAATTTATATACAACTTTTACACTTCTTAAAATAATACTTACAAAATATATACAAATACTAAAACATACATACACATAAATACAAAAGTACAGTATATACAAATTAATAACTCCTGTGTCTTTTAAGAATGGTAAAAACAAAGCTTAAATAATAATGAACAGTGGTGTTGTGTTGAGAAGGTACACTGTCATCTACACTGCAGGATGGCACATTGATCTTTATTATTTTCTTCGTTTCCAGGAGCCATTCAGTAAAAACCGTCATAATCTAAACACTAAATATCACATAATACTGAGAGACAATGTGTACGTTATGGAGTATTGAGTGAACAGCCGTGGACCACAGAGACCTCTACTGGCCCACCAATGATGACCCACAGGCTTCCTTCCCCCGACAAGGCCACTACTGCATGTGGGGACCAGTAAGTAAACAAGGTAAACTGATACTGTGTTATAAAATAGTTTACACCATACAGAACATTTAATAACTTTACTGTGTATGTATAGATGAGCCCAAACCTACCGGGGATTTTAAGTTTCATGTACTGGGCTCGACCTTCCTCCAGGAGTACTTGTACAGTATTCTTGGAAATCAAAATACTTTTTTCATAAATATGTAACTTTGTTATGAAGGAAAATTAAAGGTTTTTAGCTACTAATAAATTAATCTTAACAGTTTGTAAATCAATCCTTAATAAAGTGTACTGTATACTGTACCTGTAATATGAATGTGTCTCTTGTAGTAATGACTCCTCTAAACACTACAAACTACATCATACTTGTGGAAAAATTACAAAGCCTATTGTATATAAAAGGTGTGCAACACCCACGTGTTTACAGCTATAACCTCCGACTAGCAGAGTACAGTAGAGGGCTGATGAGGTATAGTTGAGAGGACGGGACACTACATGTGAAATCATTTTCTGAATAAAAGCAAATATGAGCTTTAATTATCAGAGTTATAGTGCAGTTATTATAAAAAGCAATACTTCAGTGATATTTTTTTCTACATTATCTTCATTAGAAGTTACCCAATTAACAGTATTTATATTAGAGTACTTGCCATTCTATAAGTAAATTGCAACCTTAAAAAAAAGGCGTAGTAATCACGAGTAAGTCTCTTGATATTAAAGAGAAATAATAATACGGTGTGGTGTTGTAAGTACTGTAACCTCCATTTACTACATACTGTTTACAAGGTAAGAACACCAGATGCATTAGTGGAGCAGATGAGAACATACACATCATCCAGTGTTAAGGTCAATGTGTGTAGCCGAGAGATACATTAAATTATTTCTTCATGCAGAAATAAAGTGTCAATCAAGTTTTAAAATAATATCAATTGCATTCTGTAGGAGACCATACTGGCAGCAAATAAGGTGACTGATCAGCCTCTACCTGATGGATCCACTCATACACATTCTTTCACTTCCCAGGGGACTGTTCCCAGAAAATAATTATGAAGTTTAAGAGAATTGAGAAGGAATCTAGATACAGTATTTAAAATTACAATTGGAACCAAGTAAATATTGATCATGCATCATTACAAGTTAAGGATATATTATAGTCTTCAAGTAAAAGATAAGGCTAGGATTGTACTGGCTGGGTGCACGTCAGCACTACAATTTTCTTAACTAGACTGTCAACAACTCACAGAGCTTTGAATAATGAAAGTCTAAGAGAAAAAAATTTATGATACCTAATTTTTTATCCTTTTTTTATCAGGTTTACTTGTGGATAACTCAAGATACATTACACTTAAATAACACACATAACAAAAAAACAATACAGTAAAACCTCAACTTAACGGACTATACCGAGAAGAAAATCCGTTATATCGAGGGTCCGATAGATTTGAAACTCCTCACCTAACGGATTATATAGAGATTAGTCCGTTATATGGAGGTTATACTGTATTTCATCAATGGCCATATTAAAAAAAATATATATATTAATAATAATAATAAAAAATAGAAATAAGACCCCATGAGAAATAATCAAGGAAAAAATTAATTCAAATGCTGTGGAAGAACATACTGTATATACTGCATACCCCTGGATGATGAATCTTAAACCCATTCCTTGAAGACTTCCATTACATATCTAGAAGTTACTTCATATGTAATTATTATAACCCAAACAGGATGGCCTGCACTCACTCTCTTCTGCAACACACCCTATCTTTATACAGTACAGATCTAAAACACATTACAGCACCAAACTTCCCTCTTCCCCAGCCTCCTCGTCTACTCCAAGTTATGTATAATTTATTTTGTTTTCTATTTTACACACTCTATCCCCCCTTTCCTACATTCCCCCTTTATCTCTCTCTCAAACACAATCTTATTCTATTCTCCACTATCCATCCTCTCTAGCCGTCCTAACTACTATCCATTGCAATAACCTTTCATCATTTTGCGCTACCTTTCCTTTGCTTCAGTGGACACTCTCTGTCTCCTGCTCACATCATTCAGGCAAATATTTTAAGCGTTGGAGCTGGACCTTCAATACAGTATTTGAGTAGAGTGTCCGCTCCTGTACTAAAATAACTAGGAAGGATTCTGTCCACGGCATGAGTGCACAACCTGGCATACAAGATACCCACATACAGGAAGAGCTATGTCATAAACTATCCTCGTACGTATCTTAATCCGACGCACACCTAGAAGAGTTGCATCCTTAAACATGAAAGAAGCGTAAAGTATGTTAGAACTAAGTAGAATATGAATTTCTCAGCAGACCTACATTGCAGAATATTGGGAGGACACAGGTAAACCAAGAAGCCACATAACTGATACGAAGATGTATGTAAAGATTAATATGGCTGTTTATACTTCAATAGCAGCAGAGGGAAAGTAGTGTACTGTATCAACAAATGAAGAATAGGGTGTTTTGAGGATCCTGAAAATAAGTTAATAATCCCACATATTAATAAAAAGGAGTAATAACATATATATACAAAATCATTAACAAATAAAAATTAACAAGGGTAAAGAATGAGCAAGTAAAAATGTAGCAACAAGTACACTGGCACCCAAATTATTTTATACCTCAACTGTCTGTAACACACTGATGGTTCTCAGTGGATAAATGACATACTGTACTACATTAAGTGAAATAGTAACTGACCTAATTAAGTATTATCCCCACTCTGATGTCCTTAGAAAGTCATGCTTGCTAAAGTGAGTCACATCTCTACATCAAAGAATTCAACTGCAAATTGTTTACAATTATTAATACCTGTACAGTATAAATAATAATTCTTTTCAGGTAAAACCAGTTTAAATTTTTTAAATTCTTGGCAAAAATGGTTACCATAACATGTTAAATTACTAAGGAAAGTTGCAAGTGAGGGAACCATTAATAATAATAACAATAATAAAAATAGACTTCCTTTCAATTCCTGTGGTAACAAAGAATATCATATACCATTACAAAATGTTGAGTTTGTTTGTCTCATCAGGCACAAAACTAACAAGTCACCCTTTGCCCAGAACACCAACCTTAATGAGAAAAAAGACATATACAAGATGCTCCTTACCCTTCAGACACAACAGGTGACCTTGCTTAAGTACAGTACCCACATAACCTTTTGCTGCAAATATAGACCATCCCTTGTCACTAACCAGAACACACACACACACAGACACTCTCTCATTCATCCACTAATAAATGGCTTTAATACATCCCTTCCCCCTACCATCATCCCCTCCACACCTCAGAGAAGGGACACGGCTACAAAAGAGGTATCCTATTGAAACATGCCTGTCTAGCAAGATCCTTTGTCCTTACCTACTCAAACTTTTCCCACAAATAATCCTGCAATCTCTCTCTCCCATCCCAGCAGTTGGTTTCCTTCCCACAAATTTAGCTCATCTTCCCCCTTATTCGTGTACACTCTTGTTTCATAGCAATAATTCATCATCATCTCCACGTGTACAAACAACCTCAGTGTGTTTCTCCTAATAAACAGTATTGGATTAACATTCTAGGTAGTGTACAGAATTATAAATACAGTATACCATTGATATTGAACTTTTATGAAGCAGAAGTAAGTGTGTGTGTGTGTGTGTGTGTGTGTGTGTTTTACTACCTGTCTTTGACATTCACTACTTCAAAAACCAGTTTGTTAAAACATTTTAAGCTTTGCAATAAAGAAAAAACCCAACAATGTTGATATACAAGTAAAACATTGATGAACTAAGTTTTTAAATTAATCAATCTGTTTGCAAGAAATTTTCTCTAGTTTTAAACTTTGCATAACATACTGTAAAGCAGAGTTAATGCAAAGTATTCCACTGGATAAAATCCACAAAAGAATTTTTCAAAACACTCACAAAAGAAATGTACTTTTTACTCCATATTTTAGTTGGTAAACCTTTCAGCAAAACTGTTGTAATATTAGAGAGTTATTTGAGTCTAACTCTTGCAGGAGGAGTCCAGCAAGTTGTGGGGTGTGATGGCTGGACCTGAACACATGCAACAATAGCTGAACATGAACACAACTTCTCCACTACCTCAACATGACACAGTACAGTACAGTACTCCCAATATACTGGACACTTTTCATCTATAACTGTGATCACATGAACCAAATTTGTTCATTAATAAAAACAAACTCTTGCATAACAATTTCATACATACTACAGTAAATAAGAAAATAAATACACAAAACAATGAATAAACTTAGGAAAAAATCATATTAACTGTAACAAAGCGTGTTAACACAGATGCAGCTGAACTTACTTGATACAACAGTGACCTTATAAATATGTACAACTGTGAGTGTTTAGTTTGTACAAATTTCATGAAAAATCATCATCACAATAAAATAAGTCCATTCATAAATAGTCCCTATACTATATCATTTACACGATGCTCTCTGGAGTACATATAATCCTTCTCATGTCCCTTATTTGTTACTGAAGATACTGAACCTTTTTATGTGTATAGGATTACAGGTTACCCGTTATATGGGCCTACAACAGAAAACCTGAAGATGGTGTCATATCTGCTGTGAAATGCAACATAAGAACAACATAAGAATGGGGGAAACTGCAGCGGGCCTATTGGCCCATACTGGGCAGTCCCATTTACACCCAACCCCTATTGCTCATATATCCACCCAACCCCTATTGCTCATATATCCACCCAACCTATGTTTGAAGCTATCCAGCGTATTCGAGTTCATGATGATATTTGGTAACTTGTTCCACTCATCCACTACTCTATTTCCAAACCAATGTTTACCTATTTCGCGCCGAAATCTAAATTTGTCTAATTTAAAACCACTGTTACGAGTTCCCTCCTGGTTGGATAAATTGGGTAAAAATACATACAGTATCACAGACATCTATCCAAATCATCCGACCTCTAATGTAATTAATAATTCCATGATAAATAAGATAAACAAAACTGAAATGTAAAAAAATAAAAAAATAAGGTACACTACAGTTTAAACAACCATTAATATTCTACCATCAAATAAGCCCAGACCGATGTGTCATGTCACAGGGGCAGGTTATAAGGTGAAGCCACTGCCGTACATAACACCACACTACTGTATATAATCTTAATAAATTAAAGTCAGGCATAACAAAATAAGGAATTCTTATAAAGTACTCGTCTATATGGAATAATATGGGCTCATTATTTTTTCTATATTAACATTATTGTGCAGCAGGATCTTAAGTGTAACCATCCTACCACACACAACAGACAAGACAGGTCTTCTCTCATAACCGACTTGTAGTAGAGCGTAGTCTTGGTCCGCTGACACACGAGGCACTAAGGAATTTCAGGTAAACTCTGAAAATCCATCATAAAAATAAAACAATATCTCTATGGCTTGACTAGCAACAATATCTTTAAGCACACACAAATATAGTGTATTAAACAACAAGAATTCCTCCATACTTGAGCACTTCACTTGCACACACGCACACTTCATAAGTGGGATGACGAGTCTTGGTTTATACAGTACATGCATTTTCAATAACTATTTCCCTTCACTATAATATAATTTCTGTCTATAACTTACTCAGTTTGTGGTATTCCTTCACATCCATGTGTTATCACAGAAGGCACCATTTTCAGTTATGGGCATAACAGGCACCAGCAGTACCACACACCTCTACAACCATGACACTGCTCAGCCTCAGCTATAGACAGTACATTCAGTGAACAGTTAAGAATCTTTCACTGTACTTCTCACTTCTAAAATTATACACTTTTGACACTATTGTCAATATCAGTACAGTATATTCCTTAAAAATGGCAGTTAAAATTTCTAATTATTTTTTAAAATAAATAAATAATTGATAACACTAAAAACTGATACCTTGGGATTTTGCCAGTTTGGCAAAATCCCAAGATATCAGCAGCTAAAATATAATACAGTATATCAGTAATTCCATAAAGCTAAGCTACAAATTCCTGGTGCCACCTTGACAAAGCATTTTTAAACAGTATATGGTTTGGAATGATGAAGATATGTAACATAACAATGGGAATGTATGGAACAAAACATTCAATTGTTTTGTGAAAGAAATGAAACACAACTGACACATGCACACAATATAACACATCTGTATCACTATCTTCTGGACAATGTTTAATATCTGTTTTCTGGATTCTTCAAGTCACTACTGATGAAATATATCTTATGATCAACTGAAACTAGAGTACTGTATAAGTCTATATATGCTACTACTATCTCGAGCAAATTATCAATATGCTACTGTAAACGAGCCTACATGTGCATATATTGTTTTTAAGTGATGGTAAGCAATACTTTACCCGGTGGATAACTTGTATGGTTAACAGATTTTCTAATAAACAGAAGATTTTTCAAATAAACTTCTTTAATTTCTAATCATCTATCTTCCTATCTATTAACTGTACAGTACTCTATTACCAAGTTCATGTGGTAGATATAATGGACTACACCTCATTAGACCAAGTAAATGATATCTACACTTGAAGGTGTATCAGTTGCCACGTGTAGTGATGACAACACTAACACCCCAACCACCAGCTGCCTCTCAAGTAGATCACATGTTTCATACAAGTATCTTCTTGTTGCTTTACTCACAGTTGTTACCTTGACCTGTATATAACGATTCTATTTTGTTTTTGCATTACAGAAGTTAACTGTCAACACAAGGTTTCTGGTAGATCACCCGGCAACAGTCTTCACGGGCTAATGGGAATGATTCATTATCAAAATATATAAAACGTTATGAACCACTAAAAGATTTCCAGGAAAAATCACAAAGAACTGGAAAATTCTCATGCAATTTGTGGACTTTCTATATGAAGTGGCCAGATTTTTATCAATGAGAGTGAGAATTATAAATTGGACTACGTCACCTAGGGTCAGAGTAACCCTGGGTAATACATGAGTGTTTGGATGGCCTGACACACAACAACAGAGAGGAGGAGTGACTGGAGGGCAGACAGATGACACCCTCGACACACTAGTTGATCTCTGTAATACTCAGCAGAGGACGGTGGTTCTGTGCCTCTCTTGCATACCATATCACTTTGCTGTAAAAAAAAAATAAATAAAAAATCTTAGGCTGTGAGGCTCACTGTATCTGTTTTTCAATTACGGTACTGAGAATGGAATGAAAGTTAATAAATAAACAAAGAAATAATCTATACAGGAATTTATTACCAGTGAAATGACAATGTAACTAAAAAACTCTCATACATATACTTCACTGTATCTTATTTCATCAAGTCTTGACTGAATAATCTATACATATACAGTACAGTGTACATTACACTAAACCTATTAGGTGCATATTTGTTTTATCATTCCATTACTCCCCAAAACCTCTTAAGGAACAACTGTGTCAACCAAGAACTGAACCAACAGGGGAGGAAGTGTAGGTGTTGTAACAAGCAAAACTATTAGGTCATTTTACCTTACAGATCTCCTCACACGATGGACACACGATGGCCCCCTCGTGTAGCCAATCATTTTGGAAGATAGAAATGTTTATCACCTGAAAATGATCCAAAAAACATTTATTAGTCACTACTGCTGTTACCTTGAGAGTTTAAACAAAAGCATTGCAAGACCCTGATATGTTCCTTCATACATGTACCGACTACGAACTTCTCATCAGTTAATGAAGTTCAGTTTGTTATCCTGTTAACATGCTATGTATTCAGTAAGTATAAGTGATAACTATGCTGCCTGACAGATGTTTAATTGGACTATCCTGCATAGTTAGTCGAGTGTTTCTATCAACATCACTACCAGTAGGTGTGGTAGAACAAGTTAATAATCACTTGCCTGAGATGCTTGGAGCATGAGACGTACCCCAAATACTACATGTACTTCAGGATACTTTTACAAAGTTTCTCTATTTTGTACAAACATTTTAAATAATATAAATCATATACAGTATTGTATATATACTGTACATCACATCTAATCCTGAACACTCAATTTAAGTTCCTGTAAGTGAAATACAATAACTCTTTGCTCCTCAAGTTTGGCAGAAACAGACAAAATTTACAAATTTTTTTTTTTTTACGGGGAAAAGCCCACCCGGGCACAGGTCATTGACCCACATCGGGGCCTGGGGGGGGGGGGATAAGAATAAAAATAAATTATAAATAGAGAAGGAAAAGGTTATATTAATCAACACCAATAAGATGCCAGAAAACCAGCATTTTAAAGGGAGACATTGTAGGAGTGTGGAAACACAGAAGAAGGCAGAGCATTCCACAGTTTGGCTGTGTGAGGAAAGAAGGGTGTACTATAATGGGTTATTCTAGTGTGACCGACATCCACAGAGAAATGGTGGGCACTGCGGGCAAGACGTGTGTTACGAGCCCACGACCTTGCCGGCGGTACACAGGATACCAAATCCACCGAACATTGCCCATTAAAGTACCTGTAAAAAAGAGAGATAACAACACTGTGGCAAAGAGAAAGGGAAGAATGATTGTCAACTAGAGGAGGAGAGTTTTTAAGACGAAATCCCTTTGATTATACCCTAACTAACAGTTGGACAGAAGAAGAGCCACCCCAGATATGAGAGCAGTACTTCAAGTTAGGACGAATGAATCCCTTATATACTTGAAGCAACTGCTCAGAAGTGAATTAGCTATGGCATTTGTGCAGCATTCCTAGCTTTCGGGAGGCAGCTTTAGTAATGTTGAGGATGTGTGGCTTCCATGACATATTAGAGGAAATGGTGAGGCCTAGCATATCTATTTTAAAATTTGGCAGAATTATAGCATCCTGAAATGTGATTGGTGGGAGATCACTGTGTGCAGTGTTAATATTCTGCATGGTTTTCTAAAGGGATTGGCATAAACTTACCTGATTAGCATGATAGCAAGTATATGTATGATTTGCAACAATAATGTGCAATCTACCGTCAACACACATATACTGGTAACAGCCCGAACCCCAGTGTTGCCACTGTCGAAGATGATAGCAAGTACGCTCGGTCCAAATTCGCTGCTGGTTAAAACATTTGCTATCTTCTGTGTATGACTCCAGTGCAAAGTTCTTTTCTGAATCTGCATGATGAGATACCGAAATTTTAGCACGGGATAAACTTGTAGTAAATATCTATGAATGCCACAGCTGTATAAGTACAGTAGTTCTAAATAAGAATAAAAATCTAAGCTATCATGGATCTACACTGGCAATTCTTCCTACAGGGACAACCTTCATACAGTTGTTGGAATCATGGAGGCTGCCACATCATCACAAGTCACTGTAATCATCATCAACGTTTTAAGGTCACTTTTTCACACTTGGTTGGGTTAGCTGTGACTACCTGATAGCAACTGTTGGGTAACATAAATACTAGCACCCACACCTGGATTATTCTCCTCGTACTGGCAGTGAGAACCACGGATGATGATGTCCTGATTCTTCCACGTAAACTCCTGAATGTAGGGGCAGTAGTCGGCCAGAGCTACAGACCCCCCGTAGTGGCCGACCCTGTGTGACGACACGTGGGGAATGACCCCAAAGTTCTGCAAAAGTACAACATACGTTAAGTCTTTAACAGGTAAATCTTCTGTCGAGATTATTTATTAAGTTTCATTTAATATTTTTTCTTTTCATTCTTATAACACTATAGAGAGTGAGGAGAGTAGAGAATGAGTGTGTCAGATCGAGAGTACAAAAATAGTTAAGGATAAGGACAAGTAAACTGGACATCAAAGATAGATGCAGCTGTCTCTCACAACTCACCTGGTAATGTAAGGGCAGCTGATTTTTATGTTCTATCAAGTTACAGAGAGCAACTGAGCTTCGGTCTTCCGTACAGTCAGTTTCTAGCGGATCTCTCTTGACCTTGTTGCAGAATGGATGAATACTTTTACCCCTGTTGAAAAAAGAGAAGAATATTACCCATAATTTCACAAATATTATTCACTGTAGCTTTTAAGTACAGTAAATCCTCGGTTTAATGGGCATACATATAACAGAACCCAGTTACTGTATAAAGGACACACTAAACCTATCGGACAAATCCTCAAGAGTCTGCCATAAGTTTGTAGTACTGTAATAAAAACTAAAATATACAACTGAAATTTTACTCTTACTTGTAGATGCTGTAATTCAGAAAACTTTATCCCAGAGCTGTTTCAAATGGCCAGTGCTCGAGTGTTGAGGCTGTATGAGTATGTACACTTGTACATACAATACACATTTGTACATCTTCACAGTACAGTACTGTACACTCACTGTTACATTAACATATTACACTTATGTATACAGAACACTTAAACTGTCTGTGTGAAGGGATAACTAAAGCAGACAATGGAGAGATATAAAAACCAACCAGAAAAAAAAGTAAAATAAAATATTGTCTCACTTTTTAGACTGTTCTTCCATATATTCCTTACAACTTTTCATGGCAAAGGTACAACCCAGGTGATGCCCCCACTTGAGAGGCTGAGCAAGGTGGTAGTTGGCTCGGTACCATCCCGTGTCTTCCATTAGTGCCAGCGTGATCCTCGAGTAAGCTGGGTTTTGTGTGTGTGTGCCAGTCATGGCTTCATTCTGAAAATGGGAAGAATTACACTAAACTACAAAAAAAGTTACACAAATACAAAAAAAACACTTAAAAGAATTATAAATATATGTACAGTTGCCTGACACTTATCCCTGGTACAGTGGCTGGTGCATTTTGTGAGATGTGGCGCCTCTGTGTTTGTTTACATCATATTAAAACTCCCAGAACGGCCCCAAGGAACCTCACAATGGTAGCCACTAGTGTACTTACTTCAAAGACTCGCTTCTCCCAGTGAGTGAGAGCAGTGCCTTCGTGACCCTGGTCCTCCAGCTCGGCGCCTTCTAGGTCAGGACAGTTGAAATGATTCCGCACCTGTTGCAAAGTTGGAGGTACCGTAAGTTCAGTAAACCCCAAGAAAATAATAGAATATAAAGAATATCCAAGAAATACTCTATCTGACATGTTAGTATTTAAAAAGCTATTACTGTACAGGGGTACTTACATTCTATATGTACTATACATACAGTTGCTCACATCTCAAAACAATATACTGTACATGTATTCTACACTTCAAATATTCCTAATAAGAGTTCACAAACATTAACTCTGCATAAGTCAAACATTAACCTCCATAAACCTGTACAATTTGTAACAATTATGTGACTTGTATATTATTTGCCAATCAAGTGACCTATTCCCCAATTATGTAACTGAATATTTTCAGCCTTCTGGCTGCCATGCCCTTTCAATAAATCGTTAATTATTATTATTTCATTATTAAGATACAGTATATACAGAAACACCAAAAGTTCACTACCTCTTCCCTCACTCTTGGCGTCACAACCATATTAACTTCTTTTAACGTAACTCCACCTCTAACTGCCCACTTGGGTCTCACCACACGCTTGATGACTCGGTCACTCCATTGTCTTGCTTGTAACCTGAGGAGAACAACATGCTACCATCAACAGTCCGCTTTAATATCATAAAAATAATATAAGTTACAAATTGTTATGGAAGTCACATTTAGATAATAACAAAATTAGCAACATTCACTAGCAGTTTCAGGAAGAACTAATTTAGTAATTAAAAGTTGAGGGTAAATATTAATGATGACAGTTGGTACAATCAGTTATCTACGTGCCTACACCTGAAGCTGTCCTCCTGCAGCAGGGCAGGTGGTTCATGCATGAATTCTTCCACACAGCCTGACCAATGTTCATCACTGCTAGTCCCTCTACAAATGTTCTTCTCTCCCTTTGTCTCTCTACCATTTATTTTAATCATACACAAGACTAATACTAATGCTACACCTATTTTACCTTCCTTAACATGTCTCTGTCACCTTCACACATTATCAACTACAGTATGTACATCCTAGATAATATTTCTCACTCCTAATTGCTCACTTCCCATATCATTGACCACAATTATTCTTTACACCTGTAGTACAATTAATGCTCTCTCTCTCTCTCTCTCTCTCTCTCTGCAATTCATAAACTGACCTGAATCAACGGTTTAAACAGTCTAATTAAGAACCTTTACCCTCAATAAGTAAAAACATCAATGAACAAAAGTTTCCTATCTATTAGCTCACTTCAAGTTCATTCACCAATAATAATTTAATTTCTTTCCTTCTTCAGTTTTAATAAGTTGACCTCCACTGTGTCTCTATGCACAGTTTAACCATTCCTCTCCCTCTAACATACACAGTGACAAAATGCAACAATAACATATTCAACAATTTAAACTTACACTTCATTCAATACAGGTTTGCCATTCTCCGTTCTGTTAGTGAGAGGATTACCATCATCATCTCGGTAAAAGGCGTAGAGGGAGATAGAGAACCCCAGGGCATGAAGGATCTCGTGTTTCACGGTTGATATGAGAGTCTCCAGCTCCTGAACCTTGGTGCTGATGGCCCCAGGACACAGGTTGGCGTGACCAGCGATCGGCCTGAGGAGGGAAAATCCAGCCTTAACATACAGTACAGTACATTAAAACAATTAGTATTATACCAACTGTATAAACTTTGTCCAATAATACCTTCCATGAAATTCAATAAAAAATTTAGTTGGCGATACTACTAGTTATAAAGAGTAGAATAACTGTAGACTAGTCCTTAGGAATACCTTATGGTTGAGAGCAACATTTAATTCCCAATTGTAATTATAAATAAAAAACAATATCTTTTATCCCTCATTAATATAATACATTTACTGTAATCTTCCGAAGTGTAAACATCATAATACTGTACTGTAATAACACTATTGATATCTGTCAATACTTATTCAAAAATAAAGTTGGTGTTGAACGAACAAGAAGATTATAGTAGGTGATACACGCATGGGCTACTACACACCTGTCCAGGGCGGCCTCCTGCTGACAGTGGGCAGCATAAGCCACTGTGTAGCCTCTCTTACACCGCTCAGTCTCCAGAGCAGAGATGTAGAACACAAAGTCTGCCCGGGATTCCTTCACCCACCTCCTTGTTCACCTCCCGGCAGTTCTGACCCAGAGTGTTACACACACGACAAGCCTGTCCGGGACGGGAGGATAACATTTACGCAACTGTATATTATGAAGTAGCAAAATGTAAACATGTCTATATACAATACTGTACCTTACAAAAATTTTACAAAAGAAATTAGAGAGAGAGAGAGAGAGAGAGAGAGAGAGAGACAGACAGACAGACAGACAGAGTTTTGAAGGACAACCACCACTATACAGAAGGAGGAAGACTCACGTGAAGGTGTTCCTCGGGCACCTGGACCTCGCCGCACATGGTGACTGGCTCACACCTACTCTTGCAGAAGGGGTGTGGCTCTCCCTTGATCAGAAACACCTGGTTCTTCTCACACCTCCTGCAGGGTACAACACACCACGCGGGTTAATTAATATGAGATATCACCCGTAGATTGGCTCCCATCCACACCCAGTTTATGTCACACGATGATCATACACTCTTGATGTTAACCGGGGCCTTAGGTTAGGGTAGGATGGGTTTGGTTAGTGTGAGTGTGTGTGAGTGTGTGTGTGTGTGTGAGTGTGAGTGTGTGTGTGTGTGTGAGTGTGAGTGACCCACCTGTTGAGCCTGATGACACTCTCCGTGCGTCTCACCATCAGTGCCTGCTGCCAGTACGTCACAGCTGAGGGCATCACATTCTCCTGTTAAAAAACAAACATCAGCAATACACTTAAGAAATTTACACTTCTTTCATTATAACCTAACCTAACCACATGAAATGGATATAAATTGTTAAAGAATAGTATATATTTTTTTCAGTATATTCATTTTCACACAAAAAAATATGATGGATTTTGTTATTAAGAGTTAAATGGAAAAGAGCATTATTGTAACCTTTCCCAAGAGGTTAGATATACTCACGTGAATAAGGTCGTATTTTTCCCGCGATAATCTGCAAGAGAACAAAATATGGAATTAACAGATTTTCTAAAGACTTACGTTAAAATAAGATAATCATGAACAATTACTTAAATTATTTATTTATTTTAGCAGGCAAGAAAATAATAAAACTAAATACTAAAAACAAAAATAATAATAATAATAATGTAATAATAAAAATGCAATAAATACTACTACTAATAAAAACTAGACTAGATGGATAGAAGAATGGATGGATACTCGGGATGGATGGACTCAAGCAGGGATAGACATATGGATATAGACAGCATGACAGAAGTGGTTGGAGTGAGTGTGTGTGGTGGCAGTAGTGAGAGAAAGAGAGAGTATAGCTTCACTCACCCGTACACAGACTCGTCATAATAGAGTGAGATCCGAAGAGGCTGGTCCACACTCCTCTTCCTCACCACGTGCTCTGCCTCCAGGTGAACCCCCAACGTTACCTGTACAAACACAAACGTTAATCACAACCAACACACCTGTACAAACACACAACCACCACACCTGTAATTATTTTGTTTTTATCTTTAATTAATACGACTCGTTAGGACAGGTAAGGTAAAACAGGTAAGGCGGTGGGAATATTTTTTTTTGTTTACTATTGAAACATGACGAAATAAGTAACTGTATTAACTGGAGAGAGGACACACACACACACACACACACACACACACACACGTCCACCTTGGTCATCACAGCAGGGGATGGGGAGAGGGATGGGGGAGAGGAAGGAAGGGCATAGCAGCGTCACGGCCCTCACGGAAGTACGAGGCCGTCACGGACATTAAGAGGCCGTCACGGAGGTCGAGGGGCGTGACGGTAGCCAAGGACAATGACAGAGACCGTCCATATTAACTCTTAAGTGACAGTGTATTAGTTAAGAGGAGGAGGGAGGTTACCGTGTGCCTGACCCGTGAAGTGACAATACATACATACATAACATACATACATACATGAGTGAGGAAATGAGGAAAAAAGAAAAAGGTAAAGGTAGGGAGTTGAGTGGGGGCGTGAGGAGGATCTAAAAGGTAGAGGGGGGAGGAGAGGGGTGGGGAAGGAGAGGGGTGGGGAAGGAGAGGGGTGGGGGAGGAGAGGGGTGGAGGAAGATGGACAAAGAGGAGGAAGATAAACAGGTGACCGTGGCTAACAAGAAGACAAAAGAGGAACAAGAGAGTGGAGGAGGAGGAGGAGGAAGGCGGTGCAGGAGGGAGATGGGGGAGGACGAGAGGGAGAATAGGGGAATGGCAGAGAGTCAGTAACTTAGTGAATTTAAGAAAGGAACATACTCTCTCTCTCTCTCTCTCCTAAGAGGGACACTGGCCATAGTAGAGGGGCAGTAGGAGGGAGGGGAGGGGTCAAGCTGTATCCCTTGAGTAATACTTTACTTACAACTAACTGACCTTGTGACCACTATACCACCCACCCACCCACCCCACTGCCAACCCACCCTGGACAACCTCCACCCATCTTAAAATACCCTCCACCCACATCCCCCACCACCACTACTACCACCATCACTACCACCACTACTACTACCACCATCACTATTACCAACGTCGTCACCATCACCACTACCACTATCGCTACCACTATCGCTACTATTATACCAGCAGTCGGCCCACCTCTAACAGGACCATATATGGCTACCAAGAATGTCAGACTCCACCACCACCACCACCACCACCTTCACAACCATCACCTACCACCAACTAGGTAATTTTTTTTTTGTTTGATAATAAAAACACACACAGACAGACAAACAACCGGACAGACAAACACCTACCCAGATAAACATCCGGACAGACAGAGACAGACAACCTAAACACGAGGACATTAAAATTTTAGACTCGCCCTCGGTGACGTAAACACCATGGCGCCACAACCAAACTTGCATACTAAACGCTCATACATAACCTGAATATATTATTACCAATTCTTATCGCTATTTTCTTAGTTTTTTTTTCTCCAAACAAGTCGTAATAATTTCCTTGATTATTGTTCAATTTATGGATAATATTTAGATAACTGTAACGGAACGTGTATTTATACCCCAGTTCCGTGTTGGTTTATTACTGAAGAAAACGGTACAAAATTACACAAGTATTTCAATCACCTAAATTAATTAATATAAATTAATATACAATTTAGAAATATATTTAAAAACGTAATTATGTTTGTGTTTGTTTTTCAGATGAGTATTTGAACCGTGAGCTGGCGTGCATTTACCTTTCAGACGCTTACTTGAACGGCATTGAAATCTCCCATTACTACCACTTACCCTATATAAGAAACAATATTTATTATCTGTATACGGTACTTAACTAACAATATTCCTCTGCAAAATATTAAACGGGAAATATCGAAGACAAACACACAATCAAAACAAATACATATATATTACTAAAAACAAAAACACATCAGGCACGGTCAAGCAAAGTACAAAATCTCTTCTCTCTCTCTCTCTGTCTGTCTGTCTGTCTGTCTTTGTCTCTCTCCCTTATTACTTCCTGCATTAAATATCTAAGAGTCAAATGAGAGAGACCAGGAACCCGGAAACAAATTATTAAGACCTAACTTGGACCCGCGCCAATCTATACCCACATCTGACACATTACAAGCCTGACAACATCCACATCTGACACATTACAAGCCTGACAACACCCACATCTGACACATTACAAGCCTGACAACATCCTCATCTGACACATTACAAGCCTGACAACACCCACACCTGACACATTACAAGTGACAACACCACACCAGACACATTACCCACCTGACAACACCCACACCAGACACATTACCCACCTGACACCACACCAGACACATTACCCACACCACACAGAGTAAGGTCACCCACATTATTATAACCCCCGTCATTCTACCTGGCGCTGTCTACCATTCTCTACTGGTTTGTTTGTTTGTATGCAGATAACAGGGCCAGAGTATTGGTTAGGTTAGGTTAGGTTCCTTTGTTCCTCCCAAATTTTCTCCCTTCCCTCTCTCCTTCACCCCCCACCTCCTCCCCTATCATCAATCTTACCTATATCTCCCACCCACTGCCCCTCCCCCCCCACCCAACCCCAGGTAAGGAGGACACACCGTCAGGACAAAGTTGACCTCCAAGCACCGTTAAACAAGAGGGTGGTTGGGTCATTAGTGTGAGTCAATTGTACCCCTCACACTCCTTTGTTTACTTCCACACCTCACTAGTCTTTTTATTTTAGCCGATTTTTATTATCTTCTGTTTGTTTATTTTTCTTTTGTTTAATATTTATAGATATTGTTGTTTACATTTTTTGTAACTAGGAGGCAACTTTCTCTCTCTCCTCTTTCTCTCTCTCTCTCTCTCTCCACTTTCTTCACCTGATATGGAGAGGTTGGGTTAGGTCTACTTTGGTTAGGTCTACTTTGGTTGGGTTAGGGCTGGTTAGGTTAGGGCTGGTTAGGTTAGGGCTGGTTAGGTTAGGGCTGGTTAGGTTAGGGCTGCTTGGTTAGGTTAGGGCTGGTTGGGTTAGGGCTCCTTAGGTTAGGGCTCCTTAGGTTGGGTTAGGGGCTGGTTAGGTTAGGGCTCCTTAGGTTGGGTCCACTAATACCTGGTCTACTCTTCAGGTTCTTCCAAACAAATTTCTTCAATTAAACCAACTTCATTTTTGTCTTCCAGTGAGTATAGGTTGGCCTTGGTGAAGCCTCCGGTGTTGTTGTGTGTGTGTGTGTGTGTGTGTGTGTGTGTGTAAAATACATGTTTGTGGCGTGTGATTCAATCTTGGTGTGTACCGGTCCATCTGCTGGGGTCCAAAACACACACACACACACATAGTTATTGTTGTCTAGTATATGGACCAACTTACAATACTTGTTTAAATTACCTTCCTTCCTTCCTTCCTTCCTTCCTCCTCCCTCCTTCCTTCACTCACTCACCTCTCCTTCCTTCACTCCCTCCCTCCTTCCTTCCTTCCCTCCCTCCTTCCTTCACTCCTCCACTCCAACCCCTTCCTTCCTTCACTCCTCCCTCCTTCCTTCCTTCCCCTCACTCACTCCCCTCCTTCCTTCCTTCACTCCTCACCCCCTCTCCTTCTTCCTCCCTCCTCCTTCCTTCCTTCCTTCCTCCCTCTTCCTTCCTCCTCCTCCCTCCCTCCTTCCTCCTTCCTTCCTCCCTCCTTCCTTCCTCCCTCCTTCCTTCCCTTCCTTCCTCCTCTTCTCCTCCTTCACTCCTCCCCCCCTCTCCTTCCTTCCTCCTCCTCCTCCTTCCTTCACTCCCTCCTTCCTTCCTCCTCCCTCCCTCCCTCCTCCCTCACTCCCTCCATCCTTCCTTCCTTCCTTCTCCCTCCTTCCCCTCCTCCTTCCTTCCTCAAAGCCTCTCTCCCTCCTTCACTCACTGGCTGGCTCTCCCCCCCTCACTCACCGAAGCACCAAACACAAACAACAATATTATCGAGCAGTTTACCCCCACAGTTTATTTAAGAACGGTTTATTAAGTTTAGTGTATGTGTATGATGTATGTTTAGTGTATGATGAATGTTTAGTGTATGATGCATGATGTATGTTTAGTGTATGATGTATGTTTAGTGTATGATGTATGTTTAGTGGATGATGTAGTATATTTTAGTGTATGATGTATGTTTAGTGTATGATGTATGTTTAGTGTATGATGTATGATGTATGTTTAGTGTATGATGTATGTTTAGTGTATGATGTATGTTTAGTGTATGATGTATGTTTAGTGTTGATGTATGTTTAGTGTATGATGTATGATGTATGTTTAGTGTATGATGTATGATGTATGTTTAGTGTATGATGTATGTTTAGTGTATGATGTATGTTTAGTGTATGATGTATGATGTATGTTTAGTGTATGATGTATGTTTAGTGTATGATGTATGATGTATGTTTAGTGTATGATGTATGTTTAGTGTATGTGTATGATGTATGTTTAGGGATTCAGTATAACGTGATGCAAGTCTCGTCTCTGTTGTTGTTCCCTGAAGCTACTGAATGACTGGTTATTAGCAGCACGCACACACACACACACACACACACTACACACACACACACACTACACACACACACACACACACACACACACACACACACACACACACACACTACACACACAAAGGCTTTCAATAAACAAGAGATAGAGTATAGTAGAGACAATGCTTAAGAGATGAGGGGGTGGGGGGAGGGTGGGGGGGAGGTGGGGAAGTGGAGGAGGGGAGAGGAGAAGTGGGAAGGAGAAGTGAGGAAAGGAGGAGAAGTGAGGGGGAGGAAGTGAGAGGGGGAGGAGGAAAGAAGAGAGGGGAGGTGGGGGAAGTAAGAGAGGAGGTGGGGGGGAAGTAAGAGAGGGGAGGTGGGGGAAGTAAGAGGGGAGGTGGGGGGGAGTGAGGGGAAAGGAGGGAAGTGAGGGGAAAGGAGGGAAGTGAGGGAGGGAGGAAGTGAGGGG